AGCCTTGATGCTAAGAACCCAAAGGACACAAATGCTGCAATGCTACGATGGTACTTGATATACATTTCTTTTCTGCTATGCTTTGTGCTGGTCTTGTAGATTGTTACATTACTGTAAACAAGTGATGGACATTACTCTCCGGGAAATTTTCTAGATAACAAGTTTTATCATGGTATGAGTATTAAGTAGGCAAGGTCACATTCAGTTAAGGGTTCTATTCGCCTTAAATATCTTCTGTAGTATTGGCTCTGCATTTCCTGTTAGTGACAATATAATGTTTAGGTAAAGGTTTCTTGTTTCTTCTTGTGCTTTGATAATATCTGCCAGCAACCTCATACATGATCAGATAGTAGCAACTGACCTATGTCTCAGGCATCATACCTTTTTTCATTCTCCTAGATGACGTGATCTTAATAATCATTCAGCTCTTCTGTCTGAAGTAAACATGCTTTTTCATGTGTCTTGCAGGTGGTCTTTACTGGAAAAGTATAGCTGCAAAGCTTCAAAACTTCACCTCAAACCCCGGAGATTCAAGCTATTTATAGAGGCCTTGGTGAGTTGGCAAATGCGAATTTCGTTTTAACTCAAAACCATCTTGGATTTGTCCAGGACTTGTTTACAAACTATTGACTAAGAAACCCGTTTGCATGAAGGAACATCAATTGCTGAAAGACCGCAGAAAGAGCATAAGAAAACGGGCTTGCCAGGGAGAAAATTTATCTTCTGCTTCCCTCGGAAACATCTCAAGTCATAGCAGAGAAAGAGGATTGGATAACCGTCCATTTAAACTTATTCTCTCCGACGGCCAAAATGTTAAAAAGCTAGGGCCTGGAAGAGCATCTACCAAACATGGTGAAAGCTTAGGTGTCAACCTTGGCGACGAAAAAGAAGATACAGCCTTTGGGAGAGGTGGAAGGCAACGGCGAAAACAAGGTTCTTTCTTTGCTAGTTTTATGCATGTTTGTTAGATAGGCAGTTTTTTCTCAGCCCCATATTGTGTGTTTTCTGTGTTCATACAAATTTGGACATTATCTACTTTTAATCATGAGATTATAAGTTGCTATTTAAAAGCTTGATGTAGTTCCAGGTTCTTACGTGACTCTAAGCAGCTCTTCCTTTTTCAGCAGGTTATAGAAAATGGGAAAAGGCTGCAATAGATGGGGTCTCTCTGGTTGCTGATGCTGCAGAGCATTTGGAACGAACATCAATTGACAAAGATATGGATGATCAAACAGGTTTACTTGCTAATATTGGATGATATTTCATTTTCGTAGATGTATATTTTTTGAGGACTAACATGTGCAATTCTGAATGAGGTTCTCCTTTTATCTTAGAATTAGGCCCCTCAAGATATTTAACCGGAAAGTCTCCACTTTCTCTATGCTCATCTGGTGACGTTCTTCTCAGTGACGCCAATATGCATTTTTCTGCCAAGCTGAAACTTCAACTGTTCCCGATTGATGAATGTACCCGAAGATCCTTGGAAATGGTAAGCTTCGAATAGGAATTATACTTATTGGAGCAATAATTTTCTGAGACATGAAATGGAGTTTGATCTGTTAACAGGATAAGCACAATCCGCATCTTGAACTTACTCTTAGTAATCGCAAGAAGATATCATCTGTACTGGAACATCTCAATCGTAAATGGGGAAGCGCCAGTTGTGCGACTGGAGAGCTACTGCTATTTCCTTACAATGCACGAAAAGAAACTGTAACGTGCCATCAGAGGTGGACCCATGACTCTTTTCTAAGCGCAGCAGAAGTGCATTCTATGGTTGGAAGTCCCTCGGTTTTCCGCTTAAGGTTTGCTCTCATATTTGCCTAGTCCCTTTCAGGTTTCTTCTCGTCAAATTATCATACAAGATAAACCAAAATTAATTTACTTATATGTATTTGCAGGTATGGTTGGTTTGTCCATGATGCATCAGGTTCTATTATTTCTCAAGTTCCAACTTCAGATCCTTGCCCTTCACTCGAGGATGACATGAATGTGGATGGGGTGAACGAGGTCAACATGCTCCTTACTGAATCAGGACCCTTGTCTGTGCATTCAACTGCCGAACAAGCGACATCTGTAGAACCCAGCCACGGTTTAGTATGTGCCTCTGGTGAAATCCATGATCATCCCGCAGAATCTAGAGATGATTATGAACCTGCTCCAACAACTATTACCCCACTTGAGCATTTGAGCAGTGGTAATGCACAATCAGCAGGAGAATGGGCTGATAGTCTTACTAACATAAGTATAGGTGATCTACTCTCTGAAGTGCCTGATGACATAGATAGTGATGGTGTGGATCCACCTGCCACCGAGGGTTCACATTACCTCCTTCGAGATGTCCCATTTGCCTCCGACTCTTTTGATGCTGCAATTGCTGCTCATATACTAAGACACCAGAACAAGCCAAGTGCTCTACTACCGCTGACTTCTGGCTCTTCCTCTCTATGGGATGATGAAGAAACACGTGATGCCTTCTCTTTCCAAAAGAATCGTCTCGCAGATTCCACCGAGTTGGCTAGTGTTGCTTCTCCTAAAGGTGTTGGCAGAGTAAATGGAGAGCCTTCACAATTGGTGGAGGTAACTATATCAGTCTCAAACTCCACTTCCGCAATTATTTACAAAACTAAACCATCTGATTCAATACTTTCTCTTAGGCTTTATCCGGCGATGAGGGGTCTTGTAACCCTTCTGACCATGGAGATCCAATGGAAGAGGGTCCAACAGACACTCATACGATGGATTCTCCTGGGAAGACCCCTTGTGGACTTGCGGATGTATATTGGGTAAATTTTAGAAATCTCATCTTATTCCCATAGTGAAAAAGCCATATATTCAACAACACTTGTTTCCTCTTTGCAGCCCGACTCGTTAGGACCACTGGATTTAGACATTAGATCTTCAAAGTATACAGAGGATTTGATCCTTAGTGAGAGCCTCGGGGGTTTGAGCCGTCTGATAGCAACCAGCCTTGATGCGTTTCAGAACTGCTCGCTCTTTGGGTTCGACAATAAGAAGGACAAGTCTAACATGGTCTGAAATGGAACCAAAGCTAAAGCAGCATGGGGTCCAAATGTTGATAGTTGAAAAAGAAAGTGACTTCTTGCCTTTTGAAAAAAGAAACTTTTACCACCAACTGATCTGATGTAAGCTTCACTGTACAAAAATCTGATGTAAGTTTTTTAACTGTTCCTTTCACACATTCTTCTGCGTTGATACATGTTTCTCTGTGTACACTTTAATGTTAATTTACATGTTTATTTGGCTATCATGCCGTTTTTTTTTTGTTTTTTTGTTTATAGAAGTTCCATGACAAATAAGAATATCGATGAATATCCTAAGTTCTTTTAAGAGTTTGAGTAAAATTTAACTTTCTCATCGAATTCTCTTCTTGATTAAGCATTATAGGACTGGTCTATCTCTCATTTTAATATTCTACCCGAAAAAGATTCCAAACATTTACTTTTCATGATTTATAGACTCTTTATCTAAAGTAAAAAAAAAAAAATCATTTACAACTAAGTTTGAGTGTTGTCTTGATCATATGTGTTCAAATTGGTTTTCTCTTCTATTCTCTTCATGAAAACATTCTCCAACATTCAGTTTTCTCATTCTCAATGATTAGTCTAAGTCAAAAAGCTGAACATCACACTACACTCTCCACTTTAAGTAAACCTAATTTCATTTAAAACTCAATTTGGTTAACTAAACCAAACCATGCTGATTTCCAGCAGGAAAACCATTCTTTGTTGGGTACGTAGTACGAGTAAATTCCTTCTTTTAACTCTTAACCTGATCCTTTTTCGGTTTTCAGTAACATCACGAATTTTTAACCGGAGGAATCTCAGTTTGATCCATTACTAAAAAAAAAAAAAAAACCATTACTAATTTCTGAGACCTACATATAATCGGGTTTTCATCCCAGTTAAAAGAAACCTATTGACCATGTCCAACCATGATTAAAAATGGTTATGAAAGAACTTGAATTCTAGTAACTTTCAAATCAATTTTCTTTTTGTAAAGAAACTATCAATATCAGCAAAAAAAAGAAGAAGTTAATTTAAGATTTTAGGCAAATTCGTATGGTAATAATTTTAACATTTTTTGTTACGCAGGATATGCTCTCAAGTCTCAATAATGAGTCCCATACAACAATGATGTAAGCCAAGTTGTCATAAAATGACAAATTTGCATTAGTGTTGTGATACACCGCTTTACACTGGTCCACTCTTTCACATCACGTCGAGTTTCGTACACGAAGAGACAGTCTCTACGTGCCCTCCCTTGAATATTCAACTTCATCTTCTTTTTCGACTAAACATCTTCATTTTCTTCAAAATCAAATTTGACGGCGTATGTTGTCACGAGATATTTTATAGACAATCAATATATTATAACACAATTACACATATCAATATCATACGGAATCTTTATGTATAGAGGCGTATTCGAGTTCTAAATACATCCACAACCTAAATGCATAAATCAAGAAAACCTAAATTTACAAGGTTTGTGTAAAAGGTTAATATATGAATCTAGTATTTATGAATGTCAATAGTATCAATGTATCATATCATTCATGACTGGCTTTTAAAGGACTGTAACTTTTGATATTTATAGCTATCGTAAATGATTGGAATAAAAAAGACTGTTTCTAGGTTTTAAGTTGTTTTATTTTAGCAATAAAGTCTACTAAGACACCAAAATTTATTTTGTTTTTTTCTTTAGTTAATAAGATTTTCATGAATGATTTTATGATATTCTTGTATGATTCTTTTAATTAGTTTTTTTTTTTTGTTAATAATAAGAAATTTTGTTGTAAATTTGAAAACATTGGAACGGTCTTGCTGATCATCGATTGGAAACTCGTAATAAGGAACTGGTTTAAGTGGAAAAGTTTTCTACGAATGATGTAGACCAAAAAATATAAGATTATCCTCTAAAATTTCACTCTACCATAATCAAACCCATATAAAAATCTCACTCAAAACCCTGATAAATATCCACATTCTCAGTCCATACATCACTCAAAACACCAAGAGAATAAATTCTTCCAAAAAAAGCAAAAAATCAATGGAGAGAGCAAAGTCGAGGAAGCCTCATATCATGATGATACCATATCCACTTCAAGGTCACGTTATCCCTTTTGTCCACTTAGCCATCAAACTTGCTTCTCATGGCTTCACCATCACTTTCGTCAACACCGACTCCATCCACCACCACATCTCCACGGCTCATCACGGTGACCCCGGTGACATCTTCTCCGCCGCTCGCAGCTCCGGCAAGCTCGATATACGTTACACCACCGTGACTGACGGCTTCCCTTTGGACTTTGACCGCTCACTTAACCATGACCAGTTTTTCGAAGGCATTCTTCACGTCTTCTCTGCCCACGTGGATGATCTCATCGCTACACTCTCCCGCCGGGATGATCCTCCGGTGACTTGCTTGATCGCCGACACGTTTTATGTTTGGTCATCTATGATTTGCGACAAGCACAACCTCGTTAATGTCTCGTTTTGGACCGAACCAGCCTTAGTCCTCAATCTCTATTATCACATGGATCTCCTCATATCTAACGGTCATTTCAAATCTCTTGGTAAAAAAAAAAAAAAAATCTCTTGGTAACACTCTTAATTATGTTAATGATATGTTAATTAATTACAAAGTATAACCTAATTAGCTGTATATATTTTTTTTAAACGAAAACTGTGTGGATTGTCACAAGTCATAGATATTTGGAAATTTGTGTATTATCTTGGAAAAAAATATGTGGAAGTCGATGACTAGATAGTTGACGAATTTCTTACAATTTTTTTTTCTTATATTTACATCATTTTTGTTTTTGAACTTCGTGGTAGATAATCGTAAAGACGTGATCGATTACGTACCAGGGGTTAAAGCAATAGACCCAAAGGACTTGATGTCATATCTTCAAGTAAGCGACAAAGACGTAGACACAAATACAGTAGTCTATAGAATATTATTCAAGGCCTTTAAAGACGTCAAGAGAGCCGACTTCGTCTTATGCAACACAGTGCAAGAGCTCGAACCAGACTCTCTCTCGGCTCTACAAGCCAAACAACCGGTTTACGCTATCGGTCCGGTTTTCTCAACTGATTCGGTTGTCCCCACAAGCTTATGGGCCGAGTCAGACTGCACCGAGTGGCTTAAGGGCCGGCCCAACGGGTCAGTTCTCTACGTCTCGTTTGGTAGCTATGCACATGTTGGTAAGAAAGAGATTGTTGAGATAGCTCATGGGCTTTTGCTAAGTGGGATTAGTTTCATTTGGGTTTTACGTCCGGATATAGTTGGATCCGACGTCCCAGATTTTCTTCCAGTTGGGTTTATGGACCAAGCCAAAGATCGAGGTCTTGTGGTCCAGTGGTGTTGCCAGATGGCAGTAATTTCAAATCCAGCCGTGGGAGGTTTTTTTACACATTGTGGATGGAATTCAATTCTAGAGAGCGTTTGGTGTGGTTTGCCTTTGTTGTGTTATCCGCTTTTGACAGATCAATTCACGAATAGGAAGCTTGTGGTTGATGATTGGTGCATTGGGATTGACCTTTGTGAGAAGAAGACAATCACAAGGGACCAAGTCTCAGAGAATGTTAGAAGATTGATGATGGATGGAGAAACTTCAAGTGAGCTAAGAAACAACGTTGAAAAGGTTAAACGTCATCTCAAAGCTGCGGTTACAGCCGTTGGATCTTCGGAGACTAATTTTAACTTGTTTGTTAGTGAGGTCCGAGATAGAATAGAAACTAAATTGTGTAATGTAAATGGACTGGAAATAAGTCAATCAGACTAAAACTAAAATTATATTTTGTCATTTTTACAAACTTTTTTTTACTATTGAACCGTTTGTTATCAATCAATAATAACAATGATTTAACCGTTCATTTTTAACTCAACCGTTTAGTTCAGATGGTATGGTTAGCATATTAACAACAATCAATCTCTAAACCGGTATCAAACCGATTAGCGGTTAAACTTTTGTCCACCCAAACTCTGGCTTATGCAACTCTGATTTGGAGACACAGGCTAGTTTGCCACTGAACCGGAAATGTTAATCACGACTGCCATTTTGGAGTCTGAATGCCACCTCTCAATAGGATAATACTCTTTTACCCTTAATGAATATCAATATCCTTTAATTGAATTAATTTGAAAAGGAAAAAAAAAAACAATTGAAATCGAGAAATGAATTCTCGATCCAATCTCGAATCTGTGTCTTCCCTTCCCCCGACATTGTTGAAGCGAAGACACAGAGCCATGGTTGCTTGGAGATTTGCGGTATCGATGGCGATTGATCAAGGTAGGGAAGAGAGAAGACTGTGTATGTTCTCGGTCGAAGACATCGGAGGTAGAAGAAGAAGATTTTCACGGTGATTTGATTCATCGGATGATGTTGGTTTCAAGATTTCGAAATCGTTAAGCTGTTAGTTAATTAATCTCTATCTCTCGGTGACAAGAAGATTTGTGTTATTGCGAGTAGACAAAAGAACTCGCAGGTTACAAAGTTTATCAAGAATGGTATGTGGTGGAGGTCTTTCACCGGCAATATTGTTTACTGATTTCAAGGAATGCATGAGTTCAAGCAATTAGGCTCAAGCGATGAAATCAGAGATTCAAAGATTATTCAAGAAAGAAGAGGTTTGAGGCTGCTGCAGAACACTAGATCAAAGGGAAAATTTACGATCGGTGTTGATGATATCTAGATGCTGAATGATGGAGATTATTCATTGGTAATGTTGAAGCGTCTGTTACAAGAATTTGTGAGTTAAAGGACGTGACTCATGGTTACAAAGATCAACGTTGGATTAACAATTCTCAAGGGCCAATTCTTGAAGACTTATAGTCTGTTTCCGCTGAAATCACAAGGTACAATGTGATGTTCTCTGTGAAGGTTTCCGGATACTCGATGTTTATATATTCAAGGATTAGAGTATAATGAAGCTCAAGGTTTTGAACACTGATTCTGCAAATGGATAGCCAAGATTAGTAATGGCTTTATGATTTGTTAATCAAATCTGGTTGTTAAAGTTAGATATTTGCAGTGTTCAAGTATGGTTTAAAGATCATCCATTGGATTAAGATTCTTGATATTGGGGGACGCCTTAGTTTATTGAATCTTATGTGTGTTAGTGGCTGGTTAAAATTTATTGAAGCTTTGTTGTTGGTAAGCGTCAGTGGCACATTGTTGCTGGAGTAAAGGTGGAGTCTTAGAGAGACTGTTGAAACATAATGGTTTCGGTTTTAACAACAGATGTGAATGAAATATGTTATTATGAGTTAGTGAAAGCTCATAAACATGAAGCAAAAGAAGAGTGATCAAGTCATTTGAAAATGAGTTAAGTTCAGCCGTATAAAGATATGTTGAAGCATTGGAAGCTTGTGTGCACAATATTCAGCTGTGTGCTGGAACAAGAGACTCAATGTGGTAAAAACAACATGAATTTGTTTGAGAAGATTGCGAAAATATTGAAGGAAACTCAGGTCAGAGTCTTCATAGGCAGTCTCAAAGTATATTTTCTGAAGATGACAAGAAATTAATGTGCTCTTGCTGGAACTGGTGGTGAGATCAGTGGTAAAAGAAACCAAGTAATTGAAGACGGTTTCAGGCTCTAATGCATACTATTAGTTCAACTAGTTCAACTAGGTACATCAAATTTGTATTTTTTATTAAATTATTAAGTTATAAATTAAGATTTATATAAGAAATTCCCTAATAGAACCAAATGCATTGCCCCTGTGGAAAATGCATTTCGACGGAACTCCGTTTCTCATACATATCCGTTTGGATTTTATATGTATTTATTTGTCGTATTCGTACAACTAGGTTCGACTGTGTACAACTACGACCATAAATGTATATGTATTTGTATTTAACTATTATGGAAACAATAAATTAGAGTTAATAAAGATTTCAAAAACATCTTGAACTATAAAAAACAATTTTAAATAAATAAAATTCGAATTTATCATTTTTTAATACATACTATTAGTTCAACTAGTTCAACTAGGTACATCAAATTTGTATTTTTTTAAAAATTATTAAATTATAAATTAAGATTTATATAAGAAATTCCCTAAAAACATCTTCAAATATAAATAAAGTATTTAAAATCAATACAACCAGAATTTATAAATTTTGTAACAAATTTTGTTTTTTCATAGAAAACACTCCTTCTAGTATAAGGAATACTTAGTACAAGATCGCCTCATATGAAGCAAAAGAGGTGAAAACCAAGTTTTTCTAAACATTGTATTATGAAAACATCCTAAATGATAATTAATAGTATAACATCATGTGTCCAACTATAAATTACTAATTTTTATTAAAGTTCAACTGGAAATACACAAAAATCGTTAAAGTTCAACTATGAATATAAGAGTACAACTGTACAACTAGTACAACTATGTTTAAAATAAACAATTTTTTTATTAATATTCTGCTGTCATTGGCCCACTTTACCACACGGTCCAATTTTTTATTAATATTCCGCCGCCAAAATCATGCTTACGTGGATCATTTAAAAAAAAAAAAAATTTGGTAAGATTTTTAATATTTTTTAATACCAATTTTAATTAATTTTTTTTTTTAAAATTTTTTTTAATTGTTTCAGTTGTACCTAAGTGATCTAATTGTACTTTCTTATATGTAACACATACACATAGTTGTACCTAAATAGACCAGTTGTACCTACAAAACCAATTGAACATAAATATAATCTAAATATTTTTTTGGTTTATAAAAACATGAAGTCATATGTTCTTAATCCACAACACAACAAATACATAAATGAAATACAAAAACATAAGTTATATGCAATCCTGGAAATGCAAATCATGATTGTCACAAAAAGACTTGACTTGTGCGCTTTCTTTCCCGTTCTTGATCAAGCTCTTCCTTCCACTTATTCCCTATCTTTGACAGAGCAACACTGCAAAGCCAAAACCAGCCAATTCAAGCAGATGAATTAATGAAACAAGAAGCCTAGACAAAGGTCCTACACTAAAGGAAAAAGTGAAACCATTGCTGGCCAATGGCTAGGCTGAATTTTAAAAGAGCAGAATGGTAGCTTTGGAAACCCAAAATGCAACAATTTTGTAACATGGAGGGCGATCATAGCTTAAGACAAGCATGAATGGGACTTATTCCTGACTTCTTGATTCCTACTTAGTGCCTAAGAGATTTTCATATGCATCAAATCTCATCCAGGAACTAATGTAATCTACTTCCTCAGGTCGGAAATCAAAACTTCATAACCGATATATTCACGCTAAAAAGTTTCATACTTTCTAAACAAATCAGAACCTATGAATCATTGATCCAAAGCTTGTTCATTTTATCCTCTAGATCAAAGCAATGGCAAAGTAAAGCCAAACAATTTTCTTAAATCTCAATGCAAGAGAACCATAATCCTCATCAACATTCATCAAGCAAGCCCGGCATGGATTCTTAAAACATGGGAAACAACGGACATTAAATTCTATCTAATTGGCATGACCATGAGTGCACAATGCCAAGTAAGAACGCATACCTCATTTTTCAGATCACCTTCCATAGAATATGCAGGTTGATTGGATCTTCCACCATACCTAGAGCTTGAGGATTTGATAGATGATCTAGAAGCCCGAATTGGAACAAGAGAAGGTGCACCAATATCTCATGGAGAAGCAGAAGGCATTACATGTGAAGAAGGACATGGTAATAAATCTCGTTGTTAATCTTTTCCCGTCGTTGCAACTAATAAAACCAAATTACAAATATTAAAATTCAAACACAACACACTAGTTGAACGTGGTGTATCTAGAATCAAAGCCTCACTTTTTTTAATAATCAAACAAAGATACATCACTAAATAATCAAATCCTGGGATCCAAATCAAAAAATCATGCACAATTGTCTCGAAATTCAGATCGGGAACTTACTCTTTCTCAATGACGGCAACATTCGTCGAGGCCAGCTCCGGGAGGCTGCTGCTGCTGACGCATGCGACGCTTCGTGAGGAGACTATCCCTTTTTCCATTACAATTACATTTTCCGTTTCTCTGGGAGGTTCTTCTATTTCTGGCCCATCTCTTCCTTCTACTGCGTCTATGGACGCTTCTCCTGAACCATTCAAGCCACCAACTCCTTCTGTTGGATCATTCTCTCGCTCAGCCTCTCGGGCCAACTCGGTCTTATCGATTGTAGTTTCTTTCGGAGTTTCTTTTTCACTCTCGGAATCCTCTTCCATGTCGGCGGTACCTTTCTGACTCTCAATCTTCGATGCATCTGTTGGTGGTTCTATCGGATCAACTTCCATCTCCGCGGTTCCTTTTGGAGTCTCAAACTCCGAAGCATTTGTTGGTGGTTCTTCTCCGGCGGTTTCTTCTCTCCGACGCCTCTCCGTTGACTCGTATTCCAAACCATCACCGTCTTTAACACGAGCCATTACTATCGGCGGCAGGATTCTCAAAGGATTACTATCGGCGACGAACTCGACGAAACAACACTCCCACGGCGACGAACTCGACGAAATTTCACTTCGATTCCACGAATTCAAGAAGATTTTTGTTGATTTTCGATTTGGGAAAAAATGAGAAATTAGGGATTTGATTTTTGAGTAAAGGGGAAAAAAGGAGAAACTCAAAAAACGATTAAGTTTCGAAATCTCGTTTTCTAAATTAAATGGTTTTGGGTCGGATGGGCTTGGATCCGGATAGATTTGTTGGGTCGCATGGGTTTTTGGTCTTTTCATAATTTTCTGATTTAAATTGTTTTATTTTTAATTCTCTCAGAAATAAAAGTTAGATGGGTGGCATTCCATCATTTTTTTCCCTCAAAAGTGGCTTTCCAGCCATTGTTTCTCTGATTTGAGGAAGCTATGAATTTTTAGTGAAAAGGAAAATTGATTGCGTTTGCTATTGGCAATGCGACGAAGAAGTGTTAATTCGTCTGATAAAATGCAGTTTCAGAACCAAATCTATCAACTTTTGTCAGAGATTAACAACATAAGCTTCACTTTCTTCTCTGCTTCTTTGGTTATCCATGGCACCGCTTCACCAAGCAGAAGGTATATGGTGACTCCATGAGTTTGCCCAAATGTCTGTTTTGGTTCGTCTTACTTCAAAGATTGCGTCTTTGGCGAAATCAGGTCGAATAACAAGCGCGCGTCAGGTGTTCGACGAAATGCCTGAGAGAGATATCGTGGCGTGGAACACCATGTTGACGAGTTATTCTCGTCTGGGTTTACATCAGGAATCTATAGCTCTGTTCACCCAGTTGAGATTCTCCGACGTTAAGCCTGATGATTATTCGTTTACAGCAATCTTGAGCACTTGTGCTAGTCTAGGCAATGTTAGATTGGGAAGAAAGATTCAGTCTCTTGTTATCCGGTCTGGGTTTTGTGCTTCGTTACCGGTTAATAATTCGCTGATTGACATGTATGGTAAGTGTTCTGATACTCTTTGCGCAAACAAAGTGTTTCGAGATATGTGCTGTGGTAGTAGAAATGAAGTAACTTGGTGCTCACTTTTGTTTGCCTACATGAATGCTCAACAGTTTGAGGTCGCCCTCAATGTTTTTGTTGAAATGCCGAAAAGGGTATCATTTGCTTGGAATATAATGATCTCAGGGCATGCTCAATGTGGAAAGATTGAATCTTGTTTACGGTTATTCAAAGAGATGCTGGAGAGTGAGTTCGAACCGGATTGTTATACGTTTAGTTCTCTGATGAATGCTTGTGCTGATACATCAAACGTTGTGTATGGACGGATGGTACATGCTGTTATGGTGAAGAATGGATGGGATTCTGCGGTTGAGGCGAAAAATTCTGTGTTAAGTTTCTACGCGAAACTAGGCTGCAAAGAGGATGCCATGAGGGAGCTGGATTCTATTGAAGTCCTGACTCAGGTATCCTGGAATTCTATCATTGACGCGTGTATGAAAGTAGGAGAAACAGATAAAGCTCTTGAGGTGTTTCGTTTGGCCCCTGAGAAAAATATTGTTACTTGGACTACGATGATTGCAGGATATGGTAGGAATGGAGATGGAGAGCAAGCACTGAGATTTTTTGTCGAAATGATGAAATCTGGGGTGGATTCCGATCATTTTGCATATGGTGCAGTTCTTCACGCATGTTCAGGTTTAGCCCTTTTAGGACATGGAAAAATGATCCATGGTTGTCTGATCCATTGTGGCTTTCAAGGTTATGCTTATGTTGGTAACGCCTTGGTTAATTTGTATGCCAAGTGTGGAGATATTAAGGAATCAAACCGTGCGTTTGGTGATATAGCTAACAAGGATTTGGTATCTTGGAACACAATGCTTTTTGCATTTGGTGTCCACGGGTTAGCAGATCAAGCTTTAGAGCTCTATGACAACATGATAGCGTCAGGGATTAAACCAGACAATGTGACATTCATTGGATTGCTGACAACTTGCAGCCATTCAGGCCTTGTAGAGAAAGGTTGCGCGATATTCGAATCCATGGTTAAAGATTTTGGAATCCCATTGGAAGTAGATCATGTAACATGTATGATAGATATGTTTGGGAGAGGTGGACATCTAGCAGAAGCAAAGGACTTGGCGACAACTTACAATTCACTAGTCATTAATGCTAGTAACAATAGTTCATGGGAAGCTCTTTTGGGTGCTTGTTCTACACATTGGCACACAGAATTAGGCAGAGAAGTTAGCAAAGTTCTAAAGATAGCAGAACCAAGTGAAGAGATGAGTTTTGTTCTGTTATCCAACTTGTACTGCTCGAGTGGGCGGTGGAAGGAAGCTGAAGAGGTGAGGAGAGAAATGGTTGAGCGAGGAATGAGGAAAACACCGGGATGTAGCTGGATAGAAGTAGAAAACCGGGTTTCAACTTTTGTAGTCGGTGGTTCTTCACACCCGCGCTTGGAGGAGCTTTCTGAAACTTTAAACTGCCTTCAACATGAAATGAGAAACCCAGAGACGTTTGGACCTTGATCATTTAGTGATATAGACAACGAAAAATATGAAGCAGATACCCAAAAAACAACAGTCACTTTTGTATAATTTGTATTGGTAATAAGCAAATGAATTAGCCTTTTTTTCTTCCTAAGGTTCTTTGTGTTCCTTCAAAACAAAAAAAAAAAGACAAATTAGAATCCAGTTTTTAGATAGTCATGTTCAAATGCTCCAGTTACACATGGTACAAAGAAGGTTTTGAATTTAAGTTTCATATAATTTCCATCGATTCTTTGGAATGAAGTTTTAATCAGATTTGAGTTATTATGTTGACTCTGCTTGATAAACTCAAAAGTGATTCCTCATAAAAATTTGATAATGACTAGACAAAGTAGAAGAAAACATCAATATTTTCTACTTTCTAGTGTGAAAAGTCCACAAGAAATGAGAATGAAACTCAACATATTGACAAAAGAAAATAAATATAGATTTAAATTAATTTCTTATTTTCGTCTGAAAATAATTCGTGTTTTAAGTGTGAGATCCAATTAAAAACTAATAATTACTCAACTCTCACCTACTAGTCAAAAATTTAGATTGCATAAATTGGTACGAATTTGACTAGATCACATGGCCTCTTTATCGTACTAGACTTCCTCATAATTATTTTCCATCATTATTCTCCAACTATTTCTCTTCTTGCGTCAGAGTTACTTTCATTATCTTTATCTCTGTGGTTGGAAATTTATGTTCTATATTCGTAATTTGCAGACCATAAGTTTGTAGAGTTCATTGGTGGGTGATACAAAATGATAAAATTATTTTAGCAGTTAAAGTTAGCATTAAAAGATGATGATGCTAAGTTGCTAACTTTGAACAAGAAATTTGATGAGAAATGTATATAGTTAAGAAATTTGAACAAAAGAACAGCCAAACTATTTTTATTTTTCCTTTTTTTTACACAGACAAACTATTTTATTTATATATAGAAGGCAAAGTTATTTGCATATCTAGTGGAATTAGAAAGAAAAAAAAAAGGACAAGAAAAGATGGAGTTTATGGCTCCGAATCTGATGATGACTCTGAAGCAAGAGAAAGATTTCTATCTATATATAGAATAGTAGACAGTGTTTATTTTTATCCAGATTTACCAATTACCATAGAGACATTTATCTAACCCTCAACTTTAAATCAACAGAAGGGAAAATTTTGAAAATATAAAAGGCCAGAAATTTTCCACGTTTTCTATTTCCATGACTTCAGGGTTCAAGCTGTCTGATTATGATAACAACTGCCAGTCATGAGTCACCAATGCCCCGACCGTCGCTGCTCCAAAATCGCCACAAGCAAGTGGTATTGGTGGTGGGAATGATTTTTTTTTTATTTTTTTTATAATTCTGTTCTTTTGATATATAATTAGTTCGTTTGTAATAAAAAAAATAGGTCGTCAAGGTCTCTCTTCTCACATTATTTTGTTTATTTATATCAAAGATACACCGTTTCATATTAAAAAAAAATATATACACGGTGATATATCCTCTGAGGGTTACATTATGAGGGTTGTTTTACATTTTACATTTTTCATAGTTCAAGGGTTACCTTGCAAAAGTTGGCTAATGTTAGATTTTGTTTGCAAATTGCTCAATTGATTATAAGATCAACGTAACTAGTACATATAACATTTCTACAGTGTTAATATTGTTTACTCTAACTTAGAGTCTCTAAGATAGTGTCGTACTAAAGCTTAGATTTGGTCATGTCTCACAATCTTTTTAAACTAGTTGCAGTAATTAATTACCATATTTATATAAATCTTAACAAAATAGTAAAAATGTATTGCCAAAAGCTACCCATTTGAACCAACAAAACAAAACACACAAATCACAATTCAATAATCTTCTCTAATATACGTATGCACATTGATATGTAGATAAATTATTTTTGAAATATGAAGATGACAATCCAATAAGAAGAAAATAATCAAGAGTCTTTGCGGTCGTGGTTGTGGTCGTGCCAGCAGACTAACATAGCGATACAACGGCGAACAATGTAAAACTTGGCTCTTTGTTTCTTCACGACATGACTGCACTTTTGTCCAAAGGTCTTGCACGGCTCACACGTGCCTTTCTCCTCCGGTGCCATTGATTGGTTTCTTCTCTTAATTTGTGAGTCCGACCACAATATAAAAAAGTGCAAGAAATTGAAGAGTTCTTATGAGCTTTAAATTGTAGTAGAGATGTGGGAGAGAGACAAAGATAGAGAGTTTAGTATATACTATATAGTCAGTCGTCAAGTGGAGTGGACAAAGCATTATCAAAAACCCAAAAGTATGTTTCTTACCAAGTAATTGCCCAAACTAACCATACGCGGTGCCGGTGACTATTTACTATTGCATAATATTAAAAGTTAGTATTTGACTACGAAACAAAACCGCTAGATATATGGTATTAGTTAATTTTAATTTTGTACGTGGATTGGTTTTAATTAATAGCTGTTAGGTTTAGAGGGAAACGAAGTTTGAAGTTTTTATTTAATTAAGATAATGTTTAAAATATATACATTGTAGATAAATCTTATTGTGTGTAATTAAATCTTCTTCTTCTTTTTGATAACTAAAATCCCGAGTTGTAATTTAGACTAATCTCTAGAACCTATGAAATGATGGTATTCTTATTTTAAGGTGTTCATAATGGCCAACCGTGATCAAAGTCACAATGGCAAGACTCGAACCCTAATCCTCCAATTATAGAGTAAATTCTTCGACTATTGGACCACCATGAAACAAAAAAGCTTTTAAGTAATTTTGTTTTTGGTTTAGGTTTCCAACAAAAGTCTATTTGACTCGAAATTTTTGGAGACTTTTAAGTTTTGTATGCTATCCCTTTTTGTTTTATTCTAGTAAGGATTAAACCAAAGAAACTTGAACCAAATCAAAATAGAATGATCTCATTATGATTATTTTTGAAGTTAGAAATAAATGATTTTATAAATATTACTCACTTTATATGTTGTTAATAATTGACATATATATATTATATATATATGATATCAACATAAAATGTTAACATTAATACAAAAGCAAAATTGCATACTTAGTTTTTATTAATTACCAAAAAAAAATACTCGTCACATTTATGACAACCAAAAAAGGAGAAAAAAAATCATCAAATAGTATATTTACTATGCAAAGCAAACCATATATACACTCTGCGGAAAAAAAATCAAACAACTGACACTGTTGAAAAAAGGAAGACTTACAGTGTTTTTTTTTTTTTTTTTTTTTTTTGACTTAACAGTGTTATGTTATGTCGCAAGGGAAAAAAACAAAACATGGTGATTGGCGATGCACATTTAATTAAAATTCAACATATATTTTGGATTTTGGTCGACCTTTAACATTGTATAAAATTCAATATTGAGCAATACTTATTAATGGTAAGGCATTGCCGCATTGGCATGCACCTGAACATGAGTGGTTGTCCGTGTAAGCCGAGCCCCACTTCTGAAATGTCTTCTTCTTTGCAATTTATTAGATTCGTACGATGCCTACCTTTTACACATCTTTTTGAGATTTTACCTATCAATTTTGAATTGTACCTCTAAAACTTTGGAAAATATAAGGAAAAACTTCAGAAACAATGTATTAATCAAGATCTATTAAACACATGCAATTGAGTTCATAAAGTATAAATTGAGTACCACTTTCTTTATTTTCAATAAATGTCATCAAGATCTATTAAAAATCAATGTAACCATCAAATGTGACCTTGCCATAGGATGCTATATTGCTATAGGACAATTGAAACCCTTATGCCATACATAGGAATCTCTGATCCAGTTAAAAATATCGTTCCATAGTTTCAGTATGGACAGTACAAGAAACAATAGTAAAACCAAGTGAGTTTATTTGGTGGTATGGTAGAGCTCGGTACTGGCCAATGCCGTTTGTGTCTTACCGTTGAAAAGCTTTGTGGACGGTAAAAAAAACATATATAGCTTAGGTTTTAGAGTGTTCTTAGAACATAATTGTGAATCAGTCGGTTTGGTCAGACTCTGTGAAGTGTGACTTTTTGTTGTTGAAGCTGTACACAAATGTTGAATGAATAGCTGATTACAACAGTTACTCAAAAAACCTGTACACAAATTTTAATCAAACAGATTTTTTGAGTTGCATTCGTGAAAATTTGATTAAAAGAAGTAAAACAGATATGCACAATTACACATCAATCAGAAATAAACAAATTATGAAAGTGTGGTAATCCCTCTTTTTCCTTCATTACCAAACTTAAGAAAAAGTTTTAAAGACAAAACTCTTATCCAAGAAAACACTATTCCTCAGAATATCAACAAAAACCCTTATATAACAAAAGTATATTTTGTATACACATACCATTATTAATAGAAGAAACCAATATCTCCATGAGCTAGACAAGCAAATCAGCATAAGCATGGAGTCCATGGCTGTTCATGTTCTGCTTAAGCCTGTACAATGCCCGGCTCTCTAACTGCCTTACCCTCTCCTTCGACAGTCCGTAAATCTCTCCTATTTCCGATAACGATCTCTGTTTACCGCCATCAATCCCAAATCTCAGCTTGATGATCCTTCTCTCCTTTGGGCTCAGTACATTTAGGAGATTCCGTACATGGTTCCTCATCATCTGCTTCCCCACGCTCATCGTTGGTGTCTCAATCCCACTGTCTGGTGTTATTTCCTGTGGGATTAAACGGTTATTACCCGGTTTTGCTCAGTCAACAGAACATCTTCAAAAACAATTACCTGAAAGGTGGTGTCTTGATCAGACCAAATGGGTTGTTGCATTGAAAGAGGTGTTCTTGTATTGTACAGCAGTTTATCCAGCTTCTCTGTTGAAACCCCAACGTGGCCGGCTAGTTGCTCTTTACTTGGACGGTAGTTTCCTTCCTGCACGCACGTTTTCCTGGCTTCCGATACTTTGCCTAGTAGCATGTATACGTTCTCCTGTATTAACACGAGTACCAAGTCTTGATTTAAAATTTGATCCATTATTGTCTAGATCTGATTAATTATTTAACAAGTTTGTAGTTACCGGCAAACGGATTGTCCTCGAGTTTTGAAATATAGACTTTCTTATGGATTGCCGAATCCACCAGTAGGCGTAAGTAGCGAATCTGCATCCGGATTGTGGTTTGAACTTTTCTACACTTTTCATTAGCCCCATGCTTCCTTCCTACGAACCATTAAATAAGCACAAGAAGAAGTATCATGAGAAATGGACATCAAATTAGATCACTCTATCCCACACCAGAAATATTGAAGAGCTCGAGATACAACAACAGTATCAGATATTTTTACAAGAAACCTTTTGTGCCTAGACAAAAATAATGGGTTCATTTGAAGCTAACCTGCAATAAGTCCTGAAAGTTGAGTCCACGATTCTGATATTGTTTAGCTATATGGACTACCAGACGTAGGTTTGCTGTAATCAACTTTTCCCGGCTGCTTCTACCACGGTGGATTTCAGATTTTAAGGCAGGGGAACTTAGCCCCATAGCTTCAGCCCACTCGCCTATTGTTGGTTCGCAGCCGTTTTGAGATTCAAGTTTAGTCTTTACCTTCTCCAACTTTAATAAATGCTGATAGATGAAAGATTATGGAAGTTAGCACCAGGGAAGTTCAACAAGAAGGAAGTCCAAGGACACATGAAGTCATGAATAGGGAAAGCATGAACCTGTATATGTGATATCAGCTCAGCTTCCTCTTTAGCAGTCAGAAGTTGTTTTGTCTCAGGTCCCCACAAGAAGAGTTGAAGCGCATCATCAGTATCAACCCCTTGTTTAAACTTTTTCTTGGCACTAATTTTCTGAGGAACATAACCCTCTTTGTCCACATCGTTTGATTTAGGAGCCCGTCTGTTCTTTGCTCGTCTCTCCAGCTGCCGCTTCGATCTTACTATGGTTCCCTTTTCCGGTAAGGACATAGAGGAGCTAAAACAAAACATCCAGAAATACACATATTTTCACATTACAGCCCGCAAGTAGCAGAGAAGCAGATTGATGAGATAGATATACATGTTAAAAAAAAGCAACCTAGTGGAGAGAGAATCCCCGGTGTTGTCAGATGGATTAGCTTCAGTGTCGTCAGCTAACAATGCAGCTTGTTTTGAAGCTGATAAAGCCTTCTGAGCGAGTGCAACAATATCACAAAGCTCTGCATCTGCTAAGGGCGGTACAACTGCCGGCAATTTCGTTTCAGCTGTTAAAGGAGATATCAATCTGCAAACACCATAGAGCTTACATCATTCAGAAAACTCAAAGATTGAATGAAAATTGAAACTGGTGGGTTTAAGAGAGGAAGAGGCATTACAAATTCCATAAACCAGCAGAGTGAAGAAGTTGCTGTTCAAATTTCTCATCTTCTCGAGATGAAACCAATTCATCAAACTGCCTCCTCTCCAGAGTCAACTAAAATTGCAAGGAACCAAATCTCATTAAAAGGCGGATATATAAACAAGAGGACTAGAAAGATGAGAACTTTATGATTGATTCATGCTTTTATGACAATATTGCTACTATAAAACACACCTGGGATGTTCTGTCTTCTCTTAACGCATGTGACAAAGGCCTAGACTCTTCCCGTGGCTCCTGTGAGAGAACCGACGCAGGAAAATGTCGAGATAGAGAATTGAGATGACGTGAGTTAACTACAGGAGTTGTTGTTTGCTCATGAAGCATCACTACTGCAAAAACACCAACAAAGAAACAAAAACAAATCAGCAAATGCAAACACAAACTCGTATGTACACACGAATTCAAATTTAAATCCATGAACCTCAAACCACAAGGAAAAAGAAACATATCCAGACGAATCCCATTAATCAGCAGAGACAAAAATCCATCAACGGGCACAGTACCTGAGGAAGGAGAAGAGTAGCTCTTGAGATGAGTCTTTGTCTGAAACGAAGGAGATGAAGAAACCAAGTTCCTCGTAGCTTCCATTTCACAGAATCACCAAAGAAAAAGACTCTGCTTTTGCTTCCACGAATGGCTAAGGAAGAAGAATAAGAACATGAGGCTACTCTACAGAGCCATGACGAACAGATAAGGCGACACACTCCCAATTTTTTTTCTAAAAATTAAAACTTGTTTGTTGCCATGGAAGTCAGATTTTGTTCTCTCTCCCTTTTTTTTTCCTACTTAGTGGATCAGATTGGGCCTCTTATTGGGCCTAAAAGCCCAAATATCCAAAAGTTAATTCGAATCATCTTCTTCTCCCTCCTTTGTGAACCCTAAGATTCTCTCTTTGAATCTCTCTGTAAATCACAAAAAAGCTTGTTCATCGTCACTGAAATTAGAGTACAAAATCGACGAATTCGGAGATGATTTTTCAGAAATTGTGCACAAATGAGTCCAACCTCAACGCTATAGCTTCCGAATCGCGTTTTCAAACGCAGATCGGTGTTTCGAAATTCTCCTCTGGCGGCGGTGGTCGTATCTCCGCCAGGTCTAAAGACCGTCACATTAAGGTTAACGGAAGAAGCCGTCGAGTTATGATGCCGGCTCTTGTCGCCGCTAGGATTTTTCAGTTGACGCGTGAGCTTGGTCACAAAACTGATGGAGAAACCATTGAATGGCTCCTTAGTCAAGCTGAACCGTCGATTATTGCCGCCACTGGCTCCGCGACTAAGCCGATTTCGAATTATGTTGGTGTTGCGCCGGTTGATTCCTCGTCGCCGATGATGTTTGCTATGATGCAAACGCAAACGCAACAACCGCCGAGTTGTAAACTGGATCTATGTCAGCCAATCGGAACTCAGTATCCGGTGAATGGTTACAGTCATATGCCGTTCACAGCGATGCTTTTACAACCGATGACCACGGTGGCAGATTCCGACATTGAGGTCGCGGCGGAGGAGGAACGTCACCACCAGTAAAATTAGGCTTTTGGTTTAGTAGAGGTTTCAATGGACCACACTATGTAATCTTCGTAGGTTTGGAGTTTTAAATTAGGATTTTAAAAGTTGAGGTAACATAAGTATGATTTAGTCAAATCATGTGAAATAGTTTGGTATGTTATTTTGCCATTAAACCACTAATAGTTTGACAATGTTATTTGGTTTTGGAAACAAATTGGTTTAAATTAATTTCATATGTTTAAAATGTATATATGATTTTTCTCTATATTGATTTGTTGTTTTATGATTTTTAGACACACCATTTTAATTAAGAAAACTTCACAAAAAAAAAAAAAAATTCTCATGAAATCGAAAGAATCATCTTTTGTCATGCTCCTCCAATATAGTCACAACTATTTCTATTTTTGGTAAGTGAGTTATAAGAAACCAATCATTTTTCTCAGCCATTTTTTTTTTGCATTTGCTAGAAATCTGGACCTCCTTCCATGACTCTTACGATTGACCCTTCTCAACTCTCTTCTTTCACACAAAGTCTCTCATTTTTCAACTTTCCAACTTTTGATCTCAACGTCATCATTTCAAGATTTCTAAATATTCTTTTTTTTCTGCAACAAGCTCGTTATAGTTTTCTTTAAATTCTTCATCTCCATTTTTCAAGAACTCTAATTGATCATCTCTTGTTTCATTGCCGTGATTTTTTTATAAAACGGTTGATGTTTTGTTCTCAAGACATGATAGAAAAACACAAGCCATCTCTACGAATATATCTATTGGTAGCTTCCAATGTATCTATTCCATTGTTAGGCCAGAAGATTCAAATATTTCGGTTCGGACGGTTCTGATCTTAATAGCAAGAGTTTGATACAAGAACAATGAGAGTTAGGGTTGATGTTTGTTGGACACAACACATCTTGTTGTTCTTTGTTTTTGGCTTGAGTTTTATGTCATTTGCATTATCTCTGGATGGAGATGATTATAGCAAAACAGGGAACCCAAAAGTTCTTGTTTCGGTTACAAACCTTATATATACTCGACTTCAGAATCTAAAGAATGTCTTAAAGGCTGACGTTGATCGAGATTTAGGATATTGCATCAAAAATTTGTAAGTCTTTTCAAAATCCGCTTATGTAGTCCCATGTTTGAATTTTACATTTTTCATATGATTTGTTGATAATACAGGAAGGGCGATTGGAATGAAGCATTTAATTTTGATAAAAATCTGGACTTCTTAAGCAATTGTGTCAAGAAAAATGATGGTAAACAAAATAAATGGTTATATTTTTTTTATTCAAATACTTGAGCATTGAGATTTAATGGTCTTGTTATGCAGGTGACCTCACAATTAGACTATGTACAGCTGCGGAGATAAAGTTCTACTTCAGTAGTTTTGTTAGAAGAGATGAAGCAACAACGGTTCATGTAAAGCCTAACATCAACTGCAATTTGGCTAAATGGGTTTCCGGATGCGAGCCAGGATGGAGTTGCAACGCAGATGATGATAAAAGATTTGATCTCAACAATGGAAAAATTCTTCCATCTAGAACTCGTAAATGTCAACCTTGTTGTGAGGGTTTCTTTTGTCCACAAGGTCTTGCTTGCATGATACGTAAGAAATCTTTATATATACATATTATATCAACATTTTAAGTACTAAAAACTTTATATAATCTAACATATTCATTGTTGTTTATTCTCTGATTTATGTAAATGAAGCGTGTCCATTAGGCGCATATTGCCCGCTTGCCAAGCTTAATAAAACAACAGGATTTTGTGAGCCGTAAGTTGTTAGCTTTCTAGATTAAGTGAGTAAGCTAATGAAAAATATTATTAGTGGATGATTTAAAGAGTTTTTACATCGCAGATATAATTACCAAATTCCTCCGGGAAAGTTGAATCATACATGTGGTTCTGCAGATAGTTGGGTTGATGCGGAGAGTAGTGGTGATATGTTTTGTTCACCAGGTTCATATTGCCCAACAACGATTCGAAAGGTCACTTGTAGTAGTGGGTATTGATTCTTTTATCTCACAACTCTTTTTACCTTAGCTTTCTGAATAATTTGTTCATATGTGAAATATTCATCAAATTTGGTTACATTAAGGATTTAATATTTTATGTATTACTCAGGCATTACTGCAGACAAGGTTCTACTTCACAAAAACGTAAGTTTCTACAACCCAAGAAAATGAACTGTTTTATCAGATGATCGTTTAAAATATGTCACAAATTAAGTTAATCGTTCATTCTCTTTTTGGTGACCGTTTTAGCATGTTTTAAGCTCGCAACATGTAATCCGAATACCGCAAACCAAAATATTCATGCCTATGGAGCCATCTTAATTGTAAGTTTTTGTTAATAACAAAAAAAATTGCTTTAAAATTTGTTGAAAATTAACTATAGTTTTCATTTTTGTATATGTAGGCGTCACTAAGTCTTCTCATGATCATGGTTTATAACTGTTCTGATCAAGTTCTCGCCACTCGAGAAAAAAGACAAGCAAAGTCGAGAGAAGCTGCAGCTAGACACGCAAAAGAAACAACACAAGCTCGAGAAAGGTGGAAAACTGCAAAAGGTGTTGCCAAGAACCAAAAGATGGGATTATCTGCACAACTATCTCAAACATTTTCTCGCATGAAATCTGCTAGAAAGGATGCCACACCTGCTAAAGCATCAGGAAAGTCAAAAGACAAGAAAAAAGAACCAAGTAATTTAACCAAGATGATGAAATCAATGGAGGAGAACCCGAGTAACAACGAAGGATTCAATGTAGGAACCGGTAGTAAACCTGGGAAGAAGCCGCAAGCTCCAAAGGGTAAACAACTACATACTCAAAGCCAAATCTTTAAGTATGCATATGGTCAGATTGAGAAGGAGAAAGCTATGGAGCAAAACAACAAGAACTTGACATTCTCGGGAGTTATTTCGATGGCTACCGACACTGAGATGAGGACTAGACCTGTTATAGAAGTTGCGTTTAAGGATCTAACCCTTACATTGAAGGGTAAACATAAGCATATATTGAGATCTGTCACCGGAAAGATCATGCCAGGTCGTGTCTCTGCGGTCATGGGTCCATCAGGAGCTGGAAAAACTACATTTCTTTCTGCCTTGGCTGGAAAAGCAACTGGATGTACGAGGACTGGTCTAATCCTCATAAATGGTAGAAATGACTCCATAAACTCATATAAGAAGATCACTGGATTTGTGCCACAAGATGATGTTGTGCATGGCAATCTTACCGTCGAGGAAAATCTTCGATTTAGCGCAAGATGCAGGTAAAACCATGGTAAATTTATTCTCATATCATAGAGGAGATTAAGAGTCCAAGTTTTAAAAAAATTGGTTACATATATAGTGTTTCTATTTATAAAAAATGTTTTATATCGTTTATTTATATATATTTCTTTACATGCAGATTAAGTGCTTATATGTCAAAAGCAGACAAAGTGTTGATCATTGAAAGAGTGATTGAAAGCTTAGGACTACAACATGTAAGAGACTCGTTGGTTGGTACGATTGAAAAAAGAGGAATCTCTGGAGGACAAAGAAAACGTGTGAACGTTGGTGTTGAAATGGTCATGGAACCTTCGCTATTGATATTAGATGAACCCACTACAGGTTTAGATAGTGCATCTTCACAATTACTTCTTAGAGCACTTCGACGTGAAGCACTTGAAGGTGTTAACATTTGTATGGTCGTGCATCAACCCAGGTATGTTATCTCCGCCATGAATTATGTTATTTTTCCGTTTCACAAAGAATATCATTTTAAGAAAAAAAATTTGCTTAAAAATTATGTCTATTTAAAATATTAAGTTTAAGTTAAATACATTTAGTTATGAAACGGATAGAGTAATTTGTTTTTTTTCCTCTTATCAGTTATACAATGTACAAAATGTTCGATGACATGATAATACTAGCAAAAGGTGGCCTTACCGTGTACCATGGATCAGTCAAAAAAATCGAAGAATATTTTGCTGATATCGGGATCACGGTTCCCGATCGTGTCAATCCTCCTGATCATTATATAGATATTCTTGAAGGCATTGTGAAACCAGATGGTGATATAACTATAGAACAACTTCCTGTGAGATGGATGTTGCACAATGGTTACCCTGTGCCTCACGATATGTTGAAGTTTTGTGATGGACTTCCTTCATCATCAACTGGATCAGCTCAAGAGGATTCCACTCATAATTCTTTTAGTAATGATTTATGGCAAGATGTGAAAACTAATGTGGAAATCACGAAAGATCAGTTACAACACAACTACTCAAATTCTCATGACAATTCTAATCGAGTAACTCCTACCGTAGGTCGACAATATAGATATTTTGTTGGAAGGTATGATTTTTCTAGATTTGATAGAATGAAATTTTGTGGTTGCTAGTTTTCATATATGTACATTAAAACTTTAGTCTATATATTTCAGGGTTGGAAAACAACGACTTAGAGAAGCAAGACTACAAGCGTTAGATTTCCTAATATTATTAGTTGCAGGAGCTTGTTTAGGAACTCTTGCAAAGGTGAACGACGAGACGATTGATACACTTGGCTACACATACACCATTATAGCTGTCTGTAAGTTTCTTACGTACACTAATATATTAACTTATATTTACGAGTATTCGCGATTGGACCGTTAACTAAGCTTTTTTGTAGCTCTTTTGTGTAAGATCTCGGCGTTGAGATCGTTCTCTGTAGATAAACTACAATATTGGAGAGAAAGTGCCGCTGGAATTAGCAGTTTGGCACATTTTATGGCTAAAGATACAATGGACCATTTAAACACAATTATGAAACCTTTAGTGTACTTGTCCATGTTCTACTTCTTCAACAACCCGAGATCTAGTTTCGAAGACAACTACATTGTACTAGTATGCTTGGTCTACTGCGTAACAGGCATGGCTTACATCTTTGCCATATTGTACAGTCCTAGCGCCGCCCAATTGGTTTGTCCTCACTTTCTCATAATTCGTATATAAAGGAACCAAAAAAACTCACTAACCATATGGTACCTAAATTTGCGGTTATTGTTCTTGCAGTTATCGGTGTTAGTCCCCGTTGTTATGACTCTTATTGCGAATCAAGATAAGGAAAGCATGGTTCTTAAGTATCTCGGAAGCTTCTGCTACCCCAAATGGACTCTCGAAGCTTTTGTCCTTTCCAATGCTCAAAGGTAGAAAATTTGAAGATTTTTCTTCTAACACACATAATCATTCTTGATTCAGAAAATTTGATTTTGGATATTTTTTTTGGGTTAGGTACTCTGGAGTGTGGGTGGTGACTAGATGCAGTTCATTGTCTCAAAACGGATATGATCTTAGTGATTGGATATTATGTCTCATTGTTCTCATTCTTATGGGACTAATATGCCGATTCATAGCTTATTTCTGCATGGTTACATTTCAAAAGAAATAATCTAATAATTACACATGATTAAAAAGCTTACATTTTGTAAAATTCTTCTATTCTTTATACGTTAAATATTAAATGAGTTATATAAGTAGTTTATAGAATTAGAGAAGAAGGGATTTTAGAATTCCACTTTTGTAATTATTATTTGTAGATAATGAATGGTTATTACAAAGAAACTCGTTATTTTCATTTCGATTCGGTTTGGTTAATTCAATCTGATTTAATCGGTTCATAAGATGGTAATATTTTGGAGAAAGAACAAATTTGTTTAGCAATATTTATAATTTTGGTATTAATTAAAAGAAATGTAAATTGTTATGTTATAATTTTGTAAGGTAAACATAATTTAGCTTATTATTATGATTAAAAAAAAGGTAAAGGTCAAATATAGATTTCGCAAATCAGATCTAAACTGTTAATAAACAGTGAGATCCAACGGCTGATAGCATGACACAGATCTAGACCTAGTATCCTATACTATTATTTGGGGAGTACACTTTATAAGAAACCCTTAACTAACCTTCTCTTTTGTAAAAAATTACATGAGAATGCCATTACAAATTTCTTCTTTTAGAACAAATTTTATTCAATTTCTTAAGGATAAACAAGTAAAATACTAATTTATGTCATTTAATTAATTTAATTAAATTATAAAACGAAAATCTGTTATTAATTTTTTTTAAATGACCAATCAAAATGAATATATAAGATTTGATATCTAACTTACCATATTAATTTGTTATTAATCATTAAACTTCACCTCTCATCTTTATATGATTATATTTATATGAAACAAATAAATCATCATATCATCTATATAATAAAAAAAAGTAAATTTTTTTCTGCATATGCCAAGATTTGAATTTTTAAAAACGCATATAAATTGTTCAATCTATAGAGAAAACAATTAAACGGGTCAAAAATTCAGACTTGAGTAATATATTTCTTTTACACAAAAATAAATTCAACAAAAATTTCGACTGAGCAACGGGTCAGAATTTGAATATTTATATTCGATTTCATACATTTATTTTTTGAAATGTATAATTTTATATACTTCAATAAAAAATTAAATATTTTAATTTGCAACATTTAAAATAAGTTTTACTTGATATTTTTAGAGAATATCATCAATACTTAATAGTTCAAAAAGTTAAAAATTATAAATACTCTAATTTGATTATTTTTAAAAATATTTATAATAGGTAGCGGGTTAAATATAATATATTATATGATGAAATGAGTTTTGATCCTTATAACTATTTGAATAGTTATATTTAATTTCATATAATTTGTTTTTTGAAATTCAAAATTTATAAACTACAAAAAAAATTTAAATATTTTAATTTGGAATATTTAAAAATAGTGTAGAACATTTAAATATGGTTTGACACCTCTAAATATTTGAAAATTTGATTCCGCAAGCAATTTTAGAATTAACGAATAATAGATTGTGCACGTAATATTTTGAAATGAAATATTAAGATTCTAAAATAAAAATATAGACTCCACGCACATGTTGATTTTGGTATTAATATATACTAAATATATGTTTATAACATATTCGATTATGCAAATAATTGGTAAATTCCGTAATTATAAATCTCAAACAAATTCTGTAATTAGATTAGCTCAAACAAAACTCTATTTCAACAACCAAAGAATTATAAATTGAAAAAGAATTTTCTAAATTAATTCAAAATAATAGCTAATTTCTTAATTAATTCAAAATAATCTATGTTTTATATGCTATTCATTTATGATATTTTAATTCTAACTAAAATATATGCAATCCTATTTTGTGGTTGTTAACATAAATTAACTCATTGTTCAAAAAATATTACTTTTTAAAAAATAAAATTATTTTCCGTTTTCATATCTTAAAAAAAAAATTATCCATAATTGAGTATTATAAAAAAAAATCTATATTTATTCTAATATTGTATATAGGGACTGACAAAAAAATTAATATTTTTTTACTCTGTATTATAATATATTAAAACTTAGTTCTAATATATATATTATATAAATTTTGTAATAAATAAAATTCAACCCGTACTTTAGTACGGGTGATGATCTAGTCTCGTATAAAAGGCAACAACGGCTGATAGAATAACAAAAGTCTCAAATTTCTCTGTCGAAACAATGGGCGATGAAAATTTCTCTAGTAAGCTCTCTCTTTCTATCACTTCTTGATCGATAAGAATTTGTTTTATGTAGATTTCATCTTAGCTATCTGTAATATATCAGTTAACTTAGCATATCTACTTCGATCTATCGATGTCATATATATTGAAGTTTATGCTATCGTAATCTCATCTTAACTTGTTTATGCCTTTTTACGTTTCCATAATTCTCTTTTTTTTTTTAATTTTTTTTGTGAAGATACTTCCACATGCGTCTTCTGGGACGTCGACGATTACCCAATCCCTAAAGATATCGAGCCTAGATGTATTTGTCACAACTTCGAATTAGCTCTTGAGAATTTAGGTTATAGTGTTTTTTATTTGGAAATCGAGGCTTATGGTGAGAATGAGATCCCCCAAGCGGAATCTGAAGAATTGCTGGATGTCGGAATCATGTACAAACCCAAAGGTGTATTCCTTTACTTACAACCTCTTAACACTTTCTTCTACTTATATATATGTATGTCTGTGACCTAACCTAGATCTCTGTTGGTATATATATATAGGTTCAGTTAATTTACTGTTATGGGACATTCTTCTACGTGCTAATGAGCCACGAAAAAATTTGATGGTAATCTCAAATAAACTCCGTGAAGACAAGGAGGCCGTCAGGGTTCTTTGGGCTTTGAAATCAAGTGGCCGCACTGTTCTTTTGGTACAGCCAAATGACGAGGCTGCATTAGAAAAGCTATTTCATACTCCAGAGTCAATATCTGATTGTATAATATTTTTAAATGGAGAAAAGCCTATAGACCAAAGTGTTGACGATGCTTCTTCTTGTACTAGCTGGGAAACTGATACTGATAGTGAAATTGATGATGAGGACTAGAGATTCCGTCCTACAAACAAAAAATCTACTTTTAACTGATATTTTTGTATAAAAATATTTTGATGTTTTATCTTTTTGTTTTGTTAAAACTCTGTTTTGGGTTCAAATGATTTACAGTTTTATCTGATTCTTTACTCATCTCATGGAAATCTTCTATTTCTCGAAGAATTATTAAGTTCATAAGAGACACGTGCAAGTTTGGACATCTCACTAATTAACATTTTCAACTACCAATAACATCAAAAATGTGAAGTTGTTCTTTTTTAAAATTTATTTAATTTATATTTAAAATATGGAAAATTTTCTAAATATAATTTTTAATGTAAATGTATCATATAATATAATCAAAATGTAAAGTTTTTCTTATGATAAATGGAAATATTTAAAATATGGAAAAGTTCTAAATATAAATAAGATAAATATTTTTGAAAAAGGGAAAGAAAAACAATAAAAAGATCCAAATCTAGTTTTAGCACAGATCTAGACCTAGTAGCGTATAGGCAAGTCTCAAATTTCTCTGGCGATCTCTCCGTCGAAACCATGGACAATGAAGGGCATTGTAGCTCAATCTCAGGCGTCTTTTTGGACGTCGCGGATTGCCCACTCCCTAAAGATTTCTATCTTCCTTCGATTTATTGTAAAATCGAATCACTTCTTGAGAATTGTTTTCAATGTTTTGGAACATATAGGTTTCAATGTTTTGTCGGTACTGCCTCCTGATGAGGCCGTATCAAAAGAGCTATTACGTGATGCAGACTCGATATTTAACTGTACAGTTAATACAATCCGCATGGACCCAAGGCTTGGAGGTGTAATCCCTAAGGATAACAACTATATCCCCGATGACTATATCTCCGGTAAGCTCTCTCTTTCTATATCTTCTTCATCGATAAGAATTTGTTTGTGTAGATTTTGTTTTTGCGATCTGTAATCAGTCAACTATTTTCCGTTTTATGAAACCTTGCAGATGGGCCTACGACACGCGTCTACTGGGACGTTGTCGATTACCCAATCCCTGAAGACATGGAACCTAATTGTATTCATCAGAAATTAGAATCAGCTCTTCTGCTGAAAGGTTATATTAATGAGATGTCAATATGGGCTTATACCGATAAGATAACGTTCTCAGGCTTACTAGAGAAGGGCTTAGTAGAGAAGTATGCCAAGTCCAAAATCTATTTCCTTCCTGGAGGTGAATACTTTCAACTTTAGCCCATTTATATTGCTATGTCTCTCTCTTACATGTATGTAATCTGTATCTCTGATGATGTATATTTTTCCAGGTGGTGACAAAAATGCGAGACATAATAGGATGATAAATGACATTAGATTATGGATAATAGACTCACCTGTGGATGGTACTGCACCATCAAATGTGATTGTTATCTCAAACAACATCCAAGGAGATGACGTCGAGACATATGGCATCCCAAGAGTCATTGACTTGATCTATCCTCTTAAATGCTTATATGCGAGAGGTTACAATGCTTTCTTAGTACAGCCTAAACTGCTCGCACCAGAAATATCCCAAACCTCAGAATGGCCAGGACACCTATTAGATGTAGGTGAAGTTATTGGCAGATATAAACCCGACCCCAGTCAGAAGAAGCGGTGGCGAAAGAAAAAGAAGTCGAGAAAGCGTAAGACCAGTGGTAAGCTCTCTCTTTCACCAGTGGTTAACTTAGCTGATCTAATTCTCATCTTTTACTTGCCAGAGTTTTGTAATTTGCTTATGCCTTTTTCTGTTTTTGTGAAACCTTGCAGAGCCTATCACACGCGTTGATGGGCCTAAGACAGGCATCTTCTGGGACATCAATGATTCACCACTCCCTAATGATCTTGATCCTCAATCAATGTATCAGAAACTCAAATCAGCTCTTGAGGAAAAAGAATATTTAGGTGAGATGACAATATGGGCTTATGCCGAGAAGATAACGTTCTCGGATGACTTAGTGGATGAATATCGGAAAGCCAAAATTTACTTTCTTCCCGGAGGTGAATTCTCTCAACTTTTAACACTCTTTGTCTCTCTTTACATATATATTTGTATGTAATCTATATCTCCGATTGATGTATTTTCTTTTACAGGGGATAAGAATGCGAGGCATAATAGGATAATACATGACATTCTTTTATGGCAAATAGACACACCTCTGAGGTATCCTACAGAATCAAATGTGATCGTCATCTCAAACAAGATCCCATGTGACATTGACTTGATCAAATGTCTTGTATATTCGGCTGGGGTAGGTTACAATAATCTCTTAGTACAGCCTAATGCTTTTTCTGCACCCGAAAAGCATAAAACCTCAGAATGGCCAGGATACCTATTAGATGGAGGAAAGCCTATCGGCGGAATCAGATATTTATCGCCGCGCAATCAATAGTTGTTATGACTCTTATCGTGAATCAAGATAAAGAAAGCATGGTTCTTAAGTATCTCGATGGGAAGCTTCTGCTACCCCTAATGGACTCTCGAAGCTTTTGTCCTTTCCAATGCTCAAAGGTAGAAAGTTTGAAGATTTTTCTTCTATCACATAATCATTATAATTCAGAGAATTTGATTTTGGATGGTTGGGTTAGGTAGTAGGTACTCTGGAGTGTGGGTGGTGACTATATGCAGTTCATTGTCTTAAAACGGATATGATCGTAGTGATTGGATATTTTGTCTCATTGTTCTCATTCTCATGGGACTAATATGCCGATTCATAGCTTACTTCTGCATGGTTACATTCCAAAAGAAATAATCTAATCACCCTATATTAAAAAAGTGGTTTATAGAATTAGAAGAAGGGATTTTAGAAATCCAATTTTGTAATTTGAATATGTAGATAATGGTTATTACAAAGAAATCCGTTATTTTCTTCATTTCAATTCAGTTTGGTTAATTCAAGGACTTGAGATCGACAGTGAGTAAAAGTTTTAGGGCTTATTAAATCATTTTGAAAACTACACTATTTTTGAGTTAATACTTTGAAAAATACCCATTTATCTATTTTTAATGAAAACTACAATATTTTATATGTAAAATGACAATTTTGTATTAATTTTAAATTTATAACTATATTTTCAGTAAATCAAAACTAAATTCGAAATTTAGAGAAAAAATAAACTAAATTTACAAATAATATTAGTTATATATATTTTAAAGATAATTTGTTAATTTTATATATTAAAATTTATTAAGATAATATCTAAAAATATTAAAAAGTCTATCGCTTAATATTTTTCATGTTATATAAAGTAAAACAATCTCCAACACTCCAAACATATTTTCAACTCAACATAACACCAAACTTTGCTTCAATTCAAAGATTCTCTTTGAATTTTTTCACAAAGTAACTATTTTATGTGTTTTTAATAATAACGAATCATCAAAATATGCACCATAAAAATAACACATGACTTAACAAAAATCATCACTTAACATCGGTGGAATGCTGTTATTCATTATTGTCTTAAAAAAAATATTTAGGATAGTAAATTTTAATTTGTAGTTATTAGTTATATAAAAACTTTGTAAAAATTAAATATTTAATTATTACCAATAAATTGATTTGATATTTAAAACATAGATATTTTGATAAATTATTATTAAATTTAAGTAAGGCTATTTTAATAGTTTTACTTATCAGCAATTTTGAATTACCAAATTCCCACTAAGTAAATAAAACGCGGCCGTTTCATCTGATTCATTTGACGTATAATATAAGCCAAAATATTAGAGATTTCTTTCTCATTCTTAAAATTTCCTGGCGAGCTCTCCGTCGAAACCAATGGACGAGGAAGAGTCCCGTAAGATCTCTCTTTCTATATCTCCTTGATCGATACGAATTAGTTTGTTTAGATTTCATGTTAGAGATCTAATTCTATCATTTATAGTGAAAACCCGGTTTCGTTATTTGTTTTTGTTACGTGAAGGTCATTGTTACTCAGTCACAGGCGTCTTCTGGGACGTGGAGGAAATCCCAATCCCTAAAGATGTCAATCTTCCTTCGATTTCTTGTAATATCGAATCAGCTCTTGAGAAGTTGGGTTTTTATGCTCTTGAACCGGTCGAATTCATTGCTTTGGGTGAGAAGAAGGATATCGCCTCAAAAGGTGAATGGTTCGAAGCCGACATCTACTACGTATCCGAAGGTGAATTCCTTTACATAAACCCTCGTAACACTCTTTCCTGGCTAAATCTATGTTTGATATATTTTTCGCAGGGGATAAAGACACTCGAGTTAACTTAATGTCATTTCACATTCTTAACTGGGCATCGAGCTCTTTTAAGTGTCAACCAAATGTGATGTTAATCTCAAGAAACCTCCCCGATGACACAGAGTTCGTCAGGGTTTTTGCCGCTTTGAAATCAAGAGGTTTCAATGTTCTCTTGGTACAGCCTCATGATGAGGCCGCATCAAAAGAGCTCTTACGTAATGCAGACTCAATATCTGACTCTACTAGATTTTTTAATGGAGGAAACCATGTGGATGACCAAAGTGGAAGCTCACAAGGTGTTGACAATATTTATTCTCTCATCCTGAGAGCTTCTGTCCTTTGTTATGTTAAACTCTGTTTTCGGTTTTAAATTTATATATGTCCTCCTAATGCAGCATTCTTCAATTTTGTCTAAACAGGTTCTCTAGTCTCAAATTCTCTGGCGATTGAAACCATCAACAACGAAGATTTCTCCAGTTAAGTATCGAGTTTTATGAAATCTAATTCTATTGTAATCCCATTTATGCCTTTTTTCGTTTTATGAAACCTTGCAGAGCCTATCAAACGCGTTGATGGGCCTAAGACAGGTGTCTTCTGGGACGTCGATGATTCATCACTCCCTAATGATCTTGATCCTCAATCGATCTATCAGAGAATTAAATCAGATCTTGAGAAAAAAGATTACTATATTTACGAGATGTCAATATGGGCTTATGCTGAGAAGATAACCTTATCAGATGAATTGTTGCATGAGTATCGCAAGTCCAAAATCTACTTCCTTCCCAAAGGTGAATTCTTTTTTTTTTACTTAAGCCTTAGCTCTTAAAACAATCTTTGTCTCTTATATATGTATGTAATCTAAATCTTTGTTGATGTATCTCTATAGTTCCAGGGGATAAAAATGCGAGACATAATATGATGTTACATGACATTAGTTTATGGGCAATAGACACACCTGTGGCATATCCTGCACCATCAAATGTGATCGTTATCTCAAACAACATCCAAGGAGACGACGTCCAGACAGACGGCATCCCAAGAGTCATTGACTTGATCTTTACTCTTGAAGGTTTGTATTCGAGAGGTTACAATGCTTTCTTAGTACAGCCTAATCTGCTTGCACCAGAGATGTCCCAAACCTCAGAATGGCCAGGATGCGTATTAGATGTAGGTGAAGTTATTGGCAGATTTCTTCTAGCCCCTAGTCAGATGAAGCGTATGCGGAAGAAAGTTAAGCCAAAGCGAATTCGTCGAGGCAGAAGAGCACTTCGTGAGGACTAGCTTCTCTGCGTAGATCATGACCGTTGTTACTTCCTTATTTGAAGCCTTAACCTATAGAATTATTTATATTAATTCTGTTTTCAACTATTTACGTGTGAGCTCTTCTTCTCTTTAGTTATCCGCTCTTTGTTTGTTGGAATTTCTTGCGACATTGTCCATATTCTTATCTATCTCTCAAACTTCGATTCCAAAAGAAATAATTTATTTACCATGATTAAAAAGCGTACATTTTGTAACAAAGTTGTATTTTTTAGGGCAATTTACATAAATGGCCCCAAAAAAGTTTTTTTTTCCAAAAATAGCCCCATATTTCATAGTTTCCAAAAATGGCACCTAATACTTTTTAATTAACCATTAATTAAAAAATAAAAAATACAGAAAATCTAATCTCGAGCCACTGCCTCCACGATTCTCGTTTGCCTCCGATTCTCCATAGTTGCCTCCGATCGTCGGAAAATTCGATCTCCTCCGGTATCTCGAACCACTGCCTCCACGATTCCTCGACTCAACCCAGTCGACCCAATTTGAGAAAGAGACCTCTCTCCGTCGCACCCAATATCTTCTCTCCGTCGCACCCAATTTGAGAAAGAGACCTCTCTTCGTCGCACCCAACGATCTCTAGCCTTCCCGATCTCTGGCCTTCCCGATCTCTGGGCCATCACTGCTGCAGGAACTGGTTCGTTCTCTAACTTGTCTTTTTATATTTCTGCAAATGAGTTAGCTCTGTGAAATCATGATTGGAATCTACCATAGAGTATCTTATGTGTGCTCGCTAAGTGAACAATTGTTTATTGGTTTAGGATAATTGTTTGATTGATCTGTTCAAAAGGGGCCAGGTTTTTGAAAGTTATTAGCTTTTAATGATGAATCCCTTTCATGTTCTTAAAGTGGATGGCTTTGTATATCATTTGATTTGCTTAACAAAGTTGTTTAGGCATGCTTTTGTTGGATTTGTGTTTGCTATAGAGTGGTCATATGTTTGATTGGTCTGTTCAAGAGGAGTCAGGTCTTTGAAAACCATTAGCTTCTTATGATTGAACCCTTTATGTTCTCCAAGTCCCTTGTTTTGTATATCATGTGGTTCACTTAACAAAGTAGTTGAGGCATGCTTTGTGTTGGTCTTGTGTTGTGCCTTTGTTTGCGGTTAAAGGCTCTATCTACGTTCTCATTCTCATTCGGAATCAGTTCTTCAATTTTCGTTTGTTGGTGAATGATAAGATGTTATCTAGAATGGTACAAATGGTTTGTGTATATGGTTGTGTTTTTTATATGAGTCTGCAACACAAATTGATTAGAGATTCATCTATTTAAGGCTCTCTTTTGTTAACCTTAGCTTCTCTTAGATAGCTTGTGAATCGTAGTTTGCATCATATTAGTTTATCACTTTAGATGAGTATAGTTTTTGTCACAATTTGAGAGATATATCGTCACATAGTTACAGATTCAAGTTTGTGATATGAAGATATGAATAAACATTTTTTACTTGTTTCTGTGTTGTCATTGTCTGTTCTCGTTACTTGATAGAGTTGTTTTAGTTTGCATTCTAGAATGGTCTTCCTGATTCGGGAAGGACTTATAGTAATTCGGGAAGGTCTTCCTGATTCGGGAAGGACTTATAGTAATTCGGGAAGGTCTTCCCTGAATATATCTGTTTACTGATTTTCTTTAATTTTAATTGCAGGAAAATGGGAGATTCGTTTCCAATTGATGTCACACTGCCAAAGCTTCTGTACAGTATAGGACATGAGCCAAATTCAGATGTTAGGATAAATCAATGTGCAAGATATGAGTATATCGATAAAGTACAACGCATCCTCTCTGCTACAGAGTTTTAGAGAATGATCAGAGAATTGAAGATTTTTCCAAGCTGTGTGATATAGATTCAAAAGACATCAGAAACAAGTTGGTTGTGGATATCTTCAATGAGTGTGTTAAGATTTCTTAGGACTATGTTTCTTTATTGGATGTATGATGCTTGTGAAACCGTTTTAGACTGTTTTGGTACTTCTATGATGGTTCTGAACTAGAAAAGTATCATCTGTTTTTATTTATGTTTTTTTTAGATATTCAATGTATGGTATTTTGTTAGATACCATATGTTTCCTATAGGTTATCCACTCAGTTGAATGCTCTCAGCATATCCTTTGCATCTTAACTATGCAATTTGTGAAAGATTTGAGGCAAACTATAAAAGTAAACAATTTTTGAAATTCAGGAAGGGTTTCCAAATATTCAGGAAGGATATATACAAATTCAGGAAGGCCTTCCCTAAAAAAAAGACTGTAATAGTTATTTCCACCAGGATTCAAAACCGGGACCTATTGTTTTTGTAATAGAACATGTAACCACTAAGCCAAGCATCTAATTGTAAGATCTTGTACAAACGAACGTATATATTTCTATGAAACACGAAACACATCATGACATAAAAAGAGATAGATCATTGACCCTAAAAAAATGTGTAATTTGTGATTAATATGAGGCAAACGATGCAAAAGTAAACAATTTTTGAAATTCACGAAGGATTCTCAAAAATTCAGGAAGGATATATACATATTCAGGAAGGCCTTCCCAAAAAAAAAACTGTAATAGTAACTTCCACCAGGATTCAAAACCGAGACCTATTGTTTTTGTTATAGAACATGTAACCAGTGAGCCAAGCTTCTAATTATAAGATCTTGTACAAACGAACATATATATTTTTATGAAACACGAAACACATCATGACATAAAAAGAAATTTTATAACTTCGCAGTAGCTTGCCTTCCTAAAGTTGGGACATAGATGAGTTTGTGATACATTACCCCTCACTAATGGAGTAATATGTGATACATTTGATAAAACATAAATAAAGAGATTCAAAAACACATTTTTAAAATTTTAGGAAGGATTTCATAATGTTTAGGAAGCTGTCATTGAAGTTTATGAAGGTCTACCTAAATTTCTGAAAACAACTTCTATGTGGCCAACTTTGGATTTGTAGTTTGTATGTACATTACGCTTCACTGATGGAGTAATCGTTGATACATTACAAAACATAAATAAAGAGATTCAAAAACATATTTTAAAAATTTAGGAAGGATTTCATAATGTTTAGGAAGACGTCCTTGAAGTTTAGGAAAGTCTACCTAAATTTCTGAAACCAGCATCTAAGTAGCCAACTTTGGATTTGTAATTTGCGTGTCGATGGAAAATTGTAGCAAACTCTTGACGAAGCATTAGCTGCAAACTCTACCTGTGGAAAACCTGCAAACTACAAGCCGAAGGAGCCGACGATCGAAATCTATGACGACGACGAACTTATCTTACTCTTAACAAATATTTTCCTCATCTTCCTCTACTCAACAATCTCTTTAATCCCAAAACTATTTCCACACAGCTTCAGCTTCCACAAAACGATAATGGTTCGGATTTGCTATTTACCAGAGCAGGAACAAGACTCTCATCATGTATACTCAATATTTTCCCAAATTTAAGAGCAGCTCCACGCATTTCACACAATCCAAGAGCTAATCTTTCTGCACTTTCTTTAGACATGAAAGAAGATAGTGCAGGTTGATTGTCTTGTGTCATTGGTGTCCCATTTACCATCCTATATGTAGATTCTTTAACTGCTCTCTAAGCAAGAGCAGCTCCTAAAATTGAAAAACCTTCACATTTCACAAAATTCAACTTGTTAAAATTACTTCAACATAAGAATCTATCTAATCCAACTAAGCAACATATCATTGTTTTGTAGATTCTATCTAACCTAATTAAGCAACGAGTGATTGTTTTACCCATAAGCTCTTGCCGTAGGTGTTGATGGAACCATCCGTTCTCTAGGTCTCCGTCTCTTCACCGAATCTCAAACTCCAATATTCTTGCCGGCTTCATCGCCTGAAAGCTTATTCTCTTCTTCTCTAATTGAAATCTTAGAGAAGCTAATCAAATCGAGGCTCAAACTATATCCACACCAACAAAATCAAGAGCTACACTCACGAATCTTGAGCTAGACTCACAAACTTCATAGACCATCACGATTCCTAAAGCTACACTCAGATTTCACATTTAACACGATTTGTGAAAAATAAGAAGAAATTAGAGAAATAACAATCGATTAAGGACCTGATTGAAGCTATGAGATCGGAAGCTTCATCGGGATTGAATATCAGAGATCATAATCTTTACCGGAATTGAAGATTCGAGATCGGAAGCTTCACCGGAGAGCACAATCGTAAAATCTCCGTTGGTGTGTTTAATTTTGGTGCTATTTTCTGTTTCTTATCTTAATTAATTTAATTAATTCTTAAAAATCAAAAATAAGGTAAATGAGTGCTATTTTTGTCAAATAAACTTGGAGATGCTATTTTTGTCACAAAAACTTCATTTAGGGCTATATGAGACCATTTCTCTATTTTTTATACATTATATTAAACTAGTCACAGAAAATGTTATTAGAATTCCCAATTTTGTGCTATTTTAGACACTCTACTTTTTTTTTTTTTTTTTTTTGACAGCTATTTTGTGGATACAAGAAATCGGTTTGGTTTATATGATCCGGTTTAATCGGTTAATAAGATAGTGGCGGAAAGAGAAAAAAGAAGCGGCGTAACTAAAAAAAACACGACACGATGATGAATTCGGCGTTTCGAAACGTTCACTTCACTGCGTCTCGTTTGATAAACCCTAAGCCCTTTTCTTCTTCGATTCTCCATTTTCTTCCTCTCTGTTCCGGCGACGCTTCACATCGTCGTTCCAATCCTCTCCGGCATCGAAACTCGGTGTCTCCTTCTTCTTTTTCTTCTTTCTACATTCCTATGGCGGGAGGTGATGGTCAGGTGTCTCTTTCGCTTGAGAAACAGTTCGAGAATTTCCGTGTTCAATTGGAAGAATCTGCAGCTTTGAGAGAGCAGATTCGTGCTGTGGTTATGGAGATTGAGTCCGCTACTAGGCTCATTCAAGCTAATCTTCTTCTCGTTCATCAATCGCGACCTATTCCTGGTAAATGATTAGTCTTTCGGTCTTTGTATTTTGAAAAATGTTGGAGCCAAAAAGGTTAAAAATTGAATCTTTTAGCTAAATGTTTGAAATGGCTTCCTGGGTTCAGAACTTGGTGATGAAGTTCTCTTTGAAGGGAAGTAACTAAAAATGAATAACTTGTGTACTTGTTGTTGAGAAAAGAATGAATATTGAATCACATATAGCCTTTGTTCTTTAAAGAAATTCATTGAAAGTGTTTGGTTGTTACTAAAGATTACTCATTTTGTTGATGGATCAGAGGTTATCGAGAAAGCGAAGGAAAAGATTGTTGATTTGAAGAAGTTTTATGGTCGGCTTGCTGAAATTCTTCAGGAGTGTCCTGGACAGTACTATAGGTAAATTTGAAAGCCATTTGTAGTAAGATTTTCTTAATTTGCAAATTGCAATGCATTTTCCGCAATGGTTTAGTGATAAAAGGTTTTGTAATTTAGGTACCATGGAGACTGGAGAAGTGAAACACAGGCAGTGGTCTCACAGCTTGCTTTTATGCACTGGCTAGAAACTGGAACTCTTCTTGTGCATACGGAAGCTGAAGAAAAACTTGGGTGTATGTCTCTGGATCTCAATTTTACTCTTTTTCTTACATCCAAATACATATCATGGCCTAGTGGTTGTAAAAGAACAAAACTTAGTTTTTGCTGGTTCTCTCACAAACTTTGAACAATAAGTGTAGAAACTATATATGAATTCTTGAAAATCTATAACTCTCGCTGCTTAATCTTAACAAAATACTTGACAAGACATATCTGTTTTCCCTTCCCACAATAGGTAACAACTGAGTTGGCAGTAGGCAATCAATTTGAAATCCTTACATGACTCCAACGTAATATGCGTATAATCCTGTGACCCTCCTTTTGCCTGACCTGTCTCAGTTGAAAATCTGAATGAACTAGTTTGCTACTAGTCTTCTTTTACAGTTAATTGACTCTCTTATGATCTCTTATCAGTATGTTATTTGATTTTTTTCCTAAGGCTTTGTTTCAGTCTGCATTTTATCCACTTTAGTGTCACCTCAACTGAGTTATAAATTGCTGCTTTCCACGAACTAAGTTATCCTCCCTTAGGATGGATGATGATGCGAAGGTTGGTGTAGAATAGACATTTGCCAAGTGTTGTTTTGTTTCAAATCTGGATTTGTAATCTTGTCAAATCACTTTTCTCTTTCGATTAAAATAAGCAGCACAAGTTGTTGGTCAAATCATCTGTCATAATGTTTCTTCTAATTCCACTTCATTGTATTTCAGTGAAGAGTTTGGAGTTTGGATTGGAGACAGAAGATTATCTCACTGGTAAGTTTTTGAGAAAGAACCCATATTTTCATTGGAAGGCCAATATCTGTGGATCAAATAAGCCTCAGAGCGTTTTATGAATCGCAACATTACTTTTCTATTCTCTGATCTTCAGCTTTTTGAATACTTTGCAGGAATTTGTTTCATGTCCAACGATTTGGTAGGATCATTTTTTCCCCTAATTCTTACTTTCCATCTTTTCCCTTCACATCCCACTTGATAGCAACTTATGAAAAACATTTGGAAAAACGCAAATGGGATTTACGTTCATTCAAATTTCTGGGTGATGCAATGTTTGAGCAGCCTAGGTACGTGGTTAATCGAGTGACAGCAGGAGACTATGACTGCCCAAGAAAGGTGATGAATTTCTTGACAGATCTTCATGCAGCCTTTCGCATGCTCAATCTCAGGAACGATTTCCTGCGCAAGAAATTCGACAGTAAGTCATCTCTTACTGCTCTCCTTTCTCTAATTGCACTGCAACTCTAAGATGGTGACATAAAAACGTTTCGTTTTGACATGTGACAGGTATGAAATATGACCTAAGAAGAGTTGAAGAAGTTTACTACGATGTCAAGATCAGAGGTTTGATTTCCGCTGGAGATCAAGAAATACAAGGCCAGTCCTAAGAAGTCTACACTCGTATCTGCTCTTTACTCTTATCTCTTATATGACTTGGTTTATAGCTCAACACTAAAAATGGCAAGGAGTTTTTTTTTATAAAACAAAAAACGGCAAGTGTTCCTTTTGTGGGCCTTGAGAAGCCCATGTTTTATGCTTTTTAGTTAGATAACGTCTATGTGACATGAGTCAATTAACGGCGTCAAAAGAATCGAAACTTTACCGTTATCCGAGTCAGCAGCTTAATATAACAGTAGATGTTCATGAACACCACCTGTCATCGTTGCGGACTTGAAACGCACGTTATATTACACGGTGTCTTACGTCATTTGGATTTCAAAACTAAATAAATCAGGTTTTGGAATCCGAGACAAACAAAAAAAACAAAAAACAAAATCCTCAGTCCAACAACAGTCGCCATTTCACCTCCTGCGTCAGGGTTGTTCGTCTCCTCTCGTCGTCTCTGTTTGGTACTAATTTTTTCTTTGACATTGTGTTAGATTCTGTCTTGAACTTGAACGATCTCTTATCCATATCTTCAACTAACACAAATGTATGTATGATATATGGTTCAATGTTCTTCGATTTTTTTTCTCGGATTATTCGTTTCTTCAAATTCCAGATTTTAGTTTAAGGAGGAGGATAAGCAGCTAGATTTTCTTCTTTCTTTATTTTTATTTTTTCTTCCCAGGAAAATATTTTTCTTATTTCTAATGTAACAGCTGTGAGTCTCTCTCTGGCCCACTTTATACGTAATTTCTTTTCTGGTTTTGTTTTTTCTATATTGCATTTGCATTTTGATTGGTGATTGTGATAAACATTTAAAACATTGACGCTTCTTCTTCTGTAGCTATTAAAAGTTTTGATTTTTTATTTTTTTTGTGTGTTTATCCCTCTTCTCTAGATCATCCGACAGAAATTTGTCTGGTTACAGTTTCTATATAATACTGTAATTGCATAGAATGTCTGTCCTTTGCTCTTAACTAGATCTTATTTATATATTTTTTTTTACTAGATTTGAGGCAAAGTAATGTTTTTTTTTTAAAATTCGAGAGAACATGTTTCTTCATGTTGTGACTTTGTTTACTAGTGCTTAAAAACATGGATCAATCTATGGATTGGGAAAACATGCTCAGTATTGTGAATGTAGCATGTAAGTTAGATTTTAGTTTATGGGCAACATTGTCCGGTTCTGTTCAATTATTGAGAACATAAATACTTGTTCTTTGCAGTGTAAAAACTTGGACCTTGACTTGAAATGGGACCTTCTGGGATGGACACAACACCCGATTTTCTTGATACTTTTGCTGGATTCAAGTCTGCCAGTGTGAGAACATCATCTTCTTCACTTGTGTTCCTTGGTTTTAGGTTATTTATTAGGATGAATTTATTTCATGATTGTAATTAAACTCTTTTTTTTTTATGTATATCTTTTCTTGATAGGTTGATGAGAGTCTTGGTCATTCAATAGAGGATAAAATGAGTGACATGAAGCATTTCCTAATGGCTCCTAATCATGACAATCCTGCGGTGGACAGTTTCTTAGGTCTCGGTATGGAGAATATGGGGTTAAGCTCCAAGATGGAGGAATTTTCTCATGGATTCGACTTTAGCTTTCTCCCAGATTATGGTAAGTCAATTAAAGTGCTCTTATATTGAATCTAATTCCATTGTAAATGGGAGTATGTTTAATGCTAGAGCCATCTTTCATTTTTTCTAAGGTGGACTAAACTCTTGTAGCACTCAAGATGTGGAAGCAGGTTTAAAGTTTGAGGTATGTGTTCTCTTTTTATGCTCTCCATTACATGGTTTCTTTCTTGGTCATTCTTGAAATGAAGTTTCTTATCGTCTCGTAGATTCTTGATGGATTTCTGGATGGAGTTGATGAAGTGGAAGATATCTACGCATCACATGATCTTTCTTCTATTGGTAACCATTTCCTTCCAGGTATATTTATGTGATCCTATCATACTAGTGCATCTGAGCAATATGTGGTTTAGAATCCATTTTATAATTTACTTGCAGAAACTGAAGTCAAGAAGAAAGTATCTGAATTAGATGGTGACCCCTATGGTCTTATGGACTTGAGTTCAGAATCTTTTTCTCCTGGAATTAGTGGAAGCATTGGACTCTCGGAGTGGTCAAAAGAAACTGTTCCACATGCTGAATCCCAGAATGTATCCAGCGAAAAAGTTAAAGATATTTTGGATTCAAATGAGTCAGAAGATGACAAGAAACCACTCTCCACTTTTATAGGCTCTTGGGTTAAACGAGGCAAAAATCGGAAAAAGAATTTGATCAACACCGCTTGTAGGAGGTAATCGTCAGTGACTTAAGTCTTATTCTGAATATATAATTCCACTGGCATCAGATTTCCTAGTGAAGCTCTCATTTTTAATGTTTCAGATTAGATTCTTCTCGTGAAAGAATGTCTTGTGTGTCCTATGACTTCAGGCCCCGGAAAGGACCTACGAAGAAATACATTCACATTTCAGCGGTTTGTCTTAGTCTTTAAGACTATAGAGTTTTCCCATTTTTTCTAATTTATGTAAACCAAATACCATCTGATATTGCAGGAGAATACATTTTCTGATGATCAACTAGCTTCATCCGAGAGTGAAGATGACATTTCTGTAGTAACAAAGACATCCAGAACCAGAACTGACAGGAGAAAGCATCAGAGGTTGTGGACTGTTGATGAAGTAATGAAGTTGGTTGATGGTATTTCTCACTTTGGTGTAGGAAAATGGACCGATATAAAGAACCTCTTCTTTCATTCTGCAGCGCACCGCACACCCGTTGATATCAGAGTATTTCATCATTCATTCACCTCAAAATCAAACTCTTCATTTAGTAGTGCTTGGTGACTCAGTTCTTCTCCTCAATGCAGGACAAATGGCGTAATCTACTGAAAGCAAGTTATAACGAGAAGCATAACTATAGAGAGGTTTGCTTTTTCCCTTTCCTTTGTCAACAAAAATTCATATCCTGAGAAATCCTCTGTAACACAATTTTGAGATATTCAGGCTGAAGAAAAACGAAAGTCAGTGGCTCGCTCTATACCGAAGGAAATTCTACATCGTGTTAGAGAACTTGCTTCACTCCATCCATATCCGTTCTCCAAATCATCTTGTTTCGTTCATGATTCCTCAAGAAGCCGAAGCACTTCAAGGAAGAAGAAGAAGAGGAGTTGATATTGATAGTTTTCATGGAGAAAGCCTAGAGAAGCTGTAAAGATACTAAACTAAAATCGACCCAAATCGTCTTGGAAAGTAACTGTTTTAGGATATCAATTTTATCTGCATCATCAAGGTTGTTCCATGTGAAGTTTCTGTTAATGAAACCGAGAATGACTTCAATTCAGAAAAGCATTTTGCTTATTTCCTCTATATTCTTACATCCTCCAATGCAATTAAACTAACAAACTGCAGCAACAAAACCACTAGAGGCTTTTTATCTGAAAATCCATGGTCACTCCTGTTTCTTGCAGTGTCAATGTAGCTTCTTATCTGGAAACAAGTAAAAGATTTGAGTGATTAGCGTTAAAGTGATAAAATTGATAACCCTCCAACTTGAGTGGTATATATGACATCTAAAGAACCATTGCTTGTCTTAGTTTAGGGAAGTTCCACCATAGAGTGAGTATACACAAACTAATTTTGAATAGTAAAAAAAAATATCATACAATAAATCAAAAATTTATAAATCAAATCACTTTATTAAATTTACAATTATATATACATACACATAATAGAATATTATTAAAAGGTTTAGTTTAGTTTTAGGATGCAAATAATACAAACATTAAAAGCACAAACATGAAACAAAAGTCCAGACTCTGAGAGGTCAATTTCTACATGTTCTATGGCCAAGATAAGATGATGATTAATTTTTTCCCTATTTTCCCTGAAAAAAGGGAAAAAGAGAGAAAGAGAAATGTATAGAGATAACATTCCATCATAAGAGTGTTGCACATGCACGCAATAAATTCTAAAGTCAGAAGAAGCCAGCTTAGTTCAGAATGGCAGTCGTTGTTAATTTACTTGACAGACCAAAACCAACTTCAAAACACACACACAACACAAACATAACAGGTAGATAGATCTGAGAGAGACATTTTTAGAAGAAGCGAAATGTTGTAAGAATGAGGATCTCTTACTCTATTGAAGGGAACATCTTTTGTGAATCCTTAGGGGGATGAACCCTAATCAATGATACTCGTTTTTACTCTTATAATGGACCCTCCAATATTGACACTTCTCCATCTATGTACCCTTCCTAGAGACAACAACCCTTTCACCATCCCTATCTCAATCTTGTGAACCACATTCTTCCCCGCCTTCTTTAACTGAACTATCACTTATACGCTTTTGATCAGTAAAAACTTAGCTACCTAATTATACTGCAAATGCTCATCATACAAACATCATTGCAGGGTTCTACATTAGTCCATGTGTAGATAGATAGTTCAAGAAGTCACCTGAGCTAGAGCGTTTAGCTGTTTAAAACCCAACATAACTCTAGGAAAAGTCAAGAGATCTGGATTTCTGCAGATCAAACTGAAAGTACCCATGCATATTAACCAAGATCATCACTATCTCCAAGAAGATTTAGACCCATCCCTGGACCCTGTTCCTTTCAGATCTTATCTCCTCTCTATCTCTGGTTATCTTGTCTTGTGGGGTCTTAATCCCCCGTGAACTTGAAGAACTCTGACACCAGATGTGCGCTAGGGAAATAAAAAGAGCATTTTTTAATCACATCTAACCATAGAGACGTATGTTCGTACAGTTTCAGTATTTCAACTCTATCAACAAAAGTAACAGAACCGCACGGTTGTATAAAGTACTGTATCATTTAAAAGTTGCCCATCTCACCCTCTTTGGCTAACTGTCATGTCCCAACATTTATTAAGGAGCTCTGATATTTCTACTTCCACATATATATATAGACTTGTCCTTCACCTTGTACTATTCATTCAAAAACACATTCTTCTATCAAAAGTTCAAAACATTCTATCTATATCTATCTTATACTAGATATTAATCTTCCCCTCCTACTAAAATGAAGAGTAAGTTCATTAAGTCCTGCGAAAAGAAACTGAAAAAGATGACAACCAAAGTCATAATACCTTGTGCGTCTTGCGAGGCATGCTACGAGAGAATTTGCTGGGCATTCAAGAAGGAAGCTGAGGTGATACCAAGAGATGTCCCTAAGGGACATTTGGTTGTCTATGTGGGAGAAGAGTACAAGAGGTTTGTGATAAAGATCAACTTGCTTAAACACCCACTCTTCCAAGCATTGCTGGATCAAGCACAAGATGCTTACGGTTTCAGTGCTAACTCCAGACTATGGATTCCATGCAATGAGAGTACTTTCCTCGATGTTGTCCGTTGCGCTGGTGCTCCACAGCATCAGAATAACTGCATATGTATCTAGGAAGGTTCTTGTACAGGGAATTCAAGACATTCATTGATTTATCCGGCTCCACGTTTACAAAAAGAATGTTGTTCAATGCTAAGCTATCGGGGTACACTAATAATATAAGACTTTTTGTATTAAATGTGTCTTTCAATTCAGCGGGAAATGTATTACTATTAGCTACAAGGAAAGCAATAAAATATGATTAAAGTTATGTATCAAACTTCCCCAGCTCCAACGACATACATGAAGCCACTAAACCCGGAGGTAGTCACTGGATAAAAGACACTAGAACATGATAATAATAACTCAAGAAACATGCAAGACCTCTATTGTTTTCAATTAAACTAAAATATAAAACTCAACAAAGATTATTTTCAAATGGGGGCAGAGGGAGAGAGCACAGAACAGCTTTACCTTGTCACATATCTCAAGACAAAGGCCAAGCCATCTTGAAAGCAATGTTTCTTAAACCAGATGCCTCTGTTCTGCAACATGTTTGCAAAATATAGAACAGACTTGAACTTTCTCTCATTAAGCTGTTATCAGAGAGTATATCTCTACAACGTCATACACTCACTGATTAGTGAGAACAACATCTTGATTCTGTCGGTTGTATGCGTTCTTGAAAGAATGGAAAGATATTATGACCAAGAGGCTCTAACATCAGCCATGAAATCCAAACCATAAGGGTTGAGCAACCAGTTCCCCATTGCTTCAATCGAAAGAATGCATAAAAATGTTGTATCGACATAACAAAGAAGATTAAAATGGCTACAAGATAAGTACATTTAAGCCGAGCAATGTATCCAAAGGGTTTCTATTATCATTCCCAAAATGAAAAAAAAAAAATTGATCACCTCATGGTATTGATATCAAAAACTGCAGCAAGATATATACAAAGGAAAATCTTGCAAATGAGTATACACAGTAGTTGTATCATGCTCCCTCTTTCACAGCTCACAAGTAATCCTAGGTGCGTACATACATCGAATTGTTGGCAATTCTTATCAATTAACTGTAGTTCTAAAACCAAAGGAACCTAAAGTCATGACAACTTGTGGCACAGAGATGTAGCCACTGGCAAATCGAAGCCAAGGTTTAGTCCTTTGGAAACCAAAAGCTTATCCTAGAGATCCCCAATTCATTATCATCTCAGCCCATCGATCAAGTTCTCCATTTCTCTTCTCCCAAACCTCCTACCGTCTGCATGCGCATCTTTACACTTAGCTGCTAAGTAGAACACTAACCAAGCCGCCATGAAGTAAACTTCCAACGCAGATTGGATCACAGAAGCAAAGCTTTTCCCTAGCATTCGAACCAAAACCCATCTGAAGAAAGACCCACAAAGAATAGCTTCAAGACACTTGAGCTGCACAGCCTGATGCAACAGAAGAGATATCAAATAGAGACCTTCCTTCACTATCTCCCTTCCTCTCCTTCTCGAATCCACAATGGCGACAAACGCATCAACAGCTAATATCAAACCAACAAGCGTGTCAAGTAGAAACCAAGCGAACAAGAAACCCGATATCTCCTTCTCGAAGCCTCTAATCCATGGAGGCATAACAGTGAAAGGCATCAACTTTAACCTTACAAAGAGCCTAAAAAACGAGAACTGATCTTCAACCTCTCCAAAATACCATAAACCAAGAAGCTGTGTCAAAGCATCTCTCACTGCCCATCTCATTAAAACGAATCCTGTAACTCTCTTAAACCCCAATCTTGAACCTCTCCAAACAACCCCAAGAAACGAAGGAAACCTTCCAAGCAAATCGTTGATTACAGTAACAAACATAATCGCCAACACCAATGAGTAAACAGTGGTAAACCCTAGAATCACCCATCCATAAGCAGCTGATAAAAAGCTCACCAAGAAGAACAGAGCCGCAGCGTCATGACGTCCTAACTCCAATCCTTTAAAAAACATCTTCAGATCCACAAAACTCTCAAATTCTTTATCTTTCTTCTCACTTTCATCGAGCTCAGATTCATCCAATTTCGTCTCGTCTTCATCGCCGCCAAGATCGTCCTTCTCAAGCTGCCGCAAAACGACGCCGGAGCGAATGATTTGAGGAAGGAGAAGTCCGTTATCGGCGATTGGACGAGACAATCCAGAAATGCTCTCAAATCCGGAGAGAAATACAGTCGTAGCGTTGATGGGTGAACGAAATGAAGAACCTTGAAGAGATCGGCGATGAGGATCGTGTTCGTCGGTGGAGAAGAAGTCGTCGTCGAGAGTACCAAGGCGCGTGAGCTGAAGAAACGGAGCACGTCGGTGATGATGGAAGCGCGTGGGGGTATGGGAGTGAGAGTTAAGAGGGAGGCGAGAGAGGAGAGAGCGAAGAGAAGGGTCACTATCGACGAAAGAGGTTAAGAGAAGAGAGCAATGATCGACGAGAGAGTGGAAGGAGAAGAGGAGGAAAGTGAGGAAGATGAAAGTGAGAGGGTGAGAAGAGAAAGAAGCTGTGGTTTGACGGAGGAGCTGGGTTGTTGTACGGAGGCGGCTCAGTCGCGCGTGGTGGTTGTGGTGGTGGTGGTGATCGGTCATTGCTTTACTATTCGCTCCCGCTACTTTGGGTAGATAGATCGAGAAGAGAGAGAATGAGAATGAGAATGAAGAAGAGAGATTGTCTAACGTATTGAAAAACCTGTATTGTTTGTATTGACTCTTATGGGCTTTATGGGCTTTTAAATTGGGCCTTTATTGTGTACTCTCGCTATATCTTTTAATCGCACACATGTTAAATTTATGTTGAGATCCAACGGCTGAAAACAAGGCACAGATCTAACCCTAAAAAGTCAGTCGCAAGGAAGCGACCCGTTCAAGCCCTAATTGAGTTTTCTTCGTATCTTGATTCTATCTCCCGAAGAGAAAAAGTCTCTAATTCACTCGCGTCGAAACCATGATAGACTTCAGCAGTAAGATCTCTCTTCCTTTATACGAAATTGCTTGATTTGATATCATCTTATCGGTCTTTTGTAATCTCTCTTTAATTCTTGTGTTTCCTAATCGTTTATGCGTTTTTCTTTTTCGTGAAGAGTCTTGCACAGTCGTCTACTGGGACCTCGAGGATTACCCAATCCCTAAAGATATCGATCCTTGTTCGATTTATCAGAATATCGAGACAGCTTTGTCGGAAATCGGTTATCGTGATATGCCTTTGAAAATCTGGGCTTATTGTGACAAGACAGATGAAAATGAGGAGTTGAATACGAGTGAGGAATTTTTCGAAGCCGGATTCTACTTCTCTCACAACGGTGATTTCCTTTACTTTAATTATTATTACACACTCTTCTCTTTTCTACTCGCATATATTGTATCTATATATATATATATATATGTGTATCTAACCTAGATCTCTCTGTTGATGTATACAGTTCCAGGTATTTCAATGTTACTGGACATTCTTTGCCACGCATTTCTCCTCACACCGACCATTAAACCAGTTTCGACACATAAACCATCAAATTTCATGGTAATCTCAAAAAGTCTCCCTGAAGACAAGGAGTCCAAAAGAGTTCTTTGGGCTTTGAAATCAAGAGGTTTCAATGTTCACTTCGCACATCCTCAGCTTGAAAGACAAGTATCAGACCAGATGTTTCATAATCCAGCCATACTAAGTTACTGGACATATCTATTAGGAAATGATTCGACAACTATTGGTCGTACAGACCCTGATAACAAACAAGATTTCTCCCGTAATACTTCTCTTTCTATCTTGAATTTTCTTGTTTAGATTTCATTGAAATAGTTAACTAAATTCTCAATTGTTTCTGCGTTCTCGGTTTTGCGAAATCTTGCAGAGCCTATCACACCTTCCTCAGAGGCTAAGACATGCGTCTTCTGGGACCTGGTGGAATGCCCATTCCCAAATGATCTTGATCCTGAAACAATCTTTCAGAGAATTAAATCGACTCTTGAGGAAAACGGTTATCGAGGTGGGATATCAATATGGGCTTATGCTGAGAAGATACCGTTCTCGGATGACGTGCTGGACAAGTATCAGAAAGCCAGAATCTATTTCGTTCCCGAAGGTGAATCCTTTTTTCCTTGAGCTCTCTTAACACTCTTTACATAATTCTGTTGATGGGGATAATTGACTCTATTCTCTTTACATATATGTAGTTCCTGGGGATAAAATTGCGAGATTTCTTAGGATGTCACATGACATTCGATTATGGGAAATGGACACTTATCCTGTGTTCGGTGTAGAGACAAATGTGATCGTAATCTCAAATGACATCAACACCCAAGGAAAATATATTAACTTCTCCCACTATCTTATTGGCATGCAAGGGAGATATTACTCTGCTTTCTTAGTACAGCCTAAGTGTATCGATCCCGAATCCTCAGATTGGCCAAGATCTTTATTCGATAGAAGATTTTCTGTCGGCCCAACCAGATGCGGACCATTTAATAAGCGGTGGAGGAAGAAGGTGAAGAAACAGAAGGCAGTGGAAGTGCCAAAAGTTTCTCCCGTTGAAATCATGAACAATCAACAACTCTCTCCCGTTGATACCATAAAAAACCTTGATTTCTCCAGTAAGATTTCTCTTTCTATCTCTTCGATTGTAATCTATCTTTATTGCTCGTTTGATAATTGTTAACGCGTTCTCTGTTTCGTGAAACCTTGCAGAGCCTCTCCCACCTGTCTCAGGGCCTAGGGTAGGCGTCTTCTGGGACATCAAGGATTTCCCATTCCCTAATGATCTTGATCCTGAACTTCTCTATAAGAGATTCGAATTGCTTCTTGATGCTAAAGATTATTATGGTGAGATGTCAATATGGGCCTATGCTGAGAAGATACCGTTCTCGGATGACGTGCTGGATAAGTTTCAGAAAGCCAAAATCTATTTCCTTCCCAAAGGTGAATTCTTTTTCCTTAAGCTATCTTAACGCTCCATTTTCTCTTTACATTACATAATCTATATCTTTGTTGATGTATTATAGTTCCTGGGAATAAAATTGAGAGAGTTCAAATGATGGTAAACGACATGTTTTTATGGAAAATAGACACTCCTTGCAAGTATGTTGTACCACCAAGTGTGATTGTCATCTCAAATGAAATTCAAGGATGCGTCAACCTCACCCTTGGTCTTACCTGTATGCATGCCAGACTTGTCAATGCTTTCTTAGTAGAGCCTAAGAAGCTTACAACAGACGATCACAAAAGCTTAGCAGTATGGCCTGGACGCCTATTCGATGAAGGGGTGATTATCCATAAGTTTTTATATCCCTCTGCTAGTCCGCCGAAACTGCGTAAGAAACAGAAGGTTATATCTGATTCTGAGGACTAGTATAGCTTCTTTTGTGGTGTGCCCAGTCGCAGAGATCATGACCCTTGTTATTACCACCAGCATATTACTACGAATAACATTGAGTAATTTGAGGTAATTTTAAATAAAGAAACTCCTATAAGTGCTGCCAAACAACAACAACAAAAAAATGATAGTTCCATTTACAGTTAAGACCGATTAAGTTTAGATGATTGCGTTAGAGTTGATAAACATTTTCTTATCTGATGTTTGCTATGGTGGAAATGAGAAAAAAGAAAGGTATGATTCACACATTTTGTAGTAAAAGAAAATTTGTTCATTTGAGAACTTACAATGAGTTTTACACACAAATTTAAATTAGACAGACATAAAACCACTTCACAGACAATCATTTGGTAAAATTATTCAGACATGTAAAAAAAAAAAAAAAAAAAAGACTTTATGGTAAGAAAAAAACAGAGGACTTTACTCTTAACATATAGGAATGGGAGCTCCGTTCCACTCGTTGAGACATTCCAACATCGGATCAATGATTTTACCTTCACAAATCGCCGTGAACACCTTATCAAACTCTTCTCCGGGCGACGTCACTTTCTCTCCGGTCAAAAGCTCTGTTCCAAGCTCCTCCCTCACGAATCTATACAAAGGATACGACCTACATTCCTTGATCCTGTTCGGGATAGCTGATGTTCCGTTGTCGTATGCCGCTCTTGCTGCCTCCACTTCTTTCGGAAGCACCGCTTTAAGCTCCTCCTCGAAAGCTCCAATCTTATGGAAGATTGAAGTCACTGCATTTTTCTCACTCTCACCATTGATCAAAGCATGATCAACTATAACTTGTCTTAGCTTCTGAATCAACGGGTACGTTGCGCTACAAGGATCATCCGCATATGTGTAGACTTGTTCACGGTCCACGACTTTGAGTAAATCCTTCTCGCAGAAGCGAGAAGGATGAAGCTCACCATTGACACCAGTAGTAAGAACTTTCTTGGCCACTTGAGAAACAGTGTTCTTCACAGTCTGTTTCAGATTCTCCTCCAAATGTCTCAAATCCACAGCTTGACAAATCGCAACGAGGAACGTTGTTGACATAAGCTTGAGAATATCAACAGCTTCAGAAGTTTTGCGAGATGAGATCAATCCAAGAGAATTCACATCTTGGTTATGTTGCTCTGCTGATTGAACATGGCTAGTCACAGGATTAGCTAAGTATTGAAGCTCTGAACAATAAGAAGCCATTGCAATCTCAGCTCCTTTGAATCCATAATCCAAACTAGGATTCCTCGATGCGGTTAGATTCGAAGGTAAACCATTGTTGTAGAAATCATTCACAAGCTCTGAGAATTGAGCAAACATGAGTTTACCAATCGCTGCAATCGCCAATCTCGTGTTATCCATTGAAACTCCGATTGGTGTTCCTTGGAAGTTACCACCGTGAATCGCCTTGTTTCTCGAAACATCGATCAACGGATTATCGTTGACGGAGTTAATCTCTCGCTCGATCGATTTCGTTGCGTAACGGATTACTTCGATTTGAGGACCTAACCATTGAGGAGAAGTACGAAGAGCGTAACGATCTTGTTTAGGTTTTTGTAACGGATCCATTTCGTGAAGCTTCTTAGCTAATTTCATGTACGAGCTTCCGTCGAGGATATGCTCCATTATCGCCGCCGCTTCGATTTGACCGGGGTGATGTTTGAGTCTGTGAGTGAGATGATCGGTGAACTCAGGCTTACCACTCATCACCTCTGCGAAAACCGCCGACAAAATCTCAGCCAAAACAGAGAGAACATTCGTTTCGAATAACACCATCGACGCCATTCCAGATCCAACCGCCGTGCCATTGACAAGCGCAAGACCTTCCTTAGGCTGCAAATCGAAGAATCCGGAGCTGATTCCGGCTAATTTGAAGGCTTCTTCAGCGGTTAAAGCTTCACCGTTGGGACCGGTAGCTTTGGAATTGGGACGACCGGTGAGAAGTCCGGCGATGTAGGAGAGAGGAACAAGATCTCCGGAGGCGGTGATTGTACCACGGAGTGGGAGAGATGGAGTGATGTTGTTGTTGAGGAAACTGGTTATGGCTTCGAGAATCTCGAATCGGATACCGGAAAATCCTTGGAGGAGAGTGTTGATTCGTACAAGCATGGCGGCTCTTGTGGCGGAGTGTGGCAATGTGTGGCTTGTTTCTTTCGTGCTTCCGAATATTCCGGCGTTCAGGAACCTGTAACGAACACAAAAACATTCAAATTTCGTGTTTAGTTATTAATCAATTAATTAAATTAAATCACATTTTTTTACTACCCAACAAAATATACCCGACCCGCATAATTGACCCGACTAGTATATTTCCCATGCAACGTCATTTTAATAATTTTAAATGTCATTCTAAACTTTTAAGTTAATTTCTTTACATATACAAAAAAAAAAAAATCAATTAAAACTGGAGGGTAAAAATATCAAACAAACTAATTAGTAACATTTATTTATTCTTTTCATAGAAATACAGCATCCAACTAATTACTGCCACGTATCTATCTAAGAATATACTAACCACTTAAAACTTAAATAATTATAAATAGAGAAACAAAAGAATATGATTATTACCTAATAAGTTCCTTCTGAAGTGCGACACCGTTTTTGGTTCTCCGATGAGAAGTAGCACCAAAACCAGTAGTAACACCATAACTATCAGTGCCTTTGTTCATACTCTCCATAACCCAATCACTACTCGCATTCACACCGGCTCTAGCGGTCTCCGACAGCTCCACCTTCACACCGTTACCAATGGTTGAGATCGCAGCCACTTGTCCAATGGTCAGAGTCTCACCTCCAAGATTCACCACTGGCTTCCTAAACTCAGCAACCATTCTCTTCACTTCATCCAAATGGCTTCCTTTCATTTGCTCCGCGGCAGCTCCCCAGTTGAGAGGATCTTCCGCGTTGATCACCATGTTCTTTGTCTTGATGTCTCCGCCGCATAACATAGAGTCGATTGATCCTCCGTTAGCTTTGTGTGCTCCGTTAATCTCCATTTTGACTTTTGAATCTTTGTTTTACAATATGAGATTAATTAAGAGGAGATTACAAGATCTCTAAGGAAGAGAGAAGAGATATTTGATATATTGTTGGTTAAGGAATTGTATTTGTTCCTGAGGAAAATTAGATGAAGGAAGGGTGGTTTAAATAAGGTGGTAGTGTTTGTTGGTAGGTAAGCGTATAGAGATAGCTAGTTTCTTTTTTTTCTCCATATAATGATAATTTTTTAGAAAAAATGAAAATTAGTGAGAAAGAAGGAGTTGGTTGAGAATTAATGATGACCGTTAGATGGAGAGTGAGTGATTGATTTTAGTGGTGGAGATTATAATTCGTGGGTTTGGTTTAAGTCGCAAAAAGAGATTTTTTTTTTTTTAACACGGTGGTGAATTTTTTTGGTTTTCGTCAACGTCACGGTGGTAAAAGTGGTCGTGGCTGGTGGCTGACGATAGTTGCAATTCGCGGTTGGTGAGACTAAGAGATTTTTTGAAGAGTGATTTTTTTTTTTTTTTGGAGTAAAGCGTTTCATTGTGATGGGAGTAGGTGTGTATAATGTATGAACGTAATTGAGTCAATTAACGTCCCCACCATAACACTCTTTCATTTTATTTTTGTTTTGTTTTTGTATTTTCTATATTGCTATTTTTGTCATTTGGGATATCATTTCGATTTTATCGGATGATTTTTAAGTGTTTTGTTTTTTTGTAAATTATTGTGTTAGAGTCTTTGTACTTTCTTCTGTTTTACTGTACTATTTTGTTATAAGTTATAACTGTATATATGTACTTTGTTTAGTCATATATAATGTGACTTTACTTATTAACTTTGTTTATTTTGAGTAACAGTTCATATGCACTTACATTTAAATAATGGGATAACTATGCATGTATATCCCAATCATTAGGTGAAAACTGCAAAGTCAAAAGTGAAAATTATATATTAAGAAAAAAACATATAACTGAAAATTGATACGTAAAAATCATAAAATAGTAAAGATACAAATAAATGTACATGTTGCATTGATTTTTGTGACTTTTGAGTATAATTTTTTTCAAAGATAACTATTACGTGGATATATCGCAAACTATAATAATATTCACGCTATTATAAGATTCCCAATATGAGCCGAGTGACGCAACACGCCGTTTGCATGACAAAAGCAATGTGACATTTATGTAAAATACAACGTCCATTTTCGTATATTATCCTAAGTTCATGAAATTTAAAATCTAACCATAAATAATTTATAATAGATTTTAATGACTATATTCAGTTTGCAAAAGTTTAGAACACATTATCCATATAATTTGTTATTTATTTATGATTTACTATTCAATGTTATTATCTTATGTCATTCCTTGTCACGAAACCAAGCATGGAGCCATCCGTAAGCTAATAAAATATAATTTCAGCATCAACTCCATTTTTTTATTTAAACGCGTTATATGACTCGAAAGGGAAAATGTAATAGTCATAAACAGTGTATGAATCAAAGAAAAAAAAACAATGAATCAAAGAAAATGGTAGAAATAAATAATATGGGTGGAATGGAAGAAGCTAAGTGGTGGTGGGTTGGTTAATTGGGCAAGGCGTCTTCAATGAAACATTTGCATGTGCATGCATTTTTTCTTCCATCGTCAGGCAAAAGTCTCTTATTTATATCAAGAATTAAAATATTTATTTATACGTTTAATTTCGTGTATACATTTTTTCTTCTTGTGTTATAATTTTATCATTGGGAAAAGGATAAAAAAAACACTGAAGAATCCGATTTCAATTTAACAATCTTTAGCAGTTTCGTGTTAATTGTATATCTCATTTTTCACCTGTTTTGACTTTTAGGATAAGGTCCAAATGAAAGCAAGAGTGGGCGGGATATATCATAGTGAAACACAAAAATTATTTTAAGTAAGTCTATTTTGAAATGCAGGTGGATTTGGGTCAATGTGAATGTAAACTTATGTCAAATATCCGATTTTGGTTTGGTCAATTTATTGGTTTAGATTTTGTAGTTATATCTTCTGACTCTTTGTTTTAAAAAACTCACTTTCTCTCGTTGGTAATCATATTGATATTACACTACAAAAACAAAATCAATTTCAATGGTTTAAGTGCATTGCATTTTGTTTTGGTGGTTAGTTAGGTTTAAATCAAATCCCCTAAAATCAGAATTATTATTTCATTCATGACTAATTTAATGAACAAGTACATAAATAAATCACTGAATACATAGTCTTGTAAAACATGAAAACTTTATAGTAATATAATTGAGAAAATTGAATGCACGTAGTTGTTATGGAGTCTATCTAGCTTTAAAGCAATTTAAATATGATCGATGACATATTGAAAAGTGATTTTTAACATCATAGAAATGGAACAAAACATAGGTAAATTTTTTGCAAAGATCTGTTGATAATTACCCAATAAATAACTTCTTTTTTTTAAAACTAGTAAAACAACCTAAGTATCGAACGAAAATGGATAGACAGACCAAAAGTGGACATAGAGTCCACGGATGATAGGTGATGATGGAGGGTCAGGGACGTTAATTCTCTCCTCTTTGGATCTCATTAAGGATACCATCTTCTCCACCCGCTATTCTCTTACTTAAGGGACTGAGCAACTCTTTTTTTGGTCGTTGATTTGCCACTCCCAGTCTTTATCTTTTGGACTGAACAACTCTTTTGGTCGCATATGCTATACATTTGGATTGGACTATATTGGAGTAAACCAGTATTGTTCAAAATATCACATCATACGACATAAATGTGAATAACCCAAGGCAATCGAATTTGTTCCATGCAAGAAAATCGTGATAATTTGTTCCCTTGTCCTTTCACTGTAAAGATAAATGAGTGGGAGCGCTTGATGAGAGAGCTGTTGCCATCACGAGTCACGACTCAACCAATGTTTTAAACATTCTCGAGATGTTTTCACATAGGCAATTTCCGTTTTGTTTAAAAAAAATCAGAGAGAAATTTCGAATAAGACTTATTCTTTTTTGTCCAAGAAATGTTTCATTTGTTCATTGAAATATAGCTTTTTGATACGAATATTTTTTCATTTATACATATCAATAAGAGTCAATACATACATAAATGATTTTATTATTGTCTTTACATCGTCTAAGCTATATATAAATCCAAACATGAATTTTGTTATAGGATTTTCCCATCAAATTTGTTCTTATGTCGTCTTTAAATGCATGGATGCTTCATTTGCTTGCTACACATGTTCTATTAATAATACATTTTGAATATTTAAGAATGTGGGAACTGGTAAGTACAGTATAAGGCCATGCGCAATGGCGCATTTTCTCCCCGGGTGTGACCATTAAAGTAATCGAAAATAAGAGAAAAGTTGTCTCTCTCCTCACACCCGGGTGTAACTTTACACTAGGGTGTAAGACACTCTCTCTCTTTCTCTCTCTTTCTTTCTCTCTCTCTTTTCTCTCTCTCTTTAAATTATAATAATAAAAAAAATTCACACCCACACTCACACTTACCCCACTGTGGGTGCTCTAAACAAAACATTTATTATAGAACATGGCGGGCCTATATAATTAAATACATTTTTAACAGACTCAAATCAGAATGGCTTTCATCGAGACACCAACAACCACGTACATGAATCAAATATATTACATGAATTATTTCTCTTGTTCATGATCTGGTCGATCGTTTTCTCACGAATGAGATTGATATATTAATGATTTTTCTTATTCTTTACCAGATAATAAAATTGAAACTTTGATCGATATATCCAAGGATTTCTTCGTGGAACTATAGAAAAAGTTAAAAAAGAATATTTGATAGATTATCTTCCGGAAAAAGACAATCTCTAGGGAAACATGTATACAATTAAAGTAGTTAAGCGAATTAGTTAGTCGAAAATATTGTTATTTTAGTGGATTTTTTAGGATGTCAACATTCACTTAAAAAATAATAAAAAAAAGTGGAGAAAGGGAATGACTAAAATTAGGCCACCAAACAAACAAAGAGAAATGGAGAAAAAGGGACAACAACAACCACAGTCGCGAGGATCCATCGGACACCACTCGTCTCACCAAACCCTCTTTTCTTCTTCAGACCTCATTTGGTCCCACTTTCACATTTTCACCAAACCCCTTCCTCTTGCTGTCCAAATCAGACTCATCAACTTAACAAAATCCCAAACCTAATCAATTTAGGTACACGTCATTGAATTCAATTATATCAATAAATTAATCAACACATTACTCATTAAGGAAATGTAGAAATCAGATGGATCCAATCATTCGAGATATACCCATATTGATGGAATCTAAATGTGTGGCAAGTGTTTTTGCTATTGTTGGTCGAGTTTTTTCTTTTTAAAAAAACGGAACGAATTAGTGGCAAGAAACTAAAATAACTCAGAAAGAAGTTGGATTCAATCCACAAACTTCAGATGGCTCAAAATTATTGTCGTCCACAAACTTTGAAACCCAATAAAGTGTGTAATGAGAAGCCAAACTTAAAAAAAAAAAAAAAAAAACTTATGAAAGTTTATAGGATTGGGACATATCAGACCTCTAAGTAGATTAGAATTGACGCCCTAGACATTTTTCTTTGTAATTATTATTTTAGATTGGTGGTAAATGAACCGTTGGACCATCCATACGTACAACTTTAATAGACTAACTAGATCATGACCCGCACGTACGTGCGGGGTTTCATATTTTAAAAACATTTCTTACAATTTTTCATATAATATATATTATTTTGTTGTTTTTATGATATATATTTTAGTGTATTAGATCTAAATCCACACGTACGTACAGAGATATTTTTTATAAATTGTTATATAGATTTTAAAAACAGAAAATATTTTATTGTGTTAGTGAACTTCGTAATAATATAAATATTATAAAGTTAGATTAATGAACGAAATTCAGTTGCGTTAGTGCATAGTTATATTTTAAGATTCGGACCTACACGTACATGCAAAATTGTATTTAAGATAAAATTAAGATATTATTTAATTGCAAAACTTAAATGATGTTACGTTTTTATTTTCTAAATTAATCAAAACATTTCTAACAGTTTGATTACATATGTTAAATAGGATATATATTCGGTTTTAGTTTGAATTATTTCATGTATATTAGCTAGGCGTAACTATTTTGGAACAAGAAACTTATCCCGTCATGTATCTGTCATAAATTCTTCGTCCCATAACCCGTCTCGTATAGGTAAAATAAAAATATTACGGTCTTGTATCTATCATAATTAGACTATATGTGTAACTGAAAATGTACGTATTGGGTTATGTGTGTAAACAAATTTATTTTATATAGTGCTCATAACACGAACTCATACCAGTTGAGTATTTAGTTTGATTTTTAATTTATGTTCCCCTGCCATCCCGTCTCGTAATTCCTATTCTCATTTCATTCCATTTAAACCATGTTCCAAATTCTTGTTTGCTTACTTTTAAATATCATACAATACATACGGTGAGTTTAATGGATTAATATGTATGATGTTAAAGTTACAAATATTTTAACAAATTTATTAATGTTTCTTTCCTTAGCTAAATTTTGCATATTCTTCTTTTCATTGTTTAATCATAATTAATTTGATTTTTGGACTAAAAATAAAAATTTGAGATACATCTACAAAAGGGATCTGCTATTGCTGCATAATTTGTGTTGAATACAAAATATATAATTAGTTTACATAATTTTGAAAACTGTGTGCAATATATTAGGGATTTATTTAAGGAAGATCCGGTTGAAAAGGAAAAAATAAAACACAAAATATTTCAAAATTAATATGTACAATCTATTGTTTAGATATTTTTGAAACTTGCTCTAAACAAAGGCCATAATATGTTTTTTTAGAAATTGTGAAATAAAATTTCGTTTTTATATTTCAAAATTTGTAAAAATATTTATCAATTCTGAATCTTAAAATATTTGTATTTAATTTTTTTACAAAATTTCAAATTCAATGTTAAAATCCTCCATTGATAAATCTTTTTAAACGATAGTGTTTTTAATTTTGAATAAAAATGATATTATTTTTATTTTTATTTTTGATATAGAATAGTCTATTAGGATTGGTTTAGATAAAATCTTAATTGGATATCAAATCTTATTTTTTTTAATTCTCATTGGTTAATAATTTTTATAAATTAATTTCAAAATTTCGTCCATAATTAATAATAGAGAGAAAGTGAGTTTAATATTTTTTGAAAACTAATAATTATTTAAAAGAATTTTACTATTTTTTATTTAAATATATTAACTTTGTGATTACTATTGTATCTTTAATGAATTTATTTAAAAACACTAAAAACCAATGGCATCTTATGTAATATTTTACCCTTCATAAGATTGTTTAATATCTTGTGATTCCCAATTAATAATATAGATAGTGGTAATGGTATTGATTATATACATTTGATTTAAGAAAACAAACTAATTTTTTTTTTTCCTCAAGAAAACAAACTAATTAACTATAAAGTTGTGCATTTATCGATACACTCCTTACCATAATGTACTACTTTTGTAGTATATGTTCTATCTACTCTGTTCCACATGCTGTCACACTTTTGAACATTTAATCATTATACATTCGTTTAAGAACCTAAAGATAGCCCTATGCAACCTTGTATTTCGCTCGTCAGAGGTTGTCTATTGGGCTTGGTTCAGTTATTCTTTAATGGGCTATTTTTTAGATCGGTTTGTTAAAAAGCCACACCAATATTCCCCCCCCCCCCCCCCTTTGTTTCGTAAACCAAGTTGATTTCTAATCTTATCACATGATTCTTAAAATTTCTTTTTTTTTTTTTTTTTTTTTTTTTTTTTTTGATAAACCCTATCGGCTGATCCGGTCGGCCTCGGTAGGAACGCACCGAGGTGCTACAGAGTGGACTTCTCCCGGTCCAGGTAGAATTGGGTCACCACACTGCCTGATCCGAGTTTGGAATGCCTTCCGACTAATGCCAGGGGTAGTCAGGCCGCCTGCATTTCTAACTACCAGGTAAACCAATTGGGCCAAGGCCCAACTGACAGACTTCCCAAACAAATGTGTTTTTGTTTCCAGGGAGAATCGAACTCGGGTCTGGGAGTTTCACCCTTCACCAAAGCTTCCTCTGCCACTAGACCACATAGGCTTGGGCCTTAAAATTTCTTCGTAGGTAATTTAACTCAAGCAATAGACAAAGAGACTTATGTTCAACCATGCAAGTTATTCAGACAAACAAAATCAGTAAGATGATTAACGATGTAATTATCGGCTCTAGCTAACCCATAAAGATGCGAGATATTCCTTCATACATGCGAAAACGTCATCCAAACAATAGAAACGAAAGGATGAGAAAATTAAAGAAGGAAATTAATCCTTGATGATATTGTTGTTAATTCTTAATTTTCTTCTGAAAAATATATAAAAGAAAGACATGAAGAGCATATATACTTGGTCATTCGTCAGTCGTCACAGATATTAGCCTTCGAGTTTTGATATATTTGTTGGCGATCGCTAGCTGTGGTTTGTGGTCGCTAGTCTCTAGTATGCACTCTCAATTCGTCAGTCAAATCATATTTATAAGATAGTGTTTGGAAAATTAACTGATAATGGATCTCATCACCAAATTTGGAGATGATTAGAAGGTATGAAGGTGTTTTGTTATAGATTTGTGAGCTTTAATCACTCAAAGCATCATCTTTGTGCAATTGTGTTCTCAGTTTGAAAGTCACTACTTTTAAAGATGAAATAATGTTTTTTAAAATGTAAAAAGAACACATATTAACAATAAAGAAATGGACTAAACATAATTAATTATTACCCAAGACTAAAATAACATGTTTATAAGGAAGCCTAAAAACTTTAAAATTTTCATAAACCAAAAAAATCACAAAGAAAATTAGCTTACAAGCAATATATAATAATTATTGTAAATTTATGCCTCAAATGTTGCCAATGATATTGATTTGGCGTTCACGAAATACCACTTGCCACTTTATTACTTTATATAATCACAGATGATAAGATTTATTTTCTATCTCAAAAGACAAAAACATTTGCTGTAAAATAGAGCTGAATCATATTGACAAGATTAGCGAACGACTTGGAAATGGCCAGGAGGGATCACTATCTCCACTGGGATGAATCTTTTGAGATGCATTACATTAGATTAGAACGACTTAAAAGAAAAAGATAATAATGAGAATATTATCTTTCTGAGTACAAAAAGTTGGAGTCTGCTAAAGTCCATACACATGAGGAGGCCATAAAGGAATTCGTCATTTGTCCATACATAATAAGACCCATTATAGTCATCTGCCCTAGTACAGATCATCATTCAGATATATATTTTTTTATTTAGTCAATTTCTATATGCTGGACTTGTTTTCCAACTTATATTAACAAATATATAAAGTCTTTAATTACCCTAGATTATAATATCTGTTTTAACCCTTACTTAACGAGAATGAGAAGAGAACTACAACAAACTTATTCTAAACAAATAATAGGAATAAAAGGTTTGATTAGTCGGGATGTTCACACAGTAAAGAATCTTGTCATGTTGTTTTGTCTCCTAACAAAATGTACAAATTAATACAGATGATCCAAATGGAGAAGATACATAATAGTACAGTTAAAAGGAAAATAAAATAAACATATTGATTATATAACTAGGATACGATCATCTTGCGAAATGTGCAAGAGGTCGCGGGTTCTGCTTTTCCCATGTAAGTTCGACGGTACCCAATTGGCTCTCTCTAGAAGAGAGTTCTCGTCCGTGAATTAATATATGGTGTTTGATTGACAAAAAAAAAAAAACTAGGATACGAAACAAAAAAAAAGGAAGAAGATGCCATTGGAAACGGCAAAGAAGCATTATCCAGTTTAATACTGTAAAACATTAATAGAAGTGGAAGAGATAGATTTAAAATCTCATTAGCCGATGCGATATAAAACAGTTAAACACTCAGATCTCAAGTTTGTCTACTCTCCCAAAACCCGATAATATTGTTCTCTTCTCAACGTTTGACTGGTGTCTCTGTCTCCTATAGTCTTATTATTCCTATCATTGCATGACTATAATTTTAAAAATATTTTTGGTAAATAATTTATTCATAGTTATTTTATTTATAGCTATCTCTACAAGATTTTTTTTGTACCACTTTTATCCTCCATTTTCTTAACGTTTATCAGCAATTTTGAATTACCAATTTCCCACTATAACTCTATAAGTATGATAACTGTACACTTTTTTAGTTCTTTTTTTCTTTTCTTTCAATATTGCTAACAAGAAAAGAGATTACAAGTATTTTACTCTAATTATATTCTACATATCAATAAATAATAACATTGTACATGCACACTCAATCAAACATGGACATAGCGTACGTGGGGGACTTATTTTGGGAATTCTGTCACATGTAACCACTCGTTTGAGTAACTCACTAGTATATAGGTCGATTTATTTCCTAACGATTTTTCCCGGAAATATTTGTGTGACGAAAAACAAACATTATAAGATTCATTTGTTTGTTTTATAGTACACGTTATTGTTCAAAAAATATAATATCATCAATGTTAATTAAAAAGTAAAAATAAAAAGAATTATCTGTTGACAAAATAAAAGCAAGTATATCCGAATAAAATTTCGAATATGATTTAGGGATGAAAAATACAATCTCTAATTTAGTTAAGATATTCATGTTTAGCATATCTTAGAATTAGATAATTAAGGAAAATTATCGTGATCATCAATTTACAAATTTCCTACCTGAATTCAACACTATTTTTTTTTTTTTTTTTTTTGAACTAAGAATTCAACACTATTTTTTTAAGTAACCTGTTTATGTTATTTCTAAAAGTATTTCAATAAGACAACTTTGATCATTAAAATAAAAAATTCATACAAACTTTAATCACTTCCCTATATTAAAATGATCTAATCTGGATAAAAATATTATTTATTAATTTCCCATATAAAAATTAACATGTGGAATGTAACTATAAATATTCTTAGAGACAGAGAATGTCATTTAATTAAATCTGGAAATATATTAAAAATGTTGACAAAAAGAAAAAGAAATATATTAAAATGGCACCGTTTCGCTGGAGACTGCGAGGTGTGCGAATCCACTACAACACATTAAAGGTGGACCACAACAAATCTGGACCATTGAATTAAATGTTAAGTAATATGAACCGTTAGATGTAAGTAGAGTCCAGGCTAAGAAGATGGACCCAACAATTGTACCTTTACCACTTACCTCCACTGGCTTTGAAGCTGCTCTCTCTCTCTCACACATAAAAAGCAAACACTTAACGAGGAAGAAACACACTCATATCTCTCTCACGTTCCCCAAATTTTTCATTTTTATTATCTTTTTGGGTTTTTGGTTTTGGTTAAACCATTTCTGTGTCTTTAGATCTCTCTTAATAGTAAGGATAATTAATTTTAGGTTCTGTTTGGTTCTGTTTCTGGAAATTTCACTTTTTTCACTTTTTTGGGATCACATTTAGCTTTTTTGGTTCCTTTAGTTTGTAACGCCATTTATGTGTTAAACTTGTGTGAAGTGTTTGGTCTGAGCAGGAGATGGTGAGAATCTCACTGCTTTTGTTGTGTCTACTGGTTTCAACTTGTCTCTTCACTTCTTCATCAGCACAAGCTCCAGGTAATTGACTGTTTCTGAGTAGTTTTTGATGTTTCCCTTGTTGAAATAGTTGGAAAGATTCTATTTTTATTTGATGTAGTAACGAGGGTTTTGAAAGTTTTGCCAAGAGCTGCTGGTGTTTGAGATTTGTGTGTAATTATGCTCATATATGTGTGTTTACTTAGATTTCAGTAGGTGAAAAAGGTGGAGTCTTTGTTGTATTTGAAGGAAATTCTAACACAAAGAATCAAACTTTTGTTTTTTGGGTAAGGGCAGGTTTTGTGAGCTTGGATTGTGGAGGTGCAGAGCCATTCACTGATGAACTTGGACTTAAATGGTCACCTGATAATCATCTTATTTATGGAGAAACCGCCAAGATATCGTCCCTTAACGAAACAAGAGCTCAGTACACGACTTTAAGGCATTTCCCTGCTGATTCAAGAAAGTATTGCTACACTCTCAATGTCACGAGTAGAAATAGATATCTCCTTAGAGCTACTTTCTTGTATGGTAATTTCGACAACAGCAACAATGTCTATCCCAAATTCGATATCTCCCTCGGGGCGACTCATTGGGCGACCATTGAAATCTCTGAAACCTATACAATCGAAACGGCAGAACTAGTGTTTCTGGCTTCTACTCCTAGTGTCAGCGTTTGTTTGTCGAATGCCACAACTGGACAGCCGTTTATATCTACCCTTGAGCTTAGGCAGTTGAATGGTTCGATGTATTCCACTGGATATGAAGACCGGTTTTACCTGAGTGTTGCAGCACGGATAAATTTCGGGGCTGAAAGTGAAGCTTCTGTGAGGTCAGTATATTGTTTATAATCTGTTTGCTGTGTCAGCATTGTGATTTATCAGGATGAGTTAAGGAAATGAATTGGTATTGCAGGTACCCGGATGATCCGTATGATAGACTATGGGAATCTGATTTGCATAAGAAGCCTAATTATCTTGTGGATGTTGCTGCTGGGACTGTGCGAGTGTCGACTACATTGCCAATCGAAAGCAGTGTCGATGACAGACCGCCTCAGAAGGTTATGCAGACGGCTGTGGTTGGAACAAACGGGTCCTTAACTTACAGAATGAATCTAGATGGCTTCCCTGGCTCTGGTAGGGCATTCACATACTTTGCTGAAATCGAGGATTTGGCTGACGACGAGTCAAGGAAGTTCAGATTAGTTCTACCTGATCATCCTGAGTTTAGCAAAGCCGTTGTTAACATCAAGGAAAATACGCAGAAACCGTATCGTGCTTATGAACCTGGATATCCTAACATAACACTTCCATTTGTGCTGAGTTTTAAATTTGCCAAAACGGCTGATTCTTCTAGGGGACCCATTCTGAATGCCATGGAGATCTGCAAATATCTGCGGAAAAGCGATGGTTCAATAGATGGTGAGCACTACTACCCTTCTCTTAGTGTTGTAGCTTCACATTTGACTCTAAGATGATTTCTTGTATTGCAGCAACTGTTATGGCTAATGTGGCATCTCTCTATTCTTCCACTGAATGGGCTCAAGAAGGTGGTGACCCTTGTTCACCCTCACCGTGGTCTTGGGTGCAATGCAATTCGGATCCACAACCAAGGGTTGTTGCTATGTAAGGAAGTCTATCTTAGTAGCTTTATTTGCTATCTGCTTTTTTTGTGTATGTGCTTAAATTTCAATTATGTTATGCTTCGTTATTTCCACAGCAAGCTGTCGAATATGAACTTGACGGGAAATATACCTTCTGACCTGGTGAAATTGACTGGTTTGGTTGAGTTGTAAGTTACTTATTTCTTAGACTTTTGAATTTGGGATTATACAGAGATGTTCTCGTTACTGATGTTGCAACTTTTGTGGATGGCAGGTGGCTTGATGGGAATTCTTTTACGGGTCCAATACCGGATTTCTCTCGGTGTCCAAACCTGGAGATAATGTAAAATCACTTTCTTTGGAGTTTAAATTTATTTCTTGCCTTCATATAACTATAAATATATAATGGACTATGGCAGACACCTCGAGAACAACCGACTAACCGGAAAGATCCCTTCCTCGTTGGCGAAACTTCCAAACCTGAAGGAACTGTAAGCTTTTTAAAAAGGATTCATATTTTGATATATTAATTCTTGTGGTGAGGATGATATTATAATCTACATTCTTATGCACCTAACCTGGTTTATGATTGCAGGTACCTGCAGAATAATTTGTTATCAGGAACAATACCATCAGACCTGACCAAAGATGTGATCTCAAAGTAAGTATATTGTCAGATTTAAACTGCTTTCGCGTGAATAGCTCCTAGCTAGATGGTCTTGAGCGTGCTCAATAACACATGCGTTCTTCCTTTTTTTGTTGTTGTTTTCAGCTTCTCTGGGAACCTTAATCTTGAAGAAAGTGGAGATAAAGGGAAGAAACTCGGTGTCATCATCGGTGCATCAGTTGGTGCTTTTGTTTTGCTAATCGCAACCATCATTTCTTGCATCTTCATGTGCAAAAGCAAGAAGAATAACAAGTTGGGAAAAACTTCGGGTATGTTATATTTCTGCAAGTATACCGGTTTCATAGTGTATCTTGATTCTAGGGCTTGAGTAAATATGCTTACCTTTTTTCTTGGGTTAATTTCAGCGGAGTTAACGAATCGTCCCTTGCCGATTCAGAGAGTGTCATCTACCTTGAGTGAAGCTCATGGAGACGCTGCACATTGCTTCACACTTTATGAGATCGAGGAAGCCACAAAAAAATTCGAAAAGAGAATTGGGTCGGGAGGTTTTGGAATCGTATACTATGGGAAAACAAGAGAGGGGAAAGAGATTGCTGTAAAAGTTCTTGCAAATAATTCATATCAGGGAAAGAGAGAGTTTGCAAACGAGGTAAATATGACTTAATCTAAACCCATATCAATATGTGCCCCAAGTATCCAGTTTTTTATTTTGCTTAGGAGGTAACACAAGTTATTATATATGATTTGTTCAGGTTACATTACTCTCAAGGATACATCATCGGAACCTTGTGCAGTTTCTTGGTTATTGCCAAGAAGAGGGGAAAAACATGCTTGTGTATGAGTTCATGCACAATGGGACTTTGAAGGAGCATCTTTATGGTAACATATCCTTTCATGTTAGAACGGTATATTTCAGCGTTTTGGTTTAACGTGATGTTAAGAAGTGAATTTATTTTCAGGGGTGGTACCGCGTGACCGGAGAATCAGTTGGATTAAACGGCTTGAGATAGCTGAAGATGCAGCCCGAGGTCTGTGAACCTTACAAAACATAACAGAAAGCACTCTTGATCTCTGATCCGAAGCCATTTTTTCGATATTTTTTTATTTTGTTGGTTTTGATTGTTTCTGTAGGGATCGAGTATCTTCACACAGGGTGTGTTCCAGCAATCATACATAGAGATCTCAAGACGAGTAACATCCTACTTGATAAACACATGAGGGCAAAGGTTTCAGATTTCGGTTTGTCGAAATTCGCAGTTGATGGGACCTCACATGTCTCCAGCATTGTCCGTGGCACAGTTGGATATCTTGACCCTGAGTAAGCTAGACTTGAACTAATGCCAAGAACTTTACATATCTTTACTGAAACTAGCATAATGTCAAGAACTCACATAGTTTCTTTCTTCGATGCTAAAGGTACTATATATCGCAGCAGTTAACAGAGAAGAGTGATGTATATAGCTTCGGAGTCATTCTTCTTGAGCTAATGTCTGGCCAAGAAGCCATATCGAATGAAAGCTTCGGTGTCAACTGCCGGAACATAGTCCAATGGGTTAGTTCATTTTTTTTTTTGTGGTTACGCTTCGTTTGGATATATAAAATTTGAAACCGAATCGCCTTATAAATCATCCCTTTGGTACCGTTTCTTGTAGGCCAAGATGCATATAGACAACGGGGACATCCGAGGGATCATCGATCCAGCACTAGCGGAAGATGATTACAGTCTCCAATCAATGTGGAAGATCGCGGAGAAAGCGTTGCTGTGTGTGAAACCGCACGGGAACATGAGACCATCAATGTCCGAGGTGCAAAAGGATATCCAAGACGCGATTAGGATCGAGAAGGAAGCGTTGGCCGCAAGAGGCGGAATATCGGACGAGTTTTCCCGGAGCTCGGCTCATTCGTCATCTCTCAACATGGGAATGCTTGACCTGGCTGGATCACAGAATTATGTTTCCATTGATGAGTCTGTACTGCAGCCAACAGCTCGTTAGTAGATTCGGCTTTGCTTGTACAGATGTGTTTTTGACCTTTCACGTTGTCTGGTCTTTTTACTTTAATTATTAGTTTTGCGCTTAACACTACTTTTTTTTTTCTTTCTTTTGGACTCGAGCTTACAAGAAGTGCTTCGAGTTTTCTTTTGTTTTTTTAATTGTTTTCAGACTAACTGGTGATTTGTCTGGGATTGTGTTATATTATGTTTTCTTTGAACTGATTTGACATTTTCAACTGATTATATATATGATGAGTTTTATGTTCTCGTGGAATTGTATTGTATTTAGGTTATATAAATTGTATGGTGGAAAGAAAAGAGAAAAAAAACTCATAAATAAAATGAACACATAAATAACATATAAAATCATAATCAAAGATATAATTAACTTGGCTCTAATCCATAATCTAATTAAGTGAAGAAAGAAAGAAAGAGAGAAAAAAAAAATGTAAGGTGTGTGAAAGATAAGAGATGAAGTCTCTTTTTTTTTTTGTCACAAGTGTATTTTATTTATAATACAAAAGCCAAGTGATACAAGCCAAGTGATACAAACCAATATTTTACAAACACACTAAAGTAAACTAAAACAAAAGAAAAGCCTAAAAGCCCAGATAAGTAAACCCTTAATTGAAGAAAAAGTTGTGTCTAGTGTCTAGCACAGAGAACACGTGGCACATGCGAAACAGGTTGGATGACACGTGGGAAGTCAAAGAGATGAAGTCTCTATATATATGAATTAATCTAAATCTTAAAATCATATATTATCATTAGTTATTCCCTATGTATAGAGACTCCGTCTCTTTATTTTTCACAAACCATTTTTTATGAGTTTATGCTATGTTAATTATATCTTTGATCATAGTTTTATATATTATTTTTGTGTTGTTGCATTTTAAATTTATTTCTTATGAGTTCATGACTTCATGCTATGTAATTTTATACTTAATTCTAAGAGAATATAACGTATTAATAATATTTACGGTTTTATTATTGTAACTATTAGAGATTATATAAACAAGTATAACTATTTCTTTTGTCAAAATATATAACTAATTAATAAAATTGAATATATTTAAAATGTAATTTTACATGATTTAAAGGATATTAATTAGAAATCTTCTAAATTGATAAAATTTTAAGTAAATATTCAAGTAAATTACATTACAAATATTAAACTACAATTAAAAAAATACCAATGAAGGTAAAAAATCATCAAAAAAAAATCTAAAACTAAAATACACTAAAAATAATATTTATTTTATTGGATTTCTTACCACTACACATGCTCTAATAGCCTCTTATTCATAGACAAACCCTGATTATTCATAGCTTGATCTAACTCTGATTCTATCTCAGTGGAAACCATGAGCCAAGTTGATTTCTCCGGTAAGGTCTCTTTTTCTTTATCTTGCTTGAATCGATGTACATGTTATATTGTAAATTATTGGTTAATGGATGTACGTAATTGTATTGTATCTTCGTAATTTTTTATATGCTTCTCCGTTTTGTGTAGATGGTTACATATGCGTCTACTGGGACGTGGAAGATTACCCAATCCCTAAAGATTTCGAACCTCGTTTGATTTTTAAGAATATCAAGTCAGCTCTTTCGAAAATGGGTTTTGGTGGTTCGTTTGTGGGAATCGAGGCTTATGGTGAGGATGAGATCCCCGAAGCCTTGGATGAAAAATTGATCGAAGACGGAATGATCATGTACAACCCCAAAGGTATATTCCTTTACCTAAACATCTTAACACTTTTTCTACTTATATTTATGTATGTCTGTCATGACCTAACCTAGATCTCTGTGTTGATATGTATTAGGTTCAGTTAATTTAATGATAGAGGACATTACGAGCATAGAATGTAACTATTCTGATAAGCCACACAATTTGATGGTAATCTCCAAAAAAATCCCTGAAGACAATGAGTCCATGAGGGTTCTTTCGGCTTTGAAATCCAGAGGTCGCAATGTTCTGTTGGTACAGCCTGACGATGAGGCCGCATCAGAAAAGCTGTTTCTTACTCCAGAGTCCATATCTGACTGTACAAGATATTTAAATGGAGAAAAGCCTATAGACGAAATTGTTGACTATACTTCTTCTTGTACTAGCTGGGAAACTGATACTGATTATTATACTGATACTGAGAAAGAGGAGTCCAATGTTCTCTTGGTACATGATACTGATACTGACAAAGAGGAGTCCAATGTTCTCTTGGTACAGCCTCATGATGATGTCGCATCAGAAAAGTTGTTTCATACTTCAAGCTCAGTATCTGATTATACACGTCTATTAGATGGAGGAAAGCCTATGGACCAAAGCGTAAGCTCACAAGGTGTTGACAATATTAATTACTACGTGATCTATTTTTATTTTGTCTTTGTTTATGCATGCCTTCTCCGTTTTGCAAACCCTAATTTGCTCTCTCTTTTTTTCTTCTCTCCCAATTCTATCATGATCTCAGTCGAAACCATGAATGAAGATTTCTCCAGTAAGATCTCTCTCTTCCTCTAATCAATATGTAATATAGGAAATTAATATGGTTAATATGAATTTCCATTTTATGAAACCTTGCAGGGCCTATCACACACGTTGATGGGCGTAAGACAGGCGTCTTCTGGGATGTGGATGATTCACCACTCCCTAATGATCTTGATCCTCAATCTATCTATCAGAAAATCAAAACAGCTCTTGAGGAAAAAGAATATTTAGGTGAGATGACAATATGGGCTTATGCTGACAAGATAACGTTCTCGGTTGACTTAATGGATGAATATCGGAAAGCCAAAATTTACTTTCTTCCCGGAGGTGAATTCTCTCAACTTTTAACACTCTTTGTCTCTCTTACATATATGTATATGTAATCTCTTTCTCCAATCATGTATATTTTTACAGGTGATAAGAATGCGAGATTTTATAGGATGATACATGACATTCAATTGTGGGAAATAGATACATTACCTCTGAGGTATTCTACAGAATCAAATGTGATCGTCATCTCAAACAACATCCCAGGTGACATTGACTTCATCGAATGTCTTAAATGTTCAGCTTCGAGAGGTTACAATAATCTCTTAGTACAGCCTAATGAGGCTGCACCCGAAAAGCCTGAAACCTCAGAATGGCCAAGATACTTATTACATGGAGGAAAGCCTATCGGTCGAATCAGATACTTATAATTCTGAGGACTAGCGTTGCATATACCCGTTTTGCTATTGGTATGAGTACAGAGATCATAACCGTTGTAATAACATGGTTGCAGCGGATTTATATAGAACGATCAGTTTTATTCTAATTTCTACTTGCTTATTGTAAGCCTAAAATTGTAGTGTTTGTTTTTTTAATTCTGTTTTCAGCTATTAAATCATCTTGTTCGTTTTCGTCATTTATATCCGAAATGGAGATGTAAATGCTGAAGCATGTTTTGCCTTCGTTGTGGAAGACCATGTTCTCAACAAATCTCACTTGTTCAACATTTTCGTCATCTTTCAATAACCAAAGACAAAAAACTGCCATTTTATTTACATATGAAATATCTCCAAATATGGTGTGAATTGAGTAATTTCTCCAAATATAGTGTGAATTTGTACAAGAAAAATTGAAAGATGTCGTGTATTTAGAAACAAAATATTTTAAATTATACTTAACTGTAATTCTTTCTTAGAATAGGAAAAAATAAAAAAATATGATACTTTTTTAATAAAAGTTTTTACAATTTACTGTATTTTAGAGATTTTACCTTTTTCTTGTATTTTTGGTGTAAAAATAATTAAAATAGGTAAATTTTAAAATGTTCCTAGTTAATTGATTTCTTAAATACCTTTTAAACCCCCAATAACAATAACCTTTAAAAAGTTTAAATTACTTTCCCTACTATTCAATAACAATCAAAATTTAACAAAAATGAATAAAGTAATGGATTGAATAATAAAAATTCCCCTAATGGTAAAGATAAGGAAAACACGTGGCGTTTCTAGATTTGGTAGAATATGAACCAGAGAGAAAATAATAAAGAGAAGAAAAAAACGAACGGTGCTGATAAAAGTGAAAACCTAATCTCGCAATCGCAGACGTTGTCGTCTCTCTTCTTTTCTCAAGCGTCCGATCAATCTCTCCTCTTCTCTCGATCTCTCTCCCTCTCTGCCTCCTTTCTTCCTCCAATCAACACCTCTCTTGTTTCACTCCCGCCCTTTTTTCGAATTCTTCTGGTAATCTATCTTCTCTCTCAACTTCTCTGATTCATGGGGTCATTTCAATTTTCGTTTTCTGATGTGTTTTGTCTTTGCTTTTCTTTGTTTTTTGTTGATGGGTTTTGTCTATTTTGTGTTAATTGTCGGAAAGTTAGGTTTTTTTCTTTCTGAGATGGCGGAGTCGCAAGCCAAGAGTCCCGGAGGCTGTGGAAGCCATGAGAGTGGTGGAGAGCAAAGTCCGAGGTCGTTACATGTTCGTGAGCAAGATAGGTTTCTTCCGATTGCTAACATAAGCCGTATCATGAAAAGAGGTCTTCCTGCTAATGGCAAAATTGCTAAAGATGCTAAGGAGATTGTGCAGGAATGTGTCTCTGAATTCATCAGCTTCATCACCAGCGAGTATGTTTTTTACCTTTTAACACTTCTGTGGTGTGTTTGCTCTTGCCGAATGTTTAGAGGCTTGGTGGGAATGTTGAGATTTAGTTTCAAGTCTTAAACTTTATGGTGTTTTTTGGGTTTTTCTTAACTAGTGAAAGTTGAGGCCTTTTTAGTCCTTATGTTGGTTGCTCTTTCTTCTTGTTGTTCTGCTTTGTTTGGCTTTGATGTTGCATATTGGATCATTCAGGTTAGGTTTCTTCTAGTTTTACAAAGATTCGTTTGTATGATGCAATGGTTTTTTTTAATACTTTGATGAGCAGAGCGAGTGATAAATGTCAAAGAGAGAAAAGGAAGACCATTAATGGAGATGATTTGCTTTGGGCAATGGCCACTTTAGGATTTGAAGACTACATGGAGCCCCTGAAGGTTTACCTGATGAGATATAGAGAGGTATGTTCTTGTTTTTCCATATTTTCAGCTTCAATATTGAGTACATGTTTTTTAGTTGTCTGAAGAGAGTTTTTGAATTTCACTCACTTACTCTGTTTCTCCTTTTCCTTTGCTTGCTCGTACTACGTGAACTGGAATATCACAGATGGAGGTCAGTGGTTCTTCTTATTCTGTTTCTTGTTCATTCCTAAAACTTGCAACGATCTTTATGGCTTCTGTGAATTATCTATTGTATCTTATCTTTTAGGCAACTATTTGTATCAAATTATTGATGCTTCCCTTATCCTCTTTAATGATCAATAGGGTGATACAAAGGGATCAGCAAAAGGTGGGGATGCAAATGCAAAGAAAGATGGGCAATCAAGCCAAAATGGCCAGGTAGATGTCTCAAATCGCATATCTGCGTGTTTTCTCTTTCACTTTAGCTAAGACGCCAGTTAGTCTGACACCCACAGGGTTTGTTTACCATTTGGCAGTTCTCGCACCAAGGCTCTTTCTCGCAAGGTCCTTATGGGAACTCTCAAGTAATGTTTCCTCTCGTCTCTTGACACATACACATCTTTCTCGTCTTTCTTATTTTCACTAAGTATCCTGCTTCATTGCTTGCACATAAATCCATAGCTAGCTTAAACAGATTCTCAAAACCTTACAGACCAATGATCATTCCTTGACCTATCCTTAAGAGCGTTGTGCAACCCAATAATGATGTTTTTGATGAACTATGATTAGACCTATACAGAACTGAAAATATGTTAAGCTGAACTAATTTCACACTGGACTCGGTATAATTGTAGGCTCAGCAGCATATGATGGTTCAAATGCCGGGAACAGATTAGTATGAGAGGAGTATTCAACTTTGGCATGTTCCACCAAAAGAGGTTAATCTTATCTGTATATTATTTGTGCTGTGTAAGAGTTTTGCTATGCACAACTGTGACAATAATCATCTCATTGTTCTGTTTTTTATTTCCTTGAATTTGTTCTGAATATGTCATCAATTCAGTCTATTTTTATATTTGGTTTGTTGATTATTTCATCATAAACGTTTCAACATCGGTCTAAAGAATGAATACAAATTTGGAACATCATCGATTACGTGGAAACATCCAGAATCTGTTAAACAACCCTACCTAATATAGTAGGAACCCGAAATTTCATGTTTTAATTCCCTGCATTATCTTTATTATTTAGTAACGAAACAAAATTAGAAGCTAATTGTTGTTATTTGGTTACAGTTGTTTTAATCGCGGCGTTATCTGTTAAACCAAATTAGAGATACCAAAAAAAAAAGTTAGTCGGAATAATCCAACGGTCACAATTTCACAAATCAACGGATCACGTTCATTTCGGGCTCACTTAACATTGATAATATTAATATTAATAAATAAATAAATAAATAAATAAGAAACCGCCGATTTGCTTCGTTTCAAATTCTGTCATCTTTTTTGCTAATCCTCCTCCTTGGAAAATCTCGAGCGATAAAGCTACTTTTGATTTTCTTCTTATCGAATCTGTGGTTTGTCTATGGGAGAAGAGAACGAGAACTGGAGAAGAGAGCTCGACGATATCAATGGGCTTAGTCTGATTGATATCTCCGTCGAAGATGATAACCTCCTCTTCTCTTCCTCTCTCGATCCCACCACCTTTGATTTCTCAGGTAATTTCAATTTCTATTTCCAATTTCTGGAAATTGTTAATTCTCATTTCAAAATTGTATTAATTTTAAGTAATTAGCTGAAGATCTTGTGGTTTGGTTCATGATTACGTTTTTTCTGATGATGATGGATTCAGAGACTGATAAGGAAGACAGAGGTCTTTGTTTATTTGGAGATACACATAATTGTTGTGATGAAGAGAGTTTGGTATCTACTAATTTAGAAGAGAAGGAGCCTCATAAGATGATGAAGACTAACTTACGCAAGAGTCTTGCTTGGGATAAAGCTTTTTTCACCAATGCAGGCAAGTTTTTTTTTCTGCTGTGTTCTGTGGATATTTTTTTTAGGAGTGTGTATTTGTTTAGTTTTGCTGAGATATGTTGTTGAATTTAGGTGTTTTGGAACCGGATGAACTGTCTAGTATGATGGGGAGGAAAAGTTTACCAACGGTTCAAGAGGATTTGCTTAGATCAACAGAGTCTATATCTACATTGAAAAGTGACTGCACTGTGGAGACTGGTCAGGAATTTGTTATGTTTGATGCTGCAACACCTGACAAGAGTAAGGACTTTGGAGCAACAGAGGCAGTACCTAGCCCAAGTAAGCTTTGTTTGTTTTAGCGGATTTATAAAGGTTCTGTTAATTTCTGTTATCTATGAATCTCAAATTGACCATCTTTTTTACATTTCTCATTTGAAATTTGTAGCTACAAGTACACTAGACGACCCTGACTCTGAGGAAAAGGTAAGTGTCAAAACAACTTTAAGCTATGGTTTAATCTTGCACTCCCTCTCTGATTAACCATGTCTTTGGTTTGTTTGTTTCTCAGATGAAACCCAATCCTATTCGTAAAAGGCCAAGTATTAGGGCACAAGGATTAGGGACGGCGACAAAGCAGGTATGTTGATGACTCACTCTCTCTATATGTGCTTGTCTTGTTAAAGCATCTGACATGATAAAAGTGGTAGAAAATGTTGAGCTGTACAAATGAATTCAAAGTGGAAGCAAACTAATATTAAGCTTTTTTTGGTTGTTTGGTTGTGGTACATTTTCTATAGCCCGTCGCTTCAAAAGAACACAACACATCCATTTCCAGGCCATCCAGTAGACTCGGCAAAACTATAAGAGCTTTGGTAGATACTAACAAAGCCATACAAGAAACTAATCCTAATTTATCTGGAGGTTAGTCATAACTCTTTTTTAAAGATGTCTTTACGTGTCTTTCCAAACTATCTCTTTCTTTACTTCCGCATCTTACTGTGATCTTACAGGTAAAGAGCCTTTGGCTTCCAGAGTTCCAATTTCAAGAAGAACTCGACCCATTGTATCAACACCTGTAGTGCCTTTTAAATCTGCTTTACGTTCTTCAGTCGCCTCCAAGAATGAATTAACATCTTCTTGTTCTTCTATTGAGAGCTGTCTCAGTGTTTCGTCAAACGCTTCTCACAAGCCTTCTCTAGATTCAGTAAAGCGGAAGAAAGATCAGAGTTTAAGAATAGCTTCCCATTCTTTGGCAAATAGACCAACATCCAGCGGTGGATCTAGAAATATGAACCAGCCTAAAGTTCCACCCCTCTCAGCCGGTAGGACAAACAAGTTCAATGTATCACGTCTTAGTTCTAGCGTTGACTGGTCATCGGAATCACCGCGGGCTTTTACTCCTAATAAAATGGGTAAAGGTAACAAGAAAAGTGTCCATGGTGATAGCGGTCCTACAACTGATTATACAAGACAGACTTGGAAACCTTTGAACAATTCTAAAGATGTATCTGTTGTCGAAGATGACCCTAAGCCGGATAAACAAGGCACAAAATGTGGTTCAGTTGTCAGTGGTGGCGATGTGCCTTCTGCTTCCATGATGAAACCAACGGGACTCCGTGTGCCATCACCAAAAATCGGCTACTTTGACGGAGTAAGTTCCCAAATTCATGAAATCCTTTGCATATGAACTAGAAAGTAATCAGAGTAACATTTGACAAAGGAATATATCTAATCCATATCTATGTGGGATCTCATTACCTATATGAATGGTTGTTGTTAATAGGCGAGGAGCAGCGTTGCACGAACACCCACGGGATCGTGTACTGGTCCGGTAAGTGGCTTGGCAAAACTTGGAGCTTGTAGTCCCAATGAATTAACTGCAAGTAAAACCAAGTCTGCAAAGTCCCAACCCACAATGTCTAAAGCAAAGGTCCGTCCTGTTTCAAGGAGTTCAAGGCTGATTGTCTCGGCTTCACCAAAGCTTACCAACAAAAGGTATTCAAAAGTCAGTGCAGAGGAACAACTCGAATAATGTAGCGTCAGTGATGAAGCCAAATCACTTGCAACTTGTTATGATTTACCATAAGTTTTTAGGTAAAAGACCAGATGGACAAGTGCTCTGTCATGTATAGCTTTGATTTGTACTTGCAGTCTGGTTCGTTATCGATTTTCTAAAGTAAAAAATATCAACTTGTATATGAGTTTTAAAACCTTCTTTTGAACAATACAGTATATTTTCATTCATATGTAGTAGCTGAAATATTTCTGCATCTTTATCGAATGGCGAGATGAGCAATCACGATTAGAACAAGAAGAGCAAAGATGGTGTAAGTAACAACCAAGTTCAGCTTCATAAATGTTGATCAGAGTTTCAGCTACGTCAATAGAAGGAAAAACAAAAGTAGTTCACAATACAGTTTTAGGCAACAAAAACATGTCTACACATTGAAACTTATGAAAAAAACAAGCGAATATTACAGACAGACAATGGTGGTTTTTTTTTCCTGAACTTCAATGATCATTTCTGACTTTTCTTCAGTAACACACCAATCTTCTTCAGCATACTCCCATTCTTCTTCTTTGGCGATGACAATTCGTCATCCGTTTCACCCATATAAGGCGACATGTTGACGTTTCTCCTCCTCAACGGGCTCTCTAGCGATCCTGTTCTCTCCACGTACTTCCCGTTACTGTTATTGTTGTTGTTACCACCAGAGAGCATTGTAGCTGCGGCTTCAGCTGCTTTCCTCCATTGATCACACTGAACCTTGAGTCTCCTCAGCTCAGCTTCTAGTTCAGTGTTGGTGACTTGTGCAGCCCCTAGCTGTTCTGTTGCATTTTCGGCTCTCTTCCCACTCTTATCTGCTTCCTCTGTCAGACTCCCAAGCTTCGCTAAGGCCTCGTCGATAACCTTGTTCTTCTCGCTCTGGATTGTCTCCATTTCGCTCCTGAGACTCTCGTTCTGCGACATTACGCTTTGCAGCTCCATCTCCTTGTCCATTAGATTCGCTCTCAACTCCATCACATCGGATTCTAGCTTCTTGAGTTCAGCCGTATCCTCAGGCTTTTTCTGGTTCAAGTTGTTCTCCAAGTTTAAGTTTACTTCTTCTTTTTCTTTGATTTTCGAGTTAAGTAACTCGTTTTCATCGACGAGTATCCTGAGCTTAGCTTCCTTATCCATCAACCGTTCATGCAAAGACTCTCTTTCAGCTATAGTTTTCTTCAGTTCTTCCCCCAACTCGGCCTCTCTCTGCGCATATCCGGATTTTACTTCCTCGACTTGTTCATAAGCAGTTCTGATCTGCAACGTGCTCTGGATATACTCTTCATGGTACCTTCTCTCAGTTACTTCCACTGCAGATTTCAATTGGCTAATCTCTTGCCTTGCAACATTTATCTCTTTATTGAGCTCTTCCACTGACGATGAGTCCCCGTTAGCGTTTCCTCGGGATTCATCATCTTCCTCAAGCTGTCTCACAAGTTGCTCTAGTGACTTTACCTCGGATTTAGACTGCTCTAGCTCAGTTGTTAGTGAATTACAAGCTTCCGACATCTTCATACTATCTGAACGTAACATCTCAAGCGTCAAGTTCGCTATCTCTAATTGCTTTTCAGTTCCCGACACATTTTCATGCGCACGAGCTTCCCCTTCCTTTGCATCAAACAGCTCACCTCTTAGTTTCTCGACCAGTGACAGCGTCTCGTTGAGTTCCATCCTTAAGTTCTCAACATTTTCAGATTCAGATAGCTGTGCTTTCAATTTCTGGACCTCGTTCATAGTAGAAGATAGAGCAGCGGAATCCATGGCGTGCTGTCTCTGCATTGCTTCGAGTTCAGACTGCCACGCTTTGTCTCGTTCTTGAGATAGCTTACGAAGCTCATCGATCCTGGAATCCTCCGAGGCATTGATCTCCATTAACTGCTGCTTTGTTTCCTCTGCTTCATCTTGAGCTACCTTCTTCAAAGCTTCTGTAGCGCTTAGCTGTTCCTTTGCCTTCTTTAGCTCCTCTTGAAGCTGAGATATCTGAGATGCCACTTCGGATGTTTTTCCTGTCCGTTTCTTCTGAATCTTGCACACAGAAGCAACAATGGATATATAAACAACTCAATTACACAACGGATTCATCACATATCACAACAAATCACACATCACATAAACACATATCAAGCAACAAGCCACAATACTAACAATCAGAACAAATGGTACATTTCTCTTTTAGCTATTGCAAAGACTCCAGAATCAACAACTTCCAAGGTTTTATTAGTTCTTGTAAGAAACAATACATAGACAAACTTTGAACAATACATAGACAAACTTCAAACAATACAGAGCAGAACCATGAGTGAGTTTTGGGCTCTCAAAAAGACAACAACACAAACTGAGACAAGTATGAGTCAAATCATATAGGCATTGATTGACAAAGCATTGTGCAAAGCTTCTAGTACCTCATTTACAGGGGTTCTTGGAGAACGGCGATCAGTAACTACTTTTGGGCTTTGAGTTTTCGGTGTCCTGATTTTCGGGTTAGGAGACGAGACAGGGTCGGATTCTGCAGTCTTGAGCTTACGAGCAGTTTTAGAAGTTGCTGTAGGAGATTTCTTCTGAGGCACCTCCAACGATCCAGGCCTATCATCACAATAAAGAGTAATTAAACAAACGAAAGGAAGAATCGAAAACCACTAATATACATCCCAAGAACCATTGAAACAAATCAAGACTCCAATAACTACAACCAAAAATCTCCAATGACCACATCAAAGACTCTGAAAGACACACAGAAAAGAAAGCTTTGGACAAAAGTGAGGATTATTACCTAGGTTTTGGAGTCTGCATTGCTTGGGATTAGAGTTCTAAAACACTCCTTTTTGGGTCCTTTGAAGAAGAACCTGAAAAAAAGAACATGAAGAGAAACTGTGTGTGTGAGAAAGAAGAAAGAAACACAAATCAGTATTATAAGATTATCATAAGCAAGCATATACAACAAACTCAACAGAAGTACAAAGCTTAAGCAAGTGTACAAAAACAAAACCCTAACAAACTAAACTACACAAAGACATTAGCTTCAAAGAGACTCCATTTGAAACTACTACCACTACCACCAAACCAAGGCAACAAGACAAACATAAAAGAAACTGTTCACAGTCAAAGGAAAGCAAAAAAACAAAAAGGAGAAGTTTTTATCAATGTGATTCAATCTAATCACAAAGATAAACCCAATTACAAGCAAAGAAAGTACATTTATATTCCACATAATCTTTTTTAGTTGTCAAGTCATCAATTTTAGTTTTGTTTTCTCTTCAAAAATTTGGAATCTTTTGAAGGGGGAGATAATAACAATTTCTGTCATTTAGTTTAACGTGGGTCCTGGTTTTATTAGGTGGATCTTCCCCAAAATAGACAACAGATCTTAAAAGAAACTAACCAAGCTAGAAATTTCAATTTAAACCTAACCGAGAACATTTTTTCAGAAAAAAAAATCAAAATTTGAAAAAAAAAATCTTTCTTTGAAACAATATAAACAAATTACTTTTTCCTAAAGAATATTAAAAAAAATTAGCTGAATCTTCAAGAACAAACCCAGAAAAGAGTAAACATAAAAAATCAAACCAAACCCTCAAAAGATTAACACTTTCTGCAACATAATAACTCAAAAACAGAACTAAAATTTTAGGTATTTCGAACCCATCAACGAAAGAAACAGATAAAAACCTAATTTTTAGGTATTTCAAACAAATAAAGAAGAGAGAGAGAGAAGTGGTGGTGTTGGATGTTCTTCACCTGCTGTAACTGTGGCTTTAGCTTTCCTCTTTTGGTCCAAAATGGTTTGAGAACAGAGAAATCGAAATGTAATGAAGAAAAGATGAAAGATTGCAGAAGCTAAACTACGGAAGGGTTTTTAGACCAATAGAGCTTTGGACATCATCTTCTTCCTCTCTCTTTGCCCCTAGTGTTGTTCTCTCAATGACTCTGCTCGTTTCCCAAGTCTTTTCTTTTTTTTCTTTTTTGTTCCAGTGAACTGTCTATTTGTTTACACATTAATATCCAGAAAGAGAAAAGAGAGAGACTGTGAAAAAAATAGATTAAATTGGGAAATCATGATTTTGCCCCGATACTTTTTGTTTTATGTCAATTGAGTCCCTATTTTATTTACTTTTTCTTTCCGACCAAAAGGTCAGGTGATGTTCGTTCATGATTTATGGTTTAATACGTTAATGTCTGCGGATTGGTATTAAAGTACTCCCTCTGTTTTTTAAAAGTTGTCGTTTTAACTGTATTTGGACAAATTAAGAAAAGATATACAATGACTATATTAACCTCATAAAAATGACAAGTAATTATTTACAAATAATTTGTGTTCAATAAAATGAGGGTAATTTGGGTAGTTATTGGCATAAATTACATTATTACCTTAAAACGACAACTAATTTAAAACAAAAAAAAACTCTAAAACGACAACTATTCGAAAACGGAGGGAGTATAAACCGTTCCTTATGAAACAGGTTGAGACTGTAATTTTTTTATGGTAAATATATGAGTTAATTTACAATGGAGTATATTTTAATTAAAAATTAAAATAGGCGTTTTGCAGCTGTTAAAAATAATTAAATATTAGCCAGTATTGTTTAATGGACAAAATAACGCTCCATTTTTTTTAAAAAAAATTATCATGTTATATTTTTTAATTAATGGAAATAGTCTAAAGATTAGGTTTTGCGGATTTATAACTTGCGGGTTGGAGGAGAAAAGTTGAATGCCAACACATACTAGTAGCATAATTAAGTGACGCCTAAAATCAATGTGTTACTACTATCTATCAGTAACTCCATAATTAACATCCATAATTATTTAATTTAACATATAACCACCATTCAAAGCCTCAAATAAATGTAACGTCCACCTCTTTCTTTAATTCCAACTCACTCACTATAAGACCAAACAAACAAACAAAAGTCTTAATAGTCTTAATACATTAACAAAGAGTAATTCAAAACATGAGTTTCTTACAGATTTGCGCTTGAAACGTACTAGCATGCATTGACATTCTTAAGAAGTTAAAGAGTAACATTAAAAAAAAACATTAAATACGTTCTAAACGTTGTTACACTTTGTCTGAAAACATTAAAGACACTACCAAAACAGTGTCTAAAATATGTAGAAAAATATTTTAACACCATGACTGTTAATTACCTTCTTCAACAGTATTACTTCAAATATTCACTTTGAAAGAAGAACACAATTCTCGTGGGACTGATAACTGCATCAAGTTGAAGAGAAGAGAGGAACCTTGTAAAATAGAAACAAGAAAGAAATACAAAAGATAAAACCAAATGAAGAGAAAGAGAGGCGTCGACGCCAGAGTCACGTGCCATTGTTCTGCCTCATGTTGCTACTTAATTGCTAACGGTCATATATGTTTCTTTTGTTTTCTAGTTTATCCTTTTATTGTTTTTGAATAAATGAAGATTAAGCATGCATTTCTCTCTATACTTTATATATTTTAATTCCCATACTCCACTTTCTTTTGCGAAAAGATGCACCTAATCCCTCAGTACAGCTTCTTCTTAAAAAAAAATTTATTTATGTAACCAAGATATTATAGGTATTTAACAAAAACAAAAAACAAGATATTACATACCTTAAATCCATGATCTGTTTTTCATTCCTACAAATTTGATCATGTAGTTATTTCTCTACGGAAAAAAAAGGTAGTTCTTTCTGTATTACCGGTTTTTCGAAATCCTTATTTTAAACTCTTTTTTAGATAGTAAACTAGTATCACCAGTTGGAGTTTAGACGGAAGAACTATCTATTTTTATGCATCACATTATATAACTGGAGTCCGCGATTTCAATTTGTACGAATCCAAGTCCACTTTTCAAAAACCATTTTATATCACGATTGAAAAAGATGAGTCGACCTCCTAATGTCAAACTACTAAGTCAAAATAGACTACCACTGAACTAACAACCACACATAACTGCCGTTGAAATACAAAAAGTGGACTCGTAAAACCTAAAGAATTAGGTTGGAGGAAACAAATACCTAAACGGTTTATCGAGTAACGTTTTTGTACGTTCTTTTGTTTTAAATCTTGTATATTCATCATAGTTAATATAGTTTGTGTGGCCATTATTGTTTTTCAGTTTTCGGGGATCCTAGGAATTCCCAGTTGCCACCGCAATAGGTTACCGGGAGTTAAATGCAACCTGCATATTTAATATTTAATACACGTATACTATATGGTCGTAGTATGTAATTAGATTGATGGACATTGATATCCCAAAATTTTGGTCGGTCCATGTTCCTTACACTACATTTAATTAAAGAGTTTCATTGGGACTATTATTCCATGTTCACAAGCTAATTTGACGCCATTGACCTTGACAGTTGTATGATTGTATCTAATGACCAAAATGTTTGAAATTATTTCTATTGATTACCTATGAATATCGGCTAGTACATGCGACTTACAAGACTATTTGGTAAATTAAATAATTAATGTATAATGACTATATTTTTTAGCATTTTAAATCTACACTCTAGATGACTGATTTTAAACATTTGTTTGCCTTTACCAAAAAAAAACATTTATTTGTATTTTGGTTAAGATTGATGTTAGCTTAAACGAACTATTTTGTAATAGTGTTTTGTCTGACGTTAGTCGTCGTTACACAAACAATGTTAAAAACATGTTTATGTTTTGTAATGTGACTCAACTTAATTATAGGAACATGTGTTACCAAACATGTTGATCAAAATAAGAGACTATAGGTGATGACAGTGGCGGATCCAGAGATATATTTAGCATGGGGCACCATTTGGTTGTTTTAGTTTTATCGAAAATATTACATATATTACTTATTATCAAAAAATAAAATTTGTGATAAAATATAAATAAATATTTTAGATATATCAATACACATATAGCTAAGTGTTAACCAGTAAATGAATAAAAATCAAAATAAATTTAACAGCTAAATAAGGAAGTTGGAGTAAGTGTTTAATTAAATTAATGTTTGTAGTGGAAAAGAAAAAGATAAAGTCAAAATATTAACAGCAATTGCCTAAACTCGAACCTAGGCATGGGGCAAGGCTGAGAGCACTCAACCAATAGTGCTGAATAATTAAAATTGAGCATTCATACAAATTAAAATTTATAAAAGTAGCATGGGGCACGTGCCCCACCTCCCAAGTACCTAGATCCGCCCCTGGGTGATGATCTAGTAGTGATTGGGTGTTCGATTTAGTTGTTGAACATCCATCCTATCAGTCGAGTTTTGGCTTTATGGATTGAGTTTCCACTGCATAGAAGTATAAAGAATACTTAGCCTTATAGTGCCCTGAATCAATCTATTTTTTTTTCTGTAGGAGATCCGGTTATTAAAAAGAAGACTTGTCTAAAATTACTACCCCTAAAACATGACAATATGTGTTATTTCTAAAACTTGTGGGGTGGATGTAAAAATGTTACTATATCTTATTATGTTAAATGTAAAATGGATACCAAATTGATACCTACTAAACTAAAATAAATTTTACAGTACATGAATCCAATATAATCATAAGAAGTGGGTCATATCTATAGTAAGAAGTTGGTTCTACGATTTCTTTTATTCAGGATCTCATGTAAATGATTTACCCTCCATACTTGAAAATATATGGACACCGATGGATCAATGTCGCCCTATGAACAAGTCAGGATGTGCATGTGTCTTATTAAGATTAGACTAATGTACTTGTTGCTTCGCTTGGAAGATTCATATTCATTCATTTAAATTTTAATAAAGTTCGTAATTAGTTAGAAAGTTCAGGCCAACAACAAAAACAAAAACAAAAAAAAGTATACCTAGCTTATTAACATTTGCCTCTGAATTACTTTGGTTTAAGAGTCTTTCGAAATTGATCATTTATACGAAGATAGCTAAGTTGAGACTCACATTAGTAATAACTAATAACCTAAAAAAAAGTAAGAAACACACATTGCAGTTTATTTTATTTAGTCCGTAAATGGCATGGTTGCCACCAATTATATTCCTAGTCATTCACAATTAGCTGAAAAGATTTACGAGTTCTTGGGTGAAAAAATTTCAAATTTATTTTGATCAAATGGGCACTATAAACTCGTGTACACAACAAACGCGATAGAACGTATTGCGGACAATTTATGTATCTCGTCATATACAAATTACGGATTTGTTTATCTTCACTTTCCCTTTGTGTTGTAGATTTTGAATTTCTGTGTTCAATTCTTTGCAAGTCTCAGCTTTGGCTATATATAACATAGACAAAAAAAAAATCCTTTTTTCTACTTAATGCTCTGTAAGTGTTTGTTTTACTGCGATGTAGAAATTAAAAAAAAAAAAAAGGAAAAGTGTCTAATTTGAAGGTGATTAGAATAAAATAAAGCATATTCAGGGGCTTAAACGTGTTCTTGTGGGAAAATTGAGACGCCAAAGCATAATCTTGGAACAGTCTTGTGCCGGAAGTCCCTTCAACTTTGTATCGTCCTCCAAAACTACTTGCTTCACATATTTTATCGAATCCTATGCAACATTACACAAACAAAAAATTAACTAATATGAAATTTTATAGGAGACAAATTGGATTTAAATTAAGCCCTCTTATGCAATGCTATTGGCTATTGGCCTATTGCTATCTTTTTCGTTACCAAAAATAATTAAGGGTTTATTAGGAAAAATGTACTTTCTTGATTTTAATTGGCCGAAAGGGTAGTTTGTGTTTTAAAATTGGACGGGAGAAAGAAAGACGTAACTACCCTTATGTTAAATGGACATGGGCCGTTTCTGCTAAAGACAGACCATCTATGTTTATGTGTATAATAAGCCTATTTACTCTAATGATTAACGGAATCAATTTGGTGAGAATAAATATAGCAACAAACACTTAAATGACCAGATTGTGCTTGAACTATACCAACCCATTTTACAATTAAATTATCTTCAAGCTCTATAATTTTCACATTCACTAAGCAAATATAATAGAAACAAAATTCGTATAGATAATACAAACTTTGAAGCTGAAGTTACCTGTTTGGTGCCTTCAACAGAAGAAGGACGACCCCATCTCTCAGGGTCCCAAAGTATGGAACTATTGAAAGCGAAACTTGATATATGAATCGGAGGCTTTGTCTCTGTCTCATTATTAATTTTTCTCAAATGCCACCCCAATACTTGTGAAGATTCACAAACCGGCCCCTCTACTATCACTCGTTTCCTATTAGCCGATAGCAATGCCATTGGCCAAGTACCGAATACCCTGCACAAGAAGAAAACATTTAAAAAAAAAACTTTATAACTTGTGGTTAAAGAAAATGTTGTTTTATTTACGTACTCGATATCTCTGATCTTGTCGAAAAAATCAAGATCATATATGTTGTTTAGTCCCGCAAAATGAACTATCCCGCTTAATTTGTGATGTTCAATGTGTCTTAACGCTAGATTCCTTTGATGATCAAGCTCTGATTCCAAGCTTGTGAAATCCTCCTTGAAGACTATACGTCTATACATGATACCGGTCTTTCTTAACATTGTAGATGAAGATTTTTCTTCAGCATCTGAGTGTTTCTCCACGACTATCCACAGTAATGGAGGCGGAACTAGCCTCAATGTATTGGCCATTCTCCTAAGAAGAACGTTTTTGTAGCGATCTTTCGTTATTATTGGAGTTACAACAATTACTAGTCCTCTTGGTGTCACTTTAACTTGGTTCTCATCTGCTGTCTCGGAGAGAGATCTGGTTTCTGCTTCGGCTTCTCGCGACTCTGCGGGAGCTGGGGCTTGGCCTTGGGAATTGGTCAAGGTTCTATTGAGAAGGGAATGGCGTGTGTAGGTAGAGTTTTCAAAAGGTTGGGGAGAAATCTGAGATTTTGTAGAAGTGTAGGGGTTGGTTTCGGAATTAGAGAAAAATGAGGCCTTACCCGCAGGAGCAAAGCCAGTGAAGAAACCCATTACAAAACATAGAGAGAAATGGATCACAGCTTTCTTCCATACTTGAGCTTTCTTCTTTGATCTCTCTAGAGATCCCATAACCTTCTGTTTAAGGAAGAAGGTTTCTTGAGAGTTCCTTTTTTATTTTTGGGAAAAACAATGTGTGAAGTATATATAAGAACTTGATGAGAATTGTGTAGTTATTGTTTGTATCTTTGGTGTGTGATTGAAACCGGTGAGCTAAGGTAAGATTATTTTGATGTTTGATGATTGCTTGCGTTGGTGGTCTTTTGCAACAACCAGTTGTTGGGATTGGAACACATTAACTAAAAGTCTAAAACATATTTGGGCAATTAAAAATCATTGCTAATAACAAATACTATATAAAAATAATCGTTGTTTACTAATGAATCTTTTTTTTTTTTTCGTACTAATGAATCTTAATGCCGCCATAGATTCATTTTGGCGGTAGATGTATGAAGCAGTAAGCCACATTGGAACAGTAAATATATTTCATGATTTATGATTTTGCCGCAGTAGTTTATCTACTATCTAGTAAAAACACCTATTTTCTTAACTCTTGGGATTACCTAATGTGGAGAATAGTCTTGAAAAGGAAAAGTGTTTGAAAAATTTAATACTCCCTCTGTTCCAAAATATAAAAATTTTTAGCCTTTTTTTTTTGTTCCAAAATATAGAATTTTCTCAGATTTCTATTGCAAATATTCAATTTATTAAAACAATTTTGGTCATCGTTTTCTGCAATGATTAAAAAAGTCACTGTCATGCTACGTAACTCAATCTAATTAAAGTTACAAAAACAGCACTTGTAAAATTACCGTATGTAAGAGAAAATATTTAACAAAACTATGTAGAAGATGAACAGCACTTGTAAAATTATTGTAACTCTAAAAACTCATGCGTATACAAAAAGCATCATCTCTGGTTATTATTTAAACTTTTAAATTAACTAATTTAAAAACATGGAAAAAGATTCTCACCTGGATTATGATTAATAGGATGATCAAAAACTTCATCGCCATGACCAGGATCATCTTCTTCTATCCTTGGAATTTGGTTTAAATCAATCAAAACTTCTGCCTCATGATTTAGGATTGGAAAATTCAAATCAATATTGTAATCCATGAAAAATTTAGTAAATCATTGTTAGACCAAAGAGATTATATAGAGATAAACAATTGGAGTTTCTTTGTTCGTATGGCTCCATCGTGAAAAGTTTGAATTTTCAGTTTCAAAGTGTTTACAAAAAAATGGCTCGCATCTGAAATTTTTTTCTTGTAATTTGTTAATAATCCCTATTTAAGTGGAGTAAAATGTGTCTCTTAACATTCTTAATTATCCCTTCTATTTTTTCTTTTTTGTAATTTGTTTTAATGTGTTTAATTAATGAGTTATTTTCTTTTAAAATTTTCCTTAATAAGCGTGCTTTTTGCCCAAAAATTCTATATTTTGGAACAGAGGGAGTAAGAAACTATGCATCGTTATATCATTTAACATTTTTGGTCTCAAGAGTAAAAATATAATTCGATGTTTAGATATAGTATAGATAAATTAATTGAAGTATTAATGAATAGATAGAAACTCTAAATAAATTTACGGAGACCCCACTAATTAAACACTTGAAAATTAGTACGCTTTCCTAACGAAAAGGAGGTTTTGTCAAAGGATCTTACAATCAAGAATAAAGTTACTATTCTTAAACTTAGATCTGATTGTTATTCTTTAAAGATGGATCCATTTCGATTCGATTGCTTGGAGCCTTGGACTAGAGATATATATGTTCCTAATTCCTTAGGAACAACAATTTGTGGACAGTCAAATGGAGCTATATTTAAAGCTTTGAAACTAAAGTTTTTAACCTACTTTGGTTTAAACCTGGCAATGGATCACGTTGCTGGATGCTATATGATTCATGGTCATATTTTGGCTTTCTTGATTGGTGATGATCATGGTCTCTAACTCAGTCTGAAAGTCCATTTGTATTTCAAACATCTCATATAGTCTACTTACTTTAACCTAGAGCCATAGGCTTTTCTTAAATGCAGTTTTCTTGTTTGATTTTTATTTTATCAAACATGTGTCTAACGGCAATAGGCTCCGGCTCCTCCATGGTTATAGGTTCATGGTTTCCAACTCCAAATCGATTGCCGATGAATGTATTAGCGCATGTAATTCATATTATGAAATTATTGCTAGCAAAAGCTTTCCAATGGAATGAAACAACAACTGAAAAATTGGGAAAAAAAAATCAACATAGTATAGATAACTGAGTAAATAAGTTGTAAGCAGACAACGAAGACATCCATAAGGAGATTTAAGCTTGATTTTGTCGAAAGTCTTTTAGTTTTTAATTAATTAGCACATGACCAAGATACTTAGAGAAGCACTAGTTAGACCAAAAACATTTACAGCCAATAATTTGTTTTAAAAAAAAACAGAACTGATCAAAGAGATATCAACATGTGAATATATGATATGCAAATTAGTTGGTCCCAAAGTTATTGCCGTATCGGATACGAAGGCTAAACTCAGATTTTAGCAGAAGCAATCAAGATTTAGATTGATATTTCGTGTACGAGTCCTTCAAGACTTCATGTACTCTTTGTTGTGCGTGTCCAAGTTTTGTATGGTTTTCATCGTTAAATCTGAAGAAAGCTAGCTATACTATTATGTTTTAGTAAAATAAACATACAAATCTCAAGTTTCTTCGCATTTTTATCAATCTTATACGCTGCGCAATGTTCTATACAATGACCATGTATATTGTATAAAATTTCTTGATGTTATAACTACTTCAATGTATTAATTCTTTTATTAACTTCAAAGACTTTTCGATCATGTTGATATAAACTTTATAGCTTCAAATAAAAAGTAAGATGTCCCAAAAAGCGAATCTAGCGGCAAGACATCTCAACAAACAACTAGAGAGCATACAGACAAAAAGTACAAAATATTAATCTTTTCTCGTAAAAAGGATTAGCTAAGTAGAACCACCGATTTCCTCTTATAGAAAAGATCACAGCCGTCTATTTTTCTGAACCCAACGTGTGAACATAACAAAAACATTAAAAATATAAAACCGCAGTGTTCGATCTGAATCATATAGAGAGGGACCAGAGGAACCAAAAAAAGAGTGAGAGTTTCAGTACCAAATAATCCTTACACAAAAAGAGATGAGGTTTTCTTCATCAAGACCCGTTTCGAGTCCGGGTCGAACCGAGAACCCGCCTCTACTCATGCGGTTCTTGCGGACCAAAAGCAGAAGCAGAAGCCGTTCTCGTTCAAGAAGACCTATCTTCTTCCGTCGGAAAAACGCTGCGGCTGCGGCGGAGACACAACAAGAACCAACTTCACCTAAAGTAACTTGCATGGGTCAAGTAAGGATACACCGATCAAAGAAACCCAAACCCGGAACTGCTCGAGTCTCCGGAGGTGCAACGGAAAGCCGTCGCTGGAGTCGTCGGTGTGGGTGGGTTAAGAACGCTTTTTCCTGTCATTCTTTCACCGGAAAAATTAAACCGACTTGCTTTAGCCCTGTGTGGCGTAAATGGAAATCATTTTCTCATGCTAGTTTCTCGAGAAAATCAGAGAAGAGATCAAGCTCGTCTAGAAGTGAACCTATCTTTGGCCGCTCCACAGTGGAGCCAGAGGAACCAGAAGAGACTCGAAAAGAAGAAAACCAAGAAGAAGAAGAAGAAGAAGCAAGTTCATGTAAATCTTTCACAGCTACACCACCGAGAAACGCTTTTTTACTAACTCGATGTAGATCTGCACCGTATAGATCTCCGTCATTAGCTAATAGTTTCTTTGAAGATCAAGAAGAGATAAAGGAAACTCCTTTCCGACGACACGCTTCGTCGGAAAATGTATCAGTTTCGGAAGAACCGAAGACGAGCGTTACAGAAACAATAGATGATTCAAGAAGAGAATCAGCGGCGAGTGAAGAACCAAAACGAAGCGTTTTGGGATCACCACGACAGTGTCTGGTACTCACGCGCTGTAACTCGGAGCCAGCGAGAATCGGAGAGAAACTCGTCCCCGATATGGGTTATCGACAGAACCCAAGGTTGGGATTTACGTGATGGGTTTACATTTTTTTTTCTTTCTTCTTGTATTTTTTCGAGAAATTTACATTGAAACGAATACTATATTCTTTGTTGAGTTTACTTCGGGAAGTTTCGCTGAAATTTAGAGCTTTAAAAGCTTTCTTTATCGTAGAGAATCTTGTGGTTCCCTGACCATGTAATATTTTTCAATTGTCCTATCTATGACATTGTAACTAAACAAACAATTTCGTTCGTACACTTACACATTCAAAAAAAAAAAAAGTCTTTGTTATATATAGCCCTTTTTTTTACATATATATGACAAAAAAAAGGGTTATGTTAATAATATGTTTTCTCTATTCGCTAAAATACTTACTCCCTCCGTATTTTAATAATTGTCGTTTTAGAATTTTTATTTTTTTGAATTGGATGTCGTTTTCAAATTTCTTTGCAAAATTTATTACTTTTTAATGTTTTATGATCATAAAACATTAAAAAGTAATAAATTTTGCAAAGAAATTTGAAAACGACATCCAATTCAAAAAAATAAAAATTCTAAAACGACAATTATTAAAATACGGAGGGAGTATTAGACCATGTACACCGGTGAATTTTTCTGAGTATCATCAGCCCATAAACTATTTTTTAATGGATCAAGTAACATAATTGGCCCTGATACGTATCAGTGGACTGATACTTGTGATACCCATTTTGGTGTGACGTGGCGGAACGTCATTGGACCGTGAAAACAGAGGAAAACGAAACAAAACTCATTTACTTCTTCTTCTTCTCTGTTGCGACGAAGAACAAAAAAAAAGGGCTTCTTCTCTTCTCTCCTCTCCTTCTTCTTCTCTGTTGATTCAAAAAAAAATCTCCGGATCTGGGTTTCTCTCTTTCAATCATCCTTCAAGCTCATCTCTTTCTTCAACCCAATAACGAAAGTCTCCTCCTTTATTAATGGGTTACTTCAGTAGTAAACACCGGAAAACTCAAAACGACGGCGGAGAAAGAACAATTCCGATCAATCCAGTTCAAACCCATGTCGTTAATCAAGTCCCTGAGCATCGTAAACATCAAATCCTAACACCCAAACCCATGAAACAAGCAATCCTTCAACAGATTTCAACGCCGTCTTCAAACCCAATCTCAGTTCGAGATCCATATACGATTTTAGGTAAACCATTCGAAGACATCAGAAAATTTTACAGATTGGAAAAAGAATTAGGTCGAGGTAAATTTGGGATTACGTATATGTGTAAATAGATTGGAACTGGGAACACTTATGCTTGCAAATCGATTCTTAAGAGGAAGTTAATTAGTAAGCAAGATAAAGAAGATGTGAAGAGAGAGATTTAAATAAAGCATTATTTGTCTGGACAACCAAATATTGTTGAGATTAAAGGTGCTTGTGAAGATAGACAATCTGTGCATTTGGTTATGGAGTTGTGTGCTGGTGGTGAGTTGTTTGATAGGATTATAGCTCAAGGTCATTACTCTGAGAGAGTTGTTGCTGGTATCATTAGGTCTATTGTCAATGTTTGGTAGTCGACAGCATGGAGCAGGAGTTGATGTCTGGGCTGCAGGTTGTATCTTTGCTGAGCTATTACTTCGTAGACCATTTCTTCCGGTAATGTTCTATACTTGTCGTTCTTTATGTTTCAAAGTATCTCTGTTTTTTTCAAAACATTTAGTTACAAAGATCTCTCTGTTTCTTTCCTCAGGGTTCTACTGAAATTGATCAACTTGGGAAGATCTTTGTCTTGGTAACAAAAGATGTTGCATGCTTTTTGCAGACAATCATTTATTATGCACTTGCTGTAACTCATGACATCATGGGCTGTTGTGTGTGAAGTGTGGTACTTGGAACCTCAAACCATAAGGCCCGGTGAAACAGGGATTGAGTTTGCAGAGAGGTGAAACACTCTTCTTTTAGACCTTCATCAGAGAAGTCATCTACTAAGAAGTTTGCATGCACTTTATTTACTTGTGACAGGGTAAGAGACATGATATCTCTTCGGGCGGGTCTCAAAAAGGTCCCGTGGGATGGATACTGTCATTATTCTTTCTAGCTGAATCTCTGAAGAATTTTCAGTAGCATGGTTCTTGGTCTAATGCATGTGTGGTTAAATTAAAACTTTGCTGCATGTAATTCAGGAAGCGTTTTGTTTATAGAGAAAGAGTGGATGTTTGTAGATTTTGCGACTACCACTAGTTATTTATGTCATGTCGTCACTTTTTTATTTTATGCATCCTCTAAACATAGAAAATGGTTGTTTTATGTCTTATATGTTGTTCTTGTTTACAAAAGCAGTTTATGTGTGTTCTTACTTCTGTTTTTGGTTAAACTCATCTGCTCCTTTTCTTTTGTTTCTAAAATCACCCAAAATTTAATTATAAATTTCACCAAATCACCAATCTTTTTACTTTTCAAATATAAAAACTCTAACAAATAACTAAATCTCCTAAAAACTTGCTCAAATCTTTCAAAAATTTAAAATTTATAAATTCCAGCAAATCTCCAAAAATACTAAGTCCAAATACACCCCCCTTAATATTTTTTTAATTTTACGTTTTTTTTTGCTTAAGTATATTCTACGTTTTTATGGATTGTAATATTATCTTTTGTAATCTTATGTTTTTATATATTTATTTTCGATTTTGCAAATAATATTTTTTAATTAGTGATACTGATACCGGTATCACCACTGAAAACAGATTTATTATCAGTATCATAAAAAATCTCAAATAATAAACAAATATTAAAATTAATACTAAAAAATTGTTAATGATACTCTATGAGTATCAACTATGTGCATGCTCTTAGTTATTAATGTTGTGTAATCAGACCCTTTAATTTATTCCCATGCATTAGCTCACAAGAATAAGTCCTCATGGGCCGCCCAGATATTAATGAGCTCAAAATATTTCCTAATTAATTAATTGTTGCGACGAAGGTGTCTTTGACTATTTTAACGCGTACGGGACGGTCAATAAATTGGTTAAAGTCTCTCTCTTTCTTCTTCTCTACCTCTTCTTCTTCTACATTCTTCCTTTAGATCAAAGAGAGAGATCGTCTTGTCCAAATTGATCTTGCGTTAATTTCTAAGCACAATATGGCGGCAGAAGATAGCCGTGAAGCTCAACGAGGCGACGAACATGAGGAATCGAGTCCTCTCTTGCAGGGAAAAGAGAACGACGGCAAGATCTGCTCGAAAGGAGATGCCAAGGCGGCGTCGCTTGTGCCTCCTCCCGCGGTGGAGGAATACGGTTGGACGGCGGATGGATTGCCGGTGAGTCAGGGGAGCGTGATTGGCGAGCCGATCAGGAGAAACCAGTGGAATTCGGGTCTCTTTACCTGTTTAGGCCGCAATGATGAATTTTGCAGCAGCGATCTCGAAGTTTGTGAGTATTTCGTTGAATTTGAATAAATTGGTTTTGAAATTTGGGTTCTTTTTAATGGGTTTGTTGATTTATCTGAAATTGATCCGATAATTTCTGATTGTAATATGTTTCCTAAATTTGGTTGGGTTGTTGAAAATTGAATCTTTGGATCTTATTGATATAATGGCTTCTTGTTTATAGGTCTTCTTGGAAGTGTGGCTCCATGTGTGTTGTATGGAACTAATGCAGAGAGACTTGGGTCTGCTCCGGGAACATTTTCAAACCATTGCTTGACGTATTTGGGATTGTACTTTGTTGGTAATTCTTTGTTTGGCTGGAACTGCCTTGCTCCATGGTTCTCTTATTCTAGCCGTTCTGCTATTCGCCGCAAGTTTAACCTTGAGGTAATGATTCTGCTTCCTGAGTGGGTACTTAACCCCCAAGAGATTGTAGTTTGGTTCCACCCTACTCACTAGTATTTAGGAAACATTGAAGGGCAAGCCTGGTCTCATAGGCTATCAAGTGGCTCTAGCGCTTGGGGCCGTCCATTACGATAGTTGCCCCATTTTTCATTCCATAGTTTGCATCAAGGACAAATTCTATCTCCTGACCCCATTTTTCATTTTCTTTTGGGTTAAACCAGGGAAGCTTTGAGGCTATGAACAGATCGTGTGGTTGCTGCGGTAGCTGCATAGAGGACGAGATGCAAAGGGAACACTTGGAGACAACTTGTGACTTTGTGACACATGTCCTTTGCCATACATGTGCCCTTTGCCAAGAAGGACGTGAGCTCCGCAGGAAGGTTCTCCACCCGGGTTTCAATGCTCAGTCCACCGTGGTCATGATGCCACCTAGAGAGCAAACCATGGGTCGTAAATGAAGCTTGCTTTGAGTTGAGTGGTATAAGTAGCACTTGTATTATTGTATACACGTTGGTAAAACAAGTGTCTTGTGTGGAACTTGAACCTTTATATTGTCTTTTGCTTACTTTTTTTTGGAATAAAACCTTCTATGGATGTAATTTGTCTTGTGTGTTACTTATTTCTCGAAAACAAACATGTATATCTTTGTTGTTACCCACTTGTTTTGATATGATCTAAAATGTTCAATTGTTTCGCAATTCGTAAGGTCTAGCATTGATCGGCATAACGAAAACCTGAATGGTTAACATAACATAGTTTCGAGCAAAAACTTTGGATCGAGAAAGCTGAAAAATATATGGACAAATAAAGTTAAGTGAACATGATAGACTCTACAACTGCAACCAAATATGTGAAGCGAAAACAAAAGTTGATGAGATTCAAATTTTGTAGTCTAACCAAAACAGAACAAGGGTGTCCTTTCTACTCTCCATACAAAAGTCTCCTTGACATTGTCATTACAAGAAAAAAGAAAACTGGTACCGACACGGTTGAAGTAAGGGCAAGAAGCTGAAATCTATTCGCCGGGCACGGGGACTCCCTGCTTCAGCTTCTCACGCTTGAGCTTCTTTTTGGAAAGAGGCTTCTTCTTCTTTGGGGGTAGATTCTTCTGAGCATACATGTACATCACGTAATTGGCTATCAAGAATGTCACAAGCAGGCCTCCAATAACAAGCAACACTATCAATCCCGGGTTCAATCCTTTCGCTTCAACAACCGCCTGTAAATTCACAAAAATGTATGCAAAAATTCATACCAAAGTGAAATTCATATTCAAGAATTCAGGGAAACCAAACCAGCAATTGATACACATTAGCGTGAAATCTATCACAGCGAATTGGGGCATTGTATTTTTCTGAATTCCCAAGCAAATCTTAACACTTTTGACACTAATTCTTGAATACAATCGAAATCCTCTGTAAATTTCACATCATTGTTCAAAATAAACAATGCATGCGAGAGGATCATCAAGATCAAGACAACACAACAAGCAACAGCGAAACTGATAATCTTCTTGAGTAAAATTTGATCTAACAGATCCAACGATAATAAACCGAGATTTGGACCTTAAAAACCAATCATGGATCAAGGAAGAGAGGAGCGTGATTGGTAAACACAGCTCGATTTCATCGAAAATTACAAATGCGGAGACATACCTTTCCGGCGGAACCTTCACTGCTCATGGCTACGATCCGGAAATCTGAGAGATCCGATGCAGACAAAGAAACGAGTCGGAGATTCTTCTATAAGAAACTGAGATCTGTGTTTCCGACGAGAGATTCAGACAAAAGACAAAAAAAGACATGTACATTAACAAGTAAATAAATTATTATAAAATATTAATTCTTTTTTTTCCTTAAAAAAAATTAATTCATTTGCATCGAAGTAAATAGAGAATCCCAATTAATAACATTTACTTTTATATATTATACAATCATGGACTCAATTGACTTCGAAAGTTCTTTAATAACGTTTTTTTTTTTTTGACAGCCTTTAATAACGTTTATTTCTAACATAAACTTTTGGTAGGAATTTTTGGTACCATGTTATCTATCATTGATTAACAAATGCATGGAGAACTTTTTTGGATATGTTACGAGTAAGTTTTTTATTGGGTCGTATATACTCTTGGAGTTTAGTACTCTTGGAGTTTAGTCAAAGATTGACCCTACTCTTGTAAGGCCTTTTACTTAAAAGTATAGCCCATCAAATTACCCGTTCTTTTTGTTATGTGATCATCCGATATACCTGCAGGTTTTTTCTAAATTTTTTTGTTTTGTCTTATTTATATCATATTTTGATAAATGTATTTTAAAATTTCTAATTATTTATTCATGCAATTAGCAACAATTCTTAATGTTAAAGTACTTTTTCTAGCAATGTTTTTAACAATGTATCACATTTACGCAAGTTTGCAACAGTTTTTGTACAAAAAATTATAATATTAGAATTATAAAAACTTTAAGAACTTGATGATGGAACTATTCTTACGCATTATTCACCTTCTGTGATATATTGTATAAATAGAGATTAAAAAAATTACATACTCAAACAATTAGTTAATCTACTATACTATTAGCAAAGATTACAAAAGATTAGCAAACAACACGCAAACGAATAAGAAAAAATTAATAAAACAATTATATTAAAGAAAAAATATATATATAATAATAAAATAAAGGTAGTATCAAAACACTTGCATAGTAGAACAACATCCGGCCATATTTCGATTATATGGATGGTTTTGGTCTTATGTTCAAAGAACAAATAGGTGGAAAGAAGACTGTTTATGTGTTCGTTTTTGCTCTACCTCCAGAAGGTCCTACCAAGAAAGAGAAAACTATGCAACCATGTTTGAACCTGTTTAAACGTTGTAAACGCTATGGACTGTAGACATTTCTTTTCATAACGAGACTATACAACATTTCAAACTATTGTTTTTTTTTTTTTTGGTATGACGCTACATTGTTCTTTGACTATATGATTTGATTTGCTAGCATTTTGCATTTGGTTTTGTTTTTTGTTTTAATCTGGATTTGGTAAATAAGTAATTAAGTATTACTCGATTGGGTCTTACATTTAATTTCACTAACCTAAGATCTCATGGCCATGGTTTTATTTATTTATTTTTATTATCCAGCTGAAATTGGTACTTATATTTAATTGTTTAACTTTTTTTTTTAATAATGGATTTAATTGCTTAAATAACTTAAAACTAGATTAAATAAAGTATCTAACCTCACACCAAAAAAATAAAACAAAGCATCTAACATTGGTCTGAATTTAAAGTAACTAGGTGATCATCCGCGCTACTCTGCAGGTTTTTTTTCAGTTCTTTATTTTATTTTATTTATTATCATTTTTTGATAAATGTAATTTTAAATTTTTAATCATTAACTCATGCAATCATCAACTACTTTTAGTGTTAAAGTACCTTTTTAGCAACCGTCTCAACAATGTATATATCATTCACACAATTCCGAAACAATCTTTATCATAGACTAGTTTTATAGATGGTAATATTGGAACTATAGAAACTCCAAGAAATTTGATGATAAAGTTTGTCTTATTTATCCTCACTTTCTCTAATATATTATTTAGATAGAGACAATGAGAATAACCTACTCAAACCATTAGCTAATTTACTATACTATTATCTATTCATAATTTAAGTTAAAACTACAAAAATATTAACAAAGAAACTCAAAACGAGTATGAAAAAAATAATAAAATAATTTTATTGAAAAATAAGCATATAATAATAAAACAAAAGTAGTATTGGTACAATTAAATAAAGAAAATTAATAATAAATGTATTAGATATTAATTTTTAGAATGGAAAAGTTTGAGTTGATAGACTATGGAGGAAGAGAAGAAGAGGAAGACTTGGTGGCTTAAAAGTCTAAGTGTTTAAAGACGGCGACAATCTCTCTTTGATCCAACTTAGAAGACAAAGAGACGATGATGGAGCAGTTGAAAGCTATCCCTAGGGTTTAAATAGCATCTCAGCTGTTGTTCAAAACCTAATCATAACTAAGTAAGCAAATTAAGTAACAACTTTAACACTCACAAGATTGTAGACATAATATGTCTAAAAAATCTCGTAAATTTTGTGTGGAGCAATGCAGCCTTTGCTAATTGTATGTGAACTTCTTGAGGCCAATCTACACAAATTCCACAATTTAACAGAGGATCAGATTGGGAGTGTGGTGAAAGGCAATTAGCTTGAAGTTTCTCATTAAGGCTAAGGGATTAGTGGAGGTGTTGGCAGTAATCTCATGATTTCATTTAAAATTATTTATTGGGACTTTTCAGGTTAGGTTTTTATGATCTTAGAGCATATATGCATGTGTGACTATACGTTATATAGATTTATACAGTTAAGTTTATTACACTACTCGTATGGTAATAGTTGCATCAGATCCATTGTAATAATTTAACTAATATAGTGATTACTTTGACTCCGTGAGTTTAGTTTGCATGTGATTTAACTTCTCTATATCCTAGAGGTCAAGATCTATCTCTTTGTATACATGAATTTGAACATCTGAAATAGTAAACATGAATTTATAATAGAGGTCAAGATCTATATCTCTTTGTAATCATAAAGGCTAATATTTGCCACTTTCTTAAACAAATAATTAATAATCAGGTCTAATAATTGGTTACCAGACGAGACTGGCCAAATTATTCGTGATAATTTTAGAAAAAATGCACTAATTATTAAAATCCTTTATAATAATGTAAATGATTGTAAAAAGAGTCAATGTAGACACATGGAGAAGTACCCAACTCGTTTGGCATCTCACAACTAAACAAAACACGATCAATCGGTCATGATTTGGCTTGGAGTCAACAAGTACTTGATAAACATCAACTAAAAATAGCTTGACAGTGTAGACCAAAAAAAAGGGTGATATTTTTTGTATTTATGATAGTTTGATGTTTTAGAATGATTTATAAATCTAATCGTTGTACTTTATGTTTGGTACTACTAGAACTAAAAGTAGAATAAGTCCGGATCGGTAGTTGTTTCAATCACTCACGAATATATACCCACAAATAGCAAAATATAAAAGTCCCATCGAAACCTTGGGGGGTGATCCAAACATAACTCAAGCCACAACGGTTTTGGTATTTCTTCTTATTGAATCCAAAACATATACATACACACATTCATAGTTTCATACGTATATGATTATTATCTTGACAATATAATAATTTATAACCAATATTAGTTCACATAACGGCAATCCTTCCTGATCTCCCCTTGGTCTCCAGTGAGTGGGTTGGTCTCGGACAAGAGCCTGACGCCACGTGAGAACTGCTCATGGAAGTAACCATTGTCCGCAGCCATCTTGGCCACAAACGGGGCGGTCCTTGGATCGGTGGCTAGCTCATCATCAATGACAAGAAGCCCCTTATGAGCCATGATGTTCTGGTAATACATGTTGTCCACAACCATCGGAGTCTCACGATCGTTTCGGGAGTACAAGACGGCGTTCGGGTCCGGTGTTGGACTTGGGCAACGTTTTTTCAAGTAAAGGGCGTAACTTGGGTCGAGAGTCGGGTCAATCGTTGGGTATAGCCGGTGCACTAGGTTAACGCAGTGGACCCTACCCACTGAGTGAGCACCTACAGTAGTATAAATTGACTGATCAACTACAAATATCATTTCTCTAAGAAAATTTCTATGTTATAGTTTTTTTACTTCCGTCTCTATCATTAGACATTATCTCCGAAACCGAATCAATACCAAACCCAATAATTGAACAAAAGATGGTACCTAAGAGAGCGACGGTGGCTTCGACATCGATACCAATGGAGTTAAAGGTGGATATAACAGAGGAAAGAGAGTCATTGTGGTTAGGGATTAGAGTCTCAACATCTCCCAAATAGCTCCCTCTGCTATCTCTCCTTCCTGTCTTTATCATCTCTATCTTTGGCCCTTTCAACTAATAATTTCACCAAATATTAATTACCAAAAATACAAAAAAATTTCCAACTAAAATGCTTGTAAATATTTGCCTAAACTCACCATGACAATACCGTCTCTAGCAGAGAGAGCGACAATATCAGCGCAAGAGACTGTGGAAGGACACTCTTTCTCGAGTGCGTCTTTGATAATCTTAACGTACTTAAAGTTTCTCATACCGAAACTCCTCTTCGATTTCTGCTCAGATTCCACACCTCTCGCTGTCTCTAGAAGCAGCGACGCATCACACGACTACACAACAAGAAAACACACACATGAACGTTAATACTACATATAGTTTTGTCGTATTAATTTTGGTGAATTTATAAAACTATCAAAAAGATTTAATTACCTTGACGACACAGTCATGGAAGAGATTACGGAGCCAAGATACGGCTGTGTTGCCGTGTTTGTAGTAAAGCGTTTCCACTTGTTGTCTTATAATCTCTTCCGCTTTTGGACAACTCTCTCTGTAATAGTTCATCTCCAATTCCCCATTTCCTACAATGTTTATAGATTATTTACTTTATTTAGATGTGTTGATATTTGTTGAAATTTAACGGTGGAAATTGTATTAGTGAAAGAAATTCATTACTAGTATATAGGTAAATGATAATTGGAAGCATGGAGACACATGGCATAACATGATTGGATCAGTGAAGAATGTATTTACCTATATGGAAGATGGAGAATAACTGTAATAACAGACAAAAGAAGCCGAAGAGACAAAAGTGCTTCGCATTGGCCATTGCTCTCTCTCTTCTCTCTTATCTTTTTCTACTTAATTAAATTATTGGTGTGTCTCTCTATGTGTTCCAATGTAGAGTTATATAGAGTTTGAGAACCTCTCTAATCGTGTAATATATAATTAAGTATCTTTATTTCTTAGTCATAGTGGTTGCTGTCGCTATTAATTATTCATTTTTTGCAATAATCGGGGGATTTTTTTAATTATTCTAAACTCATATTAATACTCAAATTTATAACCACTAGCTAGCTATCTGAACTCAATAGTTGTTGAACATGTGAATTCAGTGAGACTCGATTTCAAAATTTATTCGATAATAATAGTAGCATAGTAGCACTAGTTAATTAATTTGGCTTTTTCACTTTTGTTCCATTATATATCAAACTGATTCAAGTATATATCTATTTCCTCTTTTATATTTTTCTTCATATATTAATTAGTAATCTGTTAACAATTTCATGATCCACCATAATATGATACGTATACAATTTGAAAAAGTTCTTAAAATAAAAAAATTATAGAAAAAATAAACATTTGCTTGCAATGATTATGAATAATAGTACACGTCAACGTCTATATAACCAACTCTCTTAACTTCACCACAATGCCAATCTCTTATACTACTATTTTTGGCCTATTATCTTAAATATGATTATAATTTTAAATACGATTTACTTTTAAACATAATCTTATATTCCTTTGCTGCTTCCTTCTGGTAAAGTTTTTGCGACCGGAATTTAACAGGTTCTACCAGACTTACCGGTTTTTTACCTTCCGTTTAAGATATCGTTGCCAATTTGGAATCATTAGCTCACTTCAGAAACTTTATGTCTTTCAGTACAGTTAATTAGAGTTGTTAAATTTTAACAAAAATATCTTAACATTAAAACCAAAAAAAAAAAAAAAAAATTTTTTTTAACAAAAATAGAACGAAAGACCTTAAAAGTTATTATATTATATTATATTCTACTACATCATGGCAAAAAAGTTATTGAATAAAAACCTTAAAAGTTTTAAGATTATGTTTCACCGTTTATAAAGTTTATTTCAGATAAATACAACTTTCTTAATAATTTATATATTTTGTTGGGAATTGGGGATGAGGATCCGATCTTCGATAGTATGTTAACCAGAGGTCTGATCAAATTTGAAAGATCCTTTAAGTAGCTGTTCAACGATCATTCTTTCGTCAATTTGGTTATGCGTTTTAAATTTATCGTAAAGTTTTAGATAGTTTGGAAAGCAAAAAGGTTACAAGGTTACACTTTGGTATGTTAGCAATAAAGATAATATTTTTAAGAAGAAAAATCTAAAGAAGAATTAAGATTCCTTGGTGTATATATATATATGAATAATTGAAAGCCATTAAGTTTGACCTTTTAGGCAATTCCGTAATCGCATGCGCATTCGCATTCGCAAACCACTACTAATAAAATCAATCCCCCACTTTCTTAATTATGGCGGCTGTAAATACATGTACACTTCCTTTGCCATTAACTACCGTCCAATCCATTCACTTGCAGACATAATGCTTTGTTGCCAATTCACTTATCCTCAATATTCTTTATGTAATGATTTTGATTTTCCTTAAGTCTACATCTAGAAGTTAATGTGGTTTAACTAGTTGCGTATATGAGTATATGATTCTCTCTCTCTCACCAATAACAGTTTACTACTATTTAGATATTCAAGCTAACGTGTGGTTAGTTGGATTTATAAAACTAGTTATGTGATAATAAATTAATAATAGTCAGTTTGATTTTGAGTTCGTAGAAGAAGTTTTGATTAGAGAGACGATTTTAAATTTGTCGATTTGTCACATGTATTATATCAACAGCAAAGTCTGAAGTTGGGGAGATGTCGTGGTATGATCCAAAAAAATGATCATGACCATTGACTTCTATTCTATGATACCATGTAATATTTCAAATTAGTGATGATGTCTTGGTGAAATTAGAAAAAAGGTTCTTTGATATTCTATAGTACGTAGGGGATGGAATAACTAAAACGTTTTTAATAGCCAGTTATAGCCACGATTGGCTAATATATATGAATAACAATAGCCACTGGAGAAGAAATGGCTACGGAAATTTAGTAGTCATTAAACCAAAAATAAATAAAAATTAGTAGTCATTAGATGGCTACATAATAATCCATTGATGGCGTCATTTGTAGCCATACAATGTCACTATTTTCTTATAATTTGTGAATAAAACACAATTTTGTTGTAATGAAGCTTCATTTACTTGGAATAGTGAAACGGCCTCCGAAGAAAATCGTAAAGCTATACTTGTGTTGTGTGTGAGATGAACTAACCATTAAAAAAAAAAAATAAGGAATAATACTTGAAATTATAGAGTACTATTAAAAAAAAAAAAAAAAAAAAAAAAAAAAAAAAAAAAAAATTATAGAGTACTATTTACTTAGTGTTAAAAAAAAAAAACTATTTTATGCTAGCCCTTAAAATCTACGATGCATGTGGTGATGTGGATTTGGATCTGGATTCTGGCTTCCAAAAATATTGACCCACCTTTTGCTTCTTCCCGCGAAATGCTGGACTCGAAAGCAAGCGTGTCGGAAATAAGTCTAAATTCCTTTCGTTTCGTTCTGAAAAAACATCAATAAAATATATACTCCCTCAGTTTTTAAAAAGTTGTCGTTTTAACTGTATTTAGACAAATTAAGAAAATGTATACAATGACTATATTAACCTCATAAAAATGACAAGTAATTATTTACAAATAATTTGTGTTTAATTAAATGAGGGTAATTTGGGTAGTTATTGGCATAAGTTACATTATTACCTTAAAACGACAACTAATTTAAAACAAAAAAAATGCTCTAAAACGACAACTATTCGAAAACGGAGGGAGTATGTGTTAACATGCAATGCATTATTGCTCTATAATTTCAAGTATAATATATTTCTTTTTAAGTTAGTTTATATATTTTCGGAATATGAATGTGACTTATTTGAGTTGACCTTATGAATATCTCTAAAAGGGCCTTATCCGTTACATAGAATTTTATTATATCCTTATTGTATTTAATTTGGAGTGTGTCGTACACAGTGCCGTGCTTAGCTTCACAGAGGCCTTAGGCAATTTCGATTAATGTGGCCTAAAAAAAATGATTTATGATAGTAGATATTCTTTTTTTATAAAATAATTAATGATAAAAAAATTTTAAGCACAAATTTGATTCTATTTTTCTCTATACAATCGTTGAAACTCACATATTCAAATTTTCTAATCAACTGTTTTACTATAAATAAGATAGTTAACCATTTAATCTTCTTAGTGGATTTTTATTTATTAGTTTTACGCAATTCTCAAACAAAAAGCTCTAATACATAATATTAAACTAAATACATATATCTAGTTTTTGAATAAAATGTGGCCTTCTAATACTTAATATTTTGGTGGCCTTAGGCAATTACCTTTAATTTTATGAGGTAAGCACGGCTCTGGTCGTACACTCGTAAGTATCTGTTAATCTGTATGGCTATATTTGTCTTTATGAATTTATAATAGTAATTATTTTTAACCACCACCTTACATTGTTAATAAAAGAAAAAGAGAAAAATGTTGATCTGTGTATTTTTCTGGCAACAAAAAAATAATTCAGGTATTTTACTGGCAAAATTAAATAACTTAAGTTTTTTTAAGGAATTTTTCTAAAAATAGTAACGGCGTTAACGGCCGTAACGGAGACGAGAGGAAATTGGAAGAAAAAAATAGTTCGTGTTTTTTTTGTCAGCGGTAAATTAGTTGGGGTTTTTTTCCGGCATCGAAAAAAATTCAGGTTTTTTTCTGGCAAATATTAAATAGTTGGGGTTTTTTTTTGGGAATTTTCCCAATTTTGTGATCATAGAAGTTCAAAATGATCATAAGGACTTAAGGATTATCCTTTTCCACTGTTCTCACGGTTTTTTTTTTTGTTTATTTGCAGAGCAAGAAACTCCATTTAAAACATTGGTTTCCTTTTCATTTTTGATTATAAAAAAAATGTCGAATGAAATTTGTTGTGAAAATTTTTAATTGAATACAAGAAGAGGTTATGAGTCCTAGAGATTTAAAAAATGTAAAGAAAATTGAAACAGAGTAAAAATATATCAATATAATTGTCATATATCATCACCCTAAGGTCCCTAACAATGCGTAGATGGGCTTCAAATTACACGGACATACGACCAGGTTATATGAAAACCATCTTCAAGTATAATGTGACCTACAGGACTGGTGAAGAATTCACCAATCCACAAGGAAAATTCAAGGACTATTATCACCTCTTTATTTGTCAATCTTATTTCTCTTTGAAAATCAATTGCTATATAGTGTGAATTGAATTTAGTTCTTGTGTGAACTGTTGTGTAACTTTTTGCATCTGTAACAAATCCAGATTTTCCAATAATTAACCTATATTATAAACCCTTAAGAAAGATCCTGGACTTCCTTCTATTTACAACTATTACTAAGAAAACTAAATGTTATATTCTATCACATATTTTTTTCCTTTAAAAAGACAAATGAATATAATATAACATGCACACATAAAAAAGATATCTATATTTTATGATGAGTTCTTAGAAGCATCAGGTAAAGCAGGCGATTTGCAAATAGGGCAAGAGTTCTTCATAGACAACCATTTCTTGATGCACCTCCCATGGTAGTCATGACCACACCCCTTAACTTCCCCTAACTCTTCTTTTTCCTTGTACTCCTCCTATTTGTACCCCATCACCCTTGAGTTAGCCTATTTCTAACTTTATATTGCACATATATTGTTTCAGACTACTAAATCTTACCAGGCAGATTGCACATTTTCTTTGCTCCTCTGTTTGATACGATGGATAATACGTTGTTGCTAACAAGCAACTGGAGATTGCGCTGTCGGATAGACCAGTGTTGACACTCCCAATCCTTTCCCCAAGAGCAAGGAGTTCCTGGATGGATATATATCAGTTACAAAACTTTTGGTTTTGTCTATGTGAGGCTTCAAAACACAAGTGTTTGGCTATTAACCTCGTAGCTCATGTTATCGATGTCAAGCCTCATGTCTCTGTGGTGATCAAGCATGTTTCTAGATTCGTAGTAGTGTGGTTGACGATCTACGACCATGAATCCCTGTTTTTACACAGCCCCCAAAAAATAACAGAAAACAGGTCAGCAGAAAATGATAAAATTGCAAATCTATGTTTGTGGAGCTGGTCCCTTCGGTTAATACTCAACATGTACTATATCATCTCGACTTGATCTTTATATTAATGATTAATATAATTTTGACAGACTTCCACTCAAAAGAATGCAGCTATAAGGGAAAACTATACCTCAGATGAAAACCGTTCATGGAGGGAAACTTCATCGAAAGGAGGCTGAAACCTCTCATAGGAACTCCTGCGTCTCCCTGGGCGATCACCGCTACGCCATGAAATGTGTGGTGGTGGCCTTAGATGCCTAGAAGGATAAGTCTCAGTGACCAAATGAGACCTATCTCCAGAAGAAGATGCAACATGTCCCAATCGCGAACCCTGTGAAGAAGATCTATAGGTGGGTGTTGACCTATGATGAGAGAAGCGGCTGCTGCTTGTAGATTGTGTTGAAGTTCCAGGAAAACCGTGGGAAACTGTATGGTTTCTGTTTCCGGTGAGCCCATGGTGATAGCCGGAAGTATCAACAGATAAGCTGTTGACAACACTTCTCGCAGGAAGAAAATTATTTGTCTCTGGACTAAAGCCATTTGTATCTGCAAGGTGGGAATTAATGTGATTATAGAAACAAAAAAGATTCAGATCTCGAGACAATGTGAACTTTGCATACCTCTAGGAACTGAGGACAATCTAGCACAGTTCCAGTCTTTATTTCCGTGAGAGGTCTGACCAGGAAATTGACCTGAGCCAGAATGATCAACACTGTGGCGGTGTGTAGAATGGGAATCAAGGCTCAAGCTTCTTGGCAAATTATTTCTTCCTAAGCTGGTTTCTAAATCAAGTGTAGAACGACTACGGACATTCCTTGAAGAACTCTCTCCCCTGATCGAGAGATTATTACTATTGTAAGTTGGGTTCATAAGCCATGGCATGTAATGAGGATCATGATCATGCGTTATTGATTTTCCTAGGTGAAATTCCGAGGGGAAATGGGTGTCTGCAGGAGTTCTGTCACCGTGATATTGGCTTGAACTACCCATTTCATAGATGGAAGAAGGACAAGGGCGTTTTCGCTTTTGTGCTCCTCTCACATTTTCCATAGATTGATCAACATAACTAGCATTGGTCCAGGCCTGGCTGTTGCAGTTCGACGAAGATGCAAATGTCACATAATCCTCATTTGGAGCAGAGAAATTTGGAACTGTTGAATTCACGAAAGGATCATGGGATGGCCCCGAAGCCCCCGGATTGTAGTGTGGTCTCTCCACACTATGACCTGAGGCAGTATAGGCATTTGGTCCTGGAGAAGAGTTCCAATGAGAAGACACTGGCATTCCTTCATTCAACATGTTTTCAGCTGGATATACATGCGATCTGTTTTCACTGGTCCCAGATCTTGCTGAGAAAATGTGGAGTGGACAATATTAATCAGAAATATGGAACATCTTAACCTAAAACTAAACATGTATCATCAAACCAAATTTTAAATATCAATCTCTATAGATGGAGAATGAGTTTGAAAGATTGATTTCAATCAAAAACAGATTAAAGATCTATAGAAATGGAGGACTAATTACCTAGACTCGTATATGGATGTTCTGGATGTGTATGATTCCAGCCTTGATCATGTTCATCATCAAAAAATTGGGACGAACCAAGAAAATGTCGGTGCCCCATTAAACCTGCACAAAAAGTTCTCTCACCATTCAACATCCCAGGAAAATATTGGCAAGCTCAGAAATATATATTTCTGTAATTACCAACCAAACTCAGTTTACTTTCAGTCTGATAGCCAAATTTCCTAAGTAAATATATAAGAAATCAGTCCATAGTTTCCAGCTCTAGTACCATTACCTTTGTTACCCGTACCTACCATATTATACCTCAGATCTCAAGAAAATCATAAGCAAACAAGTTTTTGTGGACTTAGGCTTTGTGCTGCAGGAAAGTTCATGATGCTTATACATGGAAAAATAAACTTTAACTAGTACAGATCTATTAGTTCATAAGAAAAACTTACAGATAAGAGTTTGTCAATACCAACAGGCAAACTTCTTTTTGGTTAAGCCAAAAGAAAAGAGAAACAGAAAACAAGCAAGATTGGGAAACTAAGAAGCCTTTTCATTTAAAGCATCTCTCTAGATTACACACTTTCAGAAAGTTAAGAAAAGTTACAGAAGCAGTCTATTGGGAACCAATTAGGAAATAGAAGATGTTGGAAGAATAAGGCACGATTGGCAAATAATCGTATATTGTATCCGCATAGAAGAGTATCAGAACAAGTCCATGCAAAATAGGTAACACTTGATATCATCTTTTCAGCTTCGATCAATGCACTACTTCGTTTATATTCACGAACAACAATGACTTCCAAATTCAAACAAAAGAGACTCGAGTAAAGGCCTTGTACATCTTTCACTAAACTTACAACCATGGTTGACATGAGCAAGAGAATTACATGGAGAATCCAATAGCCGGACATAAGCTTAGAATATTTTCTGAACCAAAACCCTCAAAAGTGCACCTGCAGGCAAATAATCCTAGAAGGATATAGGTTTAGAAGTCCCAACCACAAATACACTACACTACCCAAATGAAAAAGCCGTCGTGCTTGATTGAGAAACTGATTCACCATTTCCACAGACTTTTCAAGTAGACCAACCGGAAGGTCTTAGGGCCTTGACTTCACTAATACAATGAGAACACCAAATTTAATCGCTTCTCTTCGGATCCATAAATTTAATACACTACAGCTTCCTTAGGTAAACGGGTGTAGTCCACAAAAGTGCTAGCCAGCCTTACTACCTCATTACTATTTATGCGCTCTTATTGTCTTCAACCCACCAGCACACCTTAATAGACTCTTGAATTCGGGACTTATGAGCCCAGGGGCTTGTAAAACAATTGTGTGAAATGATGCTTTATTAAAATTAGCATTATGTTTCACATCATTGTGCATCCAAATCAGAGGCTTGTATGTGACAGCATGTCATTCTAGAAACCAGTATAGGATAGATGTAGTCTTGTAAGGAAGATTGAAGTTCTCCGCTCATGGATACCTTATACCAGACCTCAAAGCATCTTTAACTGACTAACACACGTGATGGCAGACTAGTTGTGGTTATTTGCTTATGCCCATGGATCAGAATAAATCTTACGCCACTAAAAACTGGATCGAGTAAACTTCACAAAGCCTATACAACCATAATTTTGGTCAGTGTTCCTATAAGATTAGGAGTGGAACTAACCACGCTAATAACTTCTTGATGAATTATCTGAGTTCAAGTTCACTTTGCTTTCCCAATCAACCAAGAAGGTTCACAACACAATCTGCATACATCAAGGATAGGCCAGCCACCGATCCTATGTTTTAAAGGCTAGCATGAGGAACTAACATCTGTTTGAAATGTGTTAATCATGCAGTTTTCGAAGAGAATGATGCTACAATCTAAAAATTCTCAAAGAGGAAGATGAATTCTGACCTGAAACTCTAGCCGTACTAGTTCTCAAATCTCCCAAACACTTGATAAGGTTTTTCTCCAGTTTCTCAACTACCCGAGGAGGTTCGTGGTGGAGAAAGGTATGATAGAGACTTAGAAACCACCATTGCCCCTAAACCTGCAGGATACAAACCAGCTAAGCCTAGGTTATGCTAATAGACTATATCCCAAACTAGCTAAGCTTACCCGTCGTTGAAGCTAAACAACACAAAGCTTACAAAATCTCCTAATCACCGATTTGGTCTCTTCTCAGCATCGGAATCTTAAAATCTAACAACTACGTGAAAGAAAAAACAAATTTGAAGTCCGGTATCCTTATAACCAACTCCGATTTATGGACATGATCGCGATCATACTCGAAGATTGCGGGAAAAGTCACCGATATAGCAGTAAAACCGGGAAATAACCGGATTAAACCGACAAAAGCAAACAATCATCATCACACAATCCCAAGAGAAAAAAAGCAAACAATCATCGGTAACAAAAAGTAAGGAATAATTATAAAATTGCAATCGATTTCAGCTTTATTTACAAATACAATAATCAGCTCAACGGCGAAACAACAAGGATCGGAGAAAGGAGAAACATTACCAAAGCGTTCCGGCGATGAGAAAAGGAGAGACCGATCGGAGGAAAGCAAAGAGACGTATGAATTCGTATAGAGACGCAACTTTTTTTGGAAAAAAGAGGTTTTAGAGAGAGAGAAATGTGTTTTGAAGACAAATTGAATTGCTTTTCTTTTTCTTTTTTTTTGGTGATGGTTGGGCGATGAAGAGGATCGGTTTATATTTAAGAAAAATCAAATTAAAGCGGTTGAGTACGTTGCCGTGACATTAATCCCTTCTCTGACCAACTTCACCGGCTACCGGTAAAACCCGTTCAGTGTCTACTTGTCGACTAAACAATTTATTAATTAACTATGAGCTGAAGAAGGAATCATAATGGGCCTATATTTTGGACTGTATTTGGGCCTCAGCTGGGGATTTATCAAAAGGGTTCGAGAAACCCAGAGATCCAAGGAATCTCGACCGTTGATCGAGATGACTTTTATTTTATCCATTAATAGTCAATTTGATTGATGATTTAAGAGGATGATTAAGAAGCGAATCGGAATCCACGTTGTATTAATCTTTTGATTCAGTAGCCATTGGAGAATCCAGAGTATTAAAGTTCCATTTTGATTTTGGCGACGATGAACAGAGTTTAGAGAAATTTGCATCGAAGAAGAGAAGATTTTTGGATTTTGTGTAGTGGGAGAAGAGAAAACCCTAGCTAGGGACATGATCAGATGTGGCTTGTGAATTAGAGAAAGAGCAGTGTGCAAATATGATGAACACTTCGAATGGAGTGATCTCTGCGCCTTCTTCTTCGTCAGCGAATCCTCAGTCTCCGGGAATCAAAACGTATTTCAAGACGCCTGAAGGGAAGTACAAGCTCCACTACGAGAAGACGCATCCCTCTGGGCTTCTTCACTATACTCATGGCAAAACTGTCACTCAGGTGATTCTTTGATTCATTTATCTTTGAATTCAAGTTTAATCCAATCTGATTTCATTGTTTCGATTGTGAAATTTGAATTCGAATTTTGTGAAATTTGAATTCGAATTTTGTGAAATTTGAATCGGAATCGCTGTTCCCCTAGCATTTCGCAATGTGAAATTGCACCTCGCAAGTTTTCGTGTAGGAATATCAAATGCACATTTCATTTTCATGTTATAAAAGTGGTTTTCTGAGGATGGGATTTGGAGAATTTCGGTGTCAGGTTACTCTAGCTCACCTTAAGGATAAACCTGCTCCATCGACACCAACTGGTACCTCGTCAAGTTACACTGCTAGTAGCGGTTTCCGGTCAGCAACAGCAAGGTTGTTAGGTGGTGGGAATGGTCACCGTGCGCTTAGTTTTGTTGGAAGTAATGGAGGGACCAAAAATGTGGGTGCAAGTTCAAGAATCGGTGCCTCCTTCGCTGCTTCTAGTTCTAGTACCTCGGCTACTAATACAAATTTCGATGGGAGAGGAACTTACTTAGTCTTCAATGTGGGTGACGCTATTTTTATTAGTGACTTGAACTCACAAGACAAGGTATTCTACTCCTACTCCTTTTCTTCTCTTAAGATTTGATTTTATGTGTTTGTTTTTTGTCACACTTAAGAAAAATTCTTTGATGTAGGATCCAGTAAAGTCTATACATATCAGCAATTCGAACCCTATGTGCCACGCATTTGATCCAGATGCTAAGGATGGACATGATCTACTTATTGGGCTAAACTCTGGGGATGGTAATGTACAACTTTGAAATCATGTTTGGTACTTCTGTGCTTGATGGAACTTTGTCTTGTTATTTATTATTTTGGTGAATTATTGTAGTCTACACCGTATCACTAAGACAGCAGTTACAGGATGTTGGTAAGAAGCTTGTTAGTGCTCAGCATTATAACAAAGATGGTTCTGTAAATAACAGGCAAGAGTTTTTTTTTCTCCTTCCTCTCTGCTTTATTGTTCTAGTATTTGTTAACATTGTTTGGAATTGAATAATCTATCTTGTTGGTTCCCATTTGTTGGTGTAACAATCGTCAGTATTCTCACTTGTTGTTGTCCTTTGTACTTCTGTATTTATGCCAAATGACACAGGCTTGCGCAATTATCTTTGTTTTTTGTCAATTTACTAGGTATATGCTCTAGGTAACTCTCGATTTAGTCTAGGGGATCAGAGGATATCTGTAATACTAGTATTACAGAATAGGATGTAGTTTCAGAGGAGAACACTTTTTCTTGGATAAAGACTGAACAGAAATCTGGCTGAAATTCCTTTCAGAAAACAAACTTACTTTATATGTTTCGTGTCCCCTTCAAGAATGAGATCAAGTTTGTTGCTTTTCACAGCCGCTGTACTAGTATTGCTTGGGTGCCTGGAGGTGATGGATCCTTTGTTGCTGCTCATGCTGATGGAAATTTGTACGTATATGAGAAGGCAAGTGCAGATATTAAAAAAGAATTGACTTTTCATTTACCTAATTTTGTCAAATTTTTGACCAGAGTAATTATTATTCTTGCAGAATAAAGAAGGTGCAACTGATTCTTCATTTTCTGCTATAAGGGATCCTACACAATTTTCAGTGGACAAAGCAAAATATAGCAAGGTACCTGAGTTTTTTTGGTAGTGTTTCCATTTGATGTTGGTTTCAAGGAGTTTATGTGTAGCTCTGGCAGGATGAGAATACTCATTTCTTTTATGTACACACCTGCACATGAATATCTTCTCAGACATTCTGATGCTACAATTCTTACATCTTCTGTTATTTTTTCACTCCCACAAATATTCCTGCAGAGTAATCCAGTAGCGAGATGGCATATTGGGCAAGGTGCGATTAATTGCATTGCATTTTCAAATGATGGAGCATACTTGGCAACTGTTGGAAGAGATGGTATGATGGGTTTTTGTTTTATCGCCGGCTCCAATTCTTTCTCTCTCCATTTATAGCTTTCAGTTGAGCATTAATTTTCTCTTTTGGCAATTTACAGGTTATCTTCGAATTTTTGATTTCTCGACCCAAAAGCTAGTGTGTGGTGTAAAAAGTTATTATGGTGCTCTATTGTGTTGTGCTTGGAGGTGACTGGATCTAAATCCTTTGACAAATGATCTTCCCTATTGCATTTGAATAAAAAGAATTTTCTGTGTCAATTTTTGTTCACTCAAGTTGCTTTTAGCATGCAATTGTTAATTTGTTATTGTATGCTAACATTGTGATCGGCCTGACAGTATGGATGGAAAGTACCTTTTGACTGGAGGTGAAGATGACTTGGTTCAAGTGTGGAGTATGGAAGATCGAAAGGTTGTGGCGTGGGGTGAGGGACACAATTCGTGGGTAAGGTTTTCAAATTGGAGTATAGTGAATTTCTTATGTAAGACAAACACTACTTGACTAATGTGAAAGGCTTTCTCATAGGTAAGTGGTGTGGCGTTTGATTCGTATTGGTCGTCACCAAATTCAGAGGGCTCTGGTGAGAATGTCATGTATCGGTTTGGTTCTGTTGGTCAGGTATTCAGTTAAGCTACGTCTATTTTTCCGGGTTCTCCTTTCTGTTATGTGATGCCCAGCTAAACACTTTTTGCTTTAACGTTGAGAGTATGCCTTGAGTTATATCTGTTGGTTGAACAGTATTAATACCTCTATTTCTAGTAGATAAACAGGATAAAGATTGTAGTATGATTCTAGTATATGGGAGCGATAAAGAGTGAGGGAAGTAAGATGAAATCTCTTAATGGGAATTTCTTTTGGTCATATGGGGTGATAGCATTGTCCATATAGTGTATCATGTGGCATTTGCCAGATTAAAGGGCATAGAATCGTTAATCTGCTTTGTAGAAATTTGTTAGAAAGTGAGCATTTCCATTGACTCGGCATGCCCTGTGAAAGTTGTGTTAATAACTTTTACTTTGATCTTCTCTTTCTTCTCCTATGATCATTTGTGTGGTTTTCGGCATGCCTTCCATGTCTTTATTCTCTCTGTTTGTGCCGAACAGGACACACAGTTACTGCTATGGGACCTAGAAATGGATGAGATTGTTGTTCCCCTTCGGCGGCCTCCAGGAGGATCACCCACTTACAGCACAGGAAGTCAATCCGCTCACTGGGACAACATTTTTCCAATGGGCACTCTTCAGCCAGCGCCGTGCATGCGCGACGTCCCAAAGCTCTCACCAGTAGTGGCTCACCGTGTTCACACCGAGCCCCTCTCGGGCTTGATCTTCACGCAAGAATCATTGATAACAGCTTGCAGAGAAGGCCATTTAAAGATCTGGACACGACCTGACACTCAGTCCAGCAGCTCAGAAGCAACAAATCCAACCACAAGCAAACCGTTGCTGACCAGCAAGGTCGGTAGTTCCAGTTAACTCAGTCACCATTTAAATCATATTGTTTCAGGTCTTGGTTTCGAAAGGAATCCCTCTGAATAGCTCTCCTCGGTTCTGAATCTGACTTTATTGATGTGTGTGAGAGGCTGAGACATTTCTGGGGATTGCTGGAGACGAAAGAGATGAAAGAGACGAAGACAGTTTTCGAATGTAATTAGAAGAAAACAGATTTTTTGGATTTAGGGTTTATATCCAACAAATACTAACCACCAAAAACCAATAGTTCAAGATTTTCTTGCAGTTGCAAAGACTGCTATAAAAAAAATTAAAATCTTCCTATTTTTTGTTTCGATTTATGGTTTTGACTTTTGAGGCACATTTTGGAATAATGGATAATCGACATTGGATTAAAGTAACTTTAGCGGTATGTATTTGTATGTTTAATCCTTCCAAACTTGTGTCCATCTATAGGTTTTTATATTTGTTCAGACTCTTCTTGATATTGTTATTTGTGAAAATGACCTTTGAATACTTTTAAGTAAAGGGACGGAAATTAGTTGAACCATCAGCTTTCTTGCGTAAGCTCTCATTACAAATTCCATGAGCCTAAAATAGTGAGTGGAATGTCAACTCAAACAAAAAGTGTTCACCAAAATTCAATTATGGTGTAGATTAATTGAATTTCAGACGATCTCACCAATTGACTTGTGGTTTAGTTTTTTTTTTCTCTTAAGGCTTCATCAAATCCAGTTTAATTAGGTGATGGACAACAAAGTGCCAAACATAAAGCGTTTTGTTCTGTCTTAATCCTCTTCAGGATAACTTAAATCACATGAAACTCAGAAATTATAACTATTAATGTAGATATGCTTTTCGCTGGTAATATTATCTAAAATTTTAGTTGCCTGACATTTTATCTGTCAAAAAAAAACAGAGAGGGAGAGCGAAGGCAAAACAATTTGGTTTCATTAATTGTTTTACCAGAGTACACAAACCTTGGCATTGGCACATATCAAAGTATTACACCACAATGAAAGCAGAAAAAACAAAATAAGAAAACAGGGCATAGTTTTACAAGCAAAGTTGCCAATTTTTTGTACATACATACATAATAACACAATCATTTTATAATTGTTGTTATTATGATTGTTGTTTTTTGTGGCTTAAACTCAGACGTTGGCTGCACTTCTGAAGGATCCGAGGGACTTGGAACCTGAGGCCCTGAGGACAAATTGGTGATAAAATGCAGCTATTGCAGCTCCAATGAATGGTCCTACCCAGAAAATCCACTGTAAAAAAAACATTTGATTAATTATTTTTCCATTAAACAATAGTTCACTATTTGGTTAATTTTAGTTAATTCAGAGATGGAAACGTACGTGGTCATCCCATGGCTTGCTCTCGTTAAAGATTACGGCAGCTCCGAAACTCCTAGCCGGGTTGATACCGGTTCCGGTGATCGGAATAGTGGCCAAATGTACCATAAACACAGCAAACCCAATCGGAAGTGGCGCCAACACCTTTCATTTCATAATTCATAACCCAAAGTATTAATTAATGATATCATGTAATCAACTAACGATCTTATAACTGATAAAAATAAATACTAACCGGAACGTGGGAGTCTCTAGCGTTGCGTTTGGGATCAGTGGCAGAGAAGACTGTGTAGACGAGCACGAATGTTCCTATGATCTCTGCGGCGAGTCCGGTGCCTGTGTTGTAACCGTCGGCTAGAGAGTTAGCTCCTCCACCGTAACGAACGTAGTAAGAACTTTGAAAAGCCTTCACAAACCCAACTCCACAAATAGCACCCAAACACTGAGCCACCATGTAGAGCACCGCCCTAATCAGCGACACCTTCCGTGCCAAGAACAAACCAAACGTCACCGCCGGGTTTATGTGACCACCTACGTAAAGTTTTGGAGTCAATTTCAAATAAACAAGAACACAAAGGACAAAATTTGAAAAGTCAACAATTTTAAAATTTCTTAACCGGGTATAAACCGAACCGGTTCGATATATGATACCTGAGATACCAGCGGTGCAGTAGACAAGAATAAAGATCATGCCACCAAAAGCCCACGCGATGCCAAGAATTCCGACGCCGCCACAGTCCACTCCGCCGGCGGTTTTGTCGGACTGAATCTTGTAACCGATAACAGTCAAAACGGTGACGTACAAGAATAGGAGAGTAGCTACGAACTCAGCGATGACTGCTCTGTATAAAGACCACTTGGTAAGCTCCTCCGCGTCGAAAAACGGAGTTGGTGGCGGATCTTCGTAGTCTCTCGTCTGAAACCCCTCAGGTCCTTCCACGTCTTTCGCCATTTCTATATTTTTTGTTTATGAAAGTTGTGTTTTGTGGATATGTTGTGTGATTGTGAAGACTGAAGAGACGAAGGAAAGTTGTTTATATAGAGACTATAGAGTTAGTTCTTAGTGAGTGCTATTAATTTTGCTTGTCCATATACGTTAATAATTGTATACGTATTCATTATTTGATTATGTTACAATAATGTTTTCCTTTTGGTAGGTTTATGGTTGTTTTTATTATTCGTTTCGATGAAATGAATATAGAATTGTATATGACGATTATGATTATTTCTGTGGAAACTTGCTTTCACTAATTAGTTTCCTTTTGTTAGCTGTCTTGATGATATATAATCTAAACCAATCTAATCATTGCTTCATAATTAATAGAAACTAATTTTGCTTAATATATTCCAGGAGTTTCCACTATTAATTATTTTCTTAAAGCAGATTTTTTCATATCCGTTAGTTCTTTCTTCTTAGTAAATAGGAAAGATAAAAAAAAGTTAATTAGTAAAATTAACTGATGATAGTTACGGTAAGCTCCTGCACAAATTAAAGGGACTCTTTTTATCTCAATTAGTATTTGTCTTAGCAAAATGATTGTAAGATTAACTGATGATGGTTAATATAGTTATTGTTTTGTTGACGAAATCAGAACTCACATTTCTTTGTGGTTTCAATTAAATTTTACATTTCTTTAAACTAAAGCTGAACTTATTTGAGATTCTGATTATTTAAAAGAATGATTGTGGGGCTATCAATAAGAAGAGCGACCTTTTAATTCTAAAATTATGGTAGATAATGGAGTTTTATGGTTAATTTAACTTAGCCTCGCCGCCCCATACCTAAACGTTGTTTTCATTTGGACCGACCCTAATAATCTATATGCTCCTTTCTCTTGTCCTGTGTCATGAGCCTTGTCCTCCCCTAGAATAATATAGACTGTCACTCTTTTTACACATTAAAAAATATTATATCAACCTTATCTATTTGGGCAGACTTGAAAGTTGTTTTTTGAACATTTTGGTTATAAAATACAATAACGTTATACGTATGTTGAAAACGTTGAGATAACTAGATTGATCAATGGTAAAATTTGCGATTATCTAGATTCTACCATTTTTCATTTGCTACTTTATTCTTTTATCTACAAATACTCTCTAGAAGGAGCTTTGTTTTTTCCCACAGAGAACTTTATCTAATTAAATCCTATATATATATACTATCCAATCGATGATACAAAACGATAAAATTAGTTTATTAACAAAAAAACGATAAGTAATAACAAAATAGTTAAAAGAGATAAGAGATAACGGTAAAAAAAAAATATTAGTAATACTGCTTTAAGTTCTACTAGTTCTTTTGACTTTGATTAATAACGATTAAATCGACTTGTTATGTTCATAACGTTACAAATCAAATCTGTTAGGTGGATAAAAGTCTTTTGATCAGTAGTAGCTCTAAGCTAACCCTACCATTAACATAAACATAATTTATCACATGGACACGATAAAAGAAACGGCGTCGCTTCACGGGTTATGTTTTCACTAAAGTCGAAAATATGATGGAAGTTGGGTCCACTGGACCGGAGAAACCGCCCCATATAGAAATTATAGATAGCTCCGGCAATTGCATCGGCACCGTCCAATGTCCATACAGATTTAGTCCAACTCCAGTACAGCCGTCCCAACCACTCCTCTAATGCCACGTAGTTTAGACCAACAATCATTTGCTCTCACTCCTCAATTCCAATTGCAAAAAAAAAATTAGGAAATTAAAAAGTGTACAGAGACAAAAGGAATGTGGTGTAATACTGTAATGTGGTGTTCATGGCCGATGTTTTGCCACGTCACTATAACCTTATCGTTTTAGAGAAATTGCTCTGCTCTTATTGGATTATATTTCCACGTCAATTAGGTGCACTCTCTCTCTCGCTCTCCCCTATTTTTATTTTTTCTTTTTTTCATCGTTGTCGCTTTCTTTTTTGTTAAAGAATTGTCTAAATCAATATTGGTTACGTGTGATATTATTCTCTGTAGAAAAATGGGTTAATTTGTTATGACAAACATTTTTTGTAATAAATAAATAAATGTTCTTTCATTTCATGGTTCTTTACAATGAACTATCTAGTATATACTATATAGTGAATTTGTCAGTCTTACACACACGTGTATATAACTATATATGCTTGCCAACAATGAATCCACAGTAACAGATCAAATTAATTACATCTGACTCGTATGTAATTCTATCATGATATGTGAGTGACTATATAGTCGATGGAGTATAGAATTATATAACTTAATTGTTGTAGTGTCCTATGACAAATTTAACACTCAGCTTACACGAATAAAGTTAAGTCTCAAATTACATGTTTAATTATGCGTTATTTACTTGTTTTACAAAATGACTCAACATTCCATTTCATTTGTCTTCTATACAAATATGAAAAATATTCGTTTACCAAACTAACATGAAAACGATGCAAGAATAATCCAGAATGTGCTCGAAACGGCAGGAAACACAACACGATCGAGACAAATACTTTACAAATGATATAATCAATATTTCTCAAAAACTTAAAAAGTACCCATACATGTGAATACAGCTAAAAGATAATTAAGGTATCAGGTATGTATCATGTATGTAAGTAAACACATGTATTTGTGATTATCATTTTGTTATATATGTTTAGCTTGTATAATTAATTGCTCACGTTTTATATTGGTTTTTCGTTGTTTGTCGACGGTCAAATTTATGGGTGATGCCTAACAACATTTAATGACGTGACTCTGGGGACGTTGATCTCTCAGTAACAATGTAGTTATTTGAAAATGAATTACAGTATGAGATTTATACTATTTATATAATTTTTTGATAAATTGATGAGAGTAAAGAACACAAAAGTGTTTAGGAAGAATTATAATAGACTCTCATAAGATTAAAGGTATAAATTACATTCTCTTATATAGAGATGAGATTTCCTAATTCAAGATAAATATAAATGTAAATAATATATTTAGAGATAATGTTAAACTTCCTAAACTTAAGATATGATAACTTCTAGATCCTTCTCGATCTTCATGATTCCATAATCTTGGACGATCATCTCGACCGTCGATCTCGGTCGATCTCGCCGGTTCTCCCAATATTTTTCCTGAAATTATCTTTAGGAATTTTTTGTTTTGGTTCTCACTGGTTTAGACTTTAGATTATCAAGTTACTAAGATAAAAATAAAATAAAAATTTTAATATTTGTTTTAGATTTCCTCTAGTTACCACAAACCAACTTCTTTAACAAAAAAAATAGATATAACCAACTTATGCATTCGTTACCAAATAAAAAAAAAAAAAAAAACCATTAGAAAAAAACATAAATTTTGTAACATTAAATCAAAAGTGTCAAATAAACAGTAGCACAAACCAAGAGCTCACTCTTCATACCAAAAAAAAAAAAACAAGAGCTCACTCTATATAAAGAACCTTCTCTATTCTTCATATCACAACCACAAGTCCAACAACAACCACAAAGCAAAAGACTTTCTAAGAAACTCCAGAAACATCCATTAACACATATGGCGAAAGACGTGGAAGGACCTGAGGGATTTCAGACGAGGGACTACGAAGATCCTCCGCCTACTCCGTTTTTCGACGCGGAGGAGCTTACCAAGTGGTCTTTGTACAGAGCAGTCATCGCCGAGTTCGTAGCTACTCTCCTCTTCTTATACGTCACCGTTTTGACTGTCATCGGTTACAAGATTCAGTCCGACACAAAAGCCGGTGGAGTTGACTGTGGCGGCGTTGGAATTCTTGGCATCGCGTGGGCTTTTGGTGGCATGATCTTCATTCTTGTCTACTGCACCGCTGGTATCTCAGGTATTATATACCGAACCGGTCCGGTTCATACCTAGTTTTAGAAATTTGCTCTTTGGTTTCTTGTTTATTTGATATTAACCCCAAAAAATTATGTAGGTGGTCACATAAACCCGGCGGTGACATTCGGATTGTTCTTGGCTCGGAAGGTGTCGCTGATTAGGGCGGTGCTTTACATGGTGGCTCAGTGTTTGGGTGCTATTTGTGGAGTTGGTTTCGTCAAAGCTTTTCAAAGCTCTCACTATGTTTATTACGGTGGTGGAGCCAACTTTCTAGCTGACGGCTACAACACAGGCACCGGACTCGCCGCAGAGATCATCGGAACATTCGTGCTCGTCTACACAGTCTTCTCCGCCACTGATCCCAAACGCAACGCTAGAGACTCCCACGTTCCGGTTAGTATTTATTTTTATCAGTTATATAAGATCGTTAGTTAAATACATGATAACATTAATTAATACTTTGGGTTATGAATTATGAAATGAAAGGTGTTGGCGCCACTTCCGATTGGGTTTGCTGTGTTTATGGTACATTTGGCCACTATTCCGATCACCGGAACCGGTATCAACCCGGCCAGGAGTTTCGGAGCCGCCGTAATCTTTAACAAGAGCAAGCCATGGGATGACCACGTATGTTTTTCTTTATTCATTAAGCTTAATCAATTTTATGTTTTATTGTTTGATGGAAAAATAATGAAATGTGTTTTTTTGGTCTATATAATTACAGTGGATATTCTGGGTGGGACCATTCATTGGAGCTGCGATAGCTGCATTTTATCACCAATTTGTCCTCAGGGCCTCAGGTTCCAAGTCCCTCGGTTCCTTCAGAAGTGCAGCCAACGTTTGAACTTAGCCACAAACCAAAAAAAGTATGGCTATAATTATGTAGAAATTGGGCACACGATTTTATAACATGCCCTCTTCTCCACTATCTTTTGTAGCTTTGTTCTTCCTATTTTCTGCTTATATTTGTGTGATTCCTTATCAATCAAGTGAAATGTTTTCATCTTAGCAATGGGTTAAAGTGTATTGAGAAAAAATTCGAGAAGGACCACTTTTCCTTCGCCTATGTTTTTATCTCCATCTACTCTAAACAAATGTGTTGCATGAGGATGAAGAACAAAGAAACCAATTTAAGAGAGACCAACACAATTTGGAGAATGCAGATGATTGGAGCAACAAGCATTGCCATTGCTCGTTCTCATTTCTAATTCCAAAACATTTCTCTATTCTATTATCAGCAAGTATATGATACTAAACGCAAATTCAGATTCCTAAGCCAAGTTCAAGCATTTCGTAACCAAGCATAAGCATAATATTAAGATTGAATAAAAAAGCTGCAATAACAATCCAAAACTGACTTGTTGTTCTAAACAAAACATAACAAGAAGAAGAAACTAAAACCTCAAAAGGTAAAAGAAACAAACACAAGACCATTTCCAAATTCTTCAATTCTCAGGAATCTCAACTTCACCATCTTGAATCTCCTGTTGAATATCTTTAGGATCTTTCCCATCCACAGTACAACCAACAGATACACACGTCCCCAGAATCTCTCTCACAGTTCCACTCAATTCCTTAGCAATAGATCTAGGTCTCATGATCCTAGCAATCTCAATCACATCATCAAACGAAATATTCCCATTGTGTTTAATGTTCTTCACCTTCTTCCTATCTCTCTCCGGCTCTTTCAACGCCTTGATGACGAGTGCTGCTGCTGATGGAACCACCGTCACTTTCGCCTGACGATTCTGCACCGTTAGCTTGACGGTGACACGTAATCCTTTCCATTCCTTGGCGGTTTCTTTCGCGATATCTTCTCCGATCTTCTTTGGTGCGAGACCTAGCGGACCGATTTTGGGAGCTAGAGAACTCGCTGCTCCGACTTCTCCTCCGGTTACACGGACGTAGACGTCGACGATCTGACTCGGATCTAACTTCGGCGGCATTGTTGCTGCTGTCTCGGATTTTAGGTTTCTACGATCGAGTCCCGAAACGAGGAGGCGCTTGAAGATGAGCTTGAAGGTTTTTGAAGGAGATTGAAATTAGGGTTTACGAATGCCGAATTTACGAATCTACCCTTACGGGCTTCTATGGGCTTTATGGGCTTTATGGGCTTAACCCAAGCTGTACAAATAAGAGTAATTGAATCGGTTCGGTTTAGTTTAATATTCTCCGGTTTGATTGAACCGTTTTCTGTTCCAGAAAACGAATCGTCGTCTCTTTCTTTGGGGCAAGCTCGTGGATGTTGCCTCTAATCAGCGAAGTAGGAAGAATGGCGGGAGGATCTGAGAGAAAGACGATACTGGTGGGTTTGGTTTTAGCTCTTGTTCTTGGTGTCGCTGTTTACTTAAGGCTTTGGACTATCGATTATACTCTATCTTCCGATGACACAGAACGCTTAAGGTTTGAATAACGATTCTAATTCTTTATTTGATTCAGTTTAATCACTATAGTTTCTGGGTTTTTGGGTAATGATTTGCTCAAAGTATTGGTTTTTCTGTGATAACATGAAGAAGGGTCTTTAATTTCAATAGCTGTTGGATCTCAACTTTTTGTGAATTGACTTTTTGTATCTCAGCTGCATTTTATGTGATTAGGGGTTTTATGGTTAGTGTTGTAGTGGTGGTTAATTTGATTAATCAAGTAAATGTTTATGGTTTGAGATTTTACTTTGGTGTAGGAGACAGTTTGATTTGGCAAATAGAGAGGCAATGGATGAATCTGCAGAATGGCGGAGAATGTTTGATAAGGAAGCTGAGAAAGCTTCGAAATGTAACACAGAACTAGCACTGGTATTAACTAAGCTCCTCCTTATAGAAAGGTTTCTAATTGCTTTAGAGATTTATTTCCATTGTACTTAGTCTTCACACTGAGTAAGAGTGTCACTAGTCTTATGGTTGCTCTGTGTTAATTGGTCTTAACGGTAATTCTCAAAATGTATAGCCGTGTCTACTCTACTTAGATTGTTTTCGTGGTTTGTTCATTCAATGGTTTAAGTGTATTTTGGTTGATTTTGGGCATTGTCTTGTTCTGGTAGATCAAAGAGTCATCTGGGAATGGAAACACTTCCAATCAAAAGCTGGAGTCATTACAAAAGGTGACATTTCCACTCAAGAATTCAAATTTCTTTTGGTATTGGCTTATGTTGGATGATCTTGGCTCATTAGTTCACTATCATCTCTTGGGTAGGAAAATGCGGCATTGCTCATTCAAATAGAGACATTAAAACAAGAGCTTGAAGCTTCACGGTTAAAGTGCCACTCACGACAGTCACCCCGTTAGAATACTGTTTTTGATATGTTGTCAGTGATAGATTTAGTCCTTTACTGGTAAGAATATCCCGGATTGGCGGATTGTCATATACATTATATAGGCTCTATCATGGAAATAGCTTTTCAGAAACACCAACCACACAATCTTGTATTGATAAATCAATTTAGAATTCAGTTCTCAGGCCCTCTGACTGAATTCATGTAGTTTGTTTTCTGAGTACTAGATGGTGATTTGTTATCTCCAAATATATCTTGATCCTTAAGTTTATAAATACGAGATAGGTGAAAAACTGTGTTGAATAGTTCTTGATGAAAGTTTGCACTTGTACCTCATAGTGATTAGCCTCGCTTGTGTTGTTGTTGCCGCTTAGGTTCTGTGAGAGCACAACAGTACCAGTCCGATTTTAGGGATTTCGAAGCAAAACAGGAAACCATACATAAGTAAGCAATATGAATATCGCCAAGTATCCCGACTTTTTAATCTACTAATATCTCCTTGTGATCGTCTTATTGCGGACGGTTTCGGTTTCCTTCATCGAAAAGTGCTAATGCAATCCATAGATGAAAACTCTTGACAAGTACTGTCATTCATAGGCTCTTAGTGATTCAACAAATTTAAAAATTGATTTCGTTATCATATTTCTGCCAGTCGCATAATATTTTCATGAATCAAACTCAATTCCATCACACCAATCAATTTCATTTCTTTCTTCTTGGGTTACTGATTGATTTCGTCACATATCTAACTTTCCTGTTGATTACTCAACGTCGGACTCCTGACACTATGGAGAAGTTTAAGTTTCACACTTTCACCCAACTCAAAACGAAAAACACACAAAATTAGCAAATCATATCTCTCCATATTATTATGCATCATCCTTATCTAACTTGAAATCTACAATAAGTTACGTTTCAACATCATCTATTCACCCAAACCCAACCACTCACTCCTTTTCTCCTCCTAACTTATATTGCCTCAAGATTCCACATAGATCACTATTTTGTTGATATAAACTTTATGACTCATGGACAAGTAAGTGACATGACTGCGTTTAACCGATAAGATCAACTCTCAGAGTCAAGCCAGGAAAGCAAACTGTTTTCTTGTACTATGATTTTCCGATGTAATATATCTGTTTCAAAACATTTGCTCATCAAGCGATAAATTATACTCCACCCTTTATTTACATTATACTAGGAAGATGGATTTCTCTGAACTCATCTTGTGTGCTATATTTAGTGGGTGGCTAAGGACCAGAAGTTGAGAATAAAGGAAGGAGACACAGCAAACCAGCTGATGAAGGCCATTGCTGTGGCGGTCTCAAACCTTGTGCAGTGATTCACGTTACATTGTCCAAGATCGTTGATGAGTACGGTTATGCCAGCAGACGCAGATGCAGCTGCAAACGTAAGGGTCGATGTGACCTGCAACAATGGGAGATGAAAAAACAGTCACTCATGATGCCTCTAGTAACTAATTAAAACATCAAGAGACAATAGCAACAATTAAACTAAGAAAAGGGAGAGATAGAGAGAGAGAGATTGAATATGTGCTTACACCATCTCCAATTGTGAAACACTGAACAACAGAGTGATTCCGAAGGCTTCTTCTCACAAGAAGAGCATAAGCATCGACAAGAAATAGAGACAAGCTCCACATGCTTTGCAGGCTAACCGCAAGAACCAAGCAACTGTCACAGGATAAGAGTTATATGTCTTGTTAGATTCAAATTGTCTTATAAACCCAATTCGGGTTTTTACATGAACTCAAAACCCTAATTTGACGCCATTATCAGACGAATTAGATGAGAAAATTCTCATTACACGATATAGAATTTTCCAAAAACCCTAAAGTTTACTGAATCTAAAATCATCGAATTTGTAAAAACCTAGGTATAGAGTTTCGATTACCAGAATGCGGTGGCGGAACGGAAGTCGGAGGTGGTGACCATGACGGAGACGGAGATAAGAGCTGGGACGAACTGAGAGAGACGGAGAATGAGACCGCCGGTGGTTCCGGGCATGCCTTGCACATCCTTCATCCTCACTGGTGGTCTATCGATCGCTCCGGTAGTCGGAGCCACCGGAAGCGCATCCACCGGGTGAATCGCCGGCCGGCTCACGTTCATCATCAGCTAAACGCGAGCTCGAACAGTTCCCACCAAAGATACTGCAACTGAAAAAGACGTTTTGGGCCTTTGACAAATGAAATAAAAAATGTGATGTGTTTTGATCAAATTGACCCAAAACTTCTTCTTTAACCAAACAAAATTGACCCAAAACTCTTAACTTTAATATTTCTGACAAAAGCATAATTCTTTAGTATCAAATTTAACATTCCATTGAACAGTCACTGAGTAACCGACGTTGTTAAAAGTTTATAAAAACAGTATGTTAACTTAACATCGATAAAAACATAGTATTAGTGTCGGTTTTTATTGATTTTTTTAACGTCTATTTGAAAGATGTTGACGTTTACTTTTACATTTTTCATAAATTTGGTAAATGGTTGACTTCTTAAGGTATATATCCATAATTTTTTTTAAAATCTGCGTACATGATCTAAACTAATAAAATGTTAATTTACCAGAAATACGCAGTTATGAGTTTTTTTTATATAATATAGATTTGTTATTTTGCTTGATAACATGTTATTTTGCTCAATATCAGTTATTTTTAAAAATCACACAATTTTACTTGAATATAAAGAATATGCAAATTGGAATAACTATCTTTTTTTTTTTTTTTTTCGTCTAAAGGATTTTTGATAGAATGCGATTTTAAGTTATACAAAGCCGACAAGGAACGAAAACCTTTCGGAGACAAAGCCGGCGGGTACAAAGAAACCCCCAGAGACATAAGGCCAAAAGAGGCAGACAAACATATCAAGCCTTACGATACAAAGATTACAACTAAAGGAATAGCAGCTAAAGCCTCCAAAGCCACAACACTGACAACTCATCTCTACAAGCAGTCGACTAACACTTCCATAGAACATTTTAGCGCCATGGAGAGGCAACAGACAAGAGCCTCGAGAAGGAAACTAAATCGAGCTCACACAACCATCTCCACAGCAGAAACGAAGACGACGAAGCAAGAAGATCAGAACACAGAACCTAACCACCACCACCACTATAGAGCCAATGAGAATGAGAAAGCGGAGGATCAAGGAAAACCTTGAGATCCGAGAGGGGAAACGCCAAATAGGACCACCCATCCTTACACACGGACCTTCGTAGACCCAGCCAAAGCCACCTACAGACTAAAGACTGGTTACGCCACGCAAAGAGAAGGACAAGGGATCGACTCACCACAACGTCCAGAACTCAGCCGAGAAACCAAACAAGGTTCCAACAGAGAGCTAGTAGATGCCATTGTAGAAAGCTAGCATCCGAATGGAGAACCACAAAACAGAACCTATCGCCAAATCACCACACCGAAAACCAAGAGGAGGACAGAGAGAGGCAAACCAATTGGAATAACTATCTATATAGCCCTTTAATTTTCTGTGTATTATTATTTTAGACAGTTTATATTTAAGTTAGTATCAAATGGCTAAAAAAACACTCAAAGTTTTTGAACAATTCAAATAAAGTAAAATAAAATGTTTTTTTTTTACCATCTGAATTATAGAAAAGCTGGTTACTTTATTAGATTTCCTTTTTGATAAAGCTTTTTTAGATTTCTTATTGTTTTCGTTTGTTTTTTCTGTTGTTGTTGTTAAGAGACAATCTCTGGCATTGAGTATTGACAATACATAATCTTACACAAATAATATATATCTTTTTGTCTGTATTGTTTTTCTGTGAAGAGAGATAGATACGAAAGTGTGAAACTTGTCTTGGTTACAATAGTAGATAGAGAGTTGCGACACTTACATCAACTAAAAACATTTAGCTTCGAGTTAAAAAGACATTACTAATAATTTACATAAAAGAATTTCCTCCGTAGTGGAAATTTTACCCAACTAATCAAAGTCTATTCCTTCCTTTTTTAGTAAGATTAAAATCATGAAATCTCCGAAAGTTTCAAATCTATATTATAAAATATTTTAAATAGTTATATTGATAATAATCTTGATCTTAATCACTCTTCAGACGAGTAACCAATCCGTTCCATCTCCCAACAAAGCTTAGTTGCAACACTTTCATGGCAAGGTGCATATTCCTACAAAAACACCAACAACAAATAATTATGAGATTATGAAGAAACAAATTATCCATCTTCATTTTTTCTTTAATTTACCTCTAGCTTTTTCACCAGCTCTTTAGCAGTAGGTGCAGAGAGGATGATCTCACGAGCATTCGGGCTGATGAATCCTTCTTCGACGGCTTTGTCAATGAATGAGAGCAGAGAGTTGTAGTATCCATCAACATTGAGCAAACCCACCTACAGAAAATTATTGATACGTTGTTACTAAACTTGAATCTTTTTGACTAAAATGTGAGAAAAGGGTTTATTTTTTTACCGGCTTGTCATGTATACCAAGCTGAGCCCAAGTTATGACTTCAAGCAATTCTTCAAGTGTTCCATAACCACCTACAATTTTCATACAAAACTTTTAGATTTGATTAGTTAAAAGAAAAAAAAGAGGAGATAAATTAGTTACTATGATATGGTCAAGTCAACAAGTTTGTTATGTACAAGACAAACCAAATAATAGAGTCTTCTCGTCTCTGTTACAAGTTTGTACAATGGCATGAATATGATTAGAAAAGCAAGATCTTTGAAAGAACTTGACTTTCCATAATGATTTCAGATTCAGTGTGGGCAAAAATATGCTATTTATGGGACTGTTTCAGGTTTTGTATCTTACCTTGAAATAGGTAAGAAGAAAACTTTGGTCACAGTAAGACTACACAAGCTATATGGATAGTACCTCCTAAGTTAAAAGCAGAGCAATAAACAGAGTAAAGAGAAGAGAAAAAAAAATGTCTAATTTTAAGTGCCAGATGTTGATGGGTCAAGGTCCTTTATCTTAGACTGTAGAGACTTTTTATTAATTTTTAAAATTTTCCATACCAAAAAAAAAAAGAGAAAACTTTTCAGTGTAGCTTTCACACTACAGCTTGACCAAGACAACATGTTTTTAGTTTTACCAAATTGTTTTCTTCTCTCTTTGGCAAAATCAGTCAAACTTTATAAAATCTTTTCATGAGCAAATTCCTCTTTTAAACTTTTTTATTTCCCATAAATTTATTAAAAAGGCTAAAAAATGCCTAAACTGGTGTTCTTGAGGCTCATGTGTCACTAGAGTTTTGACCAATTTTTCTTTATCATCATTACTTGGTTTGAAAGAAAAGCAAAAATTTTAGGTTTAAAATATATAAAAAAAATGATGATAATTTTGGGTGGAGGGGGTTTAAAAACAAAACCTGGTAAGGCAATAAAAGCATCAGAGTGCTTAGCCATCTCAGCTTTCCTTTGGTGCATATCTGCAACTGCTCTTACTTCTCCTACTGTTTCACCAGTCAACTGCAAACAAAGAGCACATCCACCAATTCTTTTAAAAGAAAAACTATATAAAAGGAAGTAATAATTAAAAGTAGTTAAAGAGAAAAAGCAGGTTTGGACTCTTCTACAGGCAAAAGCAATGATGGCATTGCAAGTAATCGTAATATTGGCTTTTTTTGAATCTCTTACATTCATTTTTTTTTACAGAACCCTAATCTAGTTCACCTCTTTTCATCATTTTTCACATAGCTTTTGTTTAAAATAACATAAACAAAGAAGATATTTTTATTTTAGGGTACCTAATTGAAAAGAAGAGGAGGCAGAAAAGAGAAACTACTCATAATCATTAGACTTAAGAAAGGGTAATAAATAGAGAGAAGAGTAAAACTAAAGCAAAGACTGGAGATTAAATGGGTTTGAATGGGGATTTGGAGAACTTACAGATATATTAATAAACAAATATTATTGTTTAGTATTAAAAATAGGGAAATCTTGAAATTTTTACCTCTCTAGGCATGAGGGTCTTGGGAATGATTCTGTAGAGTGACAACAAGATGACAAAAAGAGGTTTATTAGAAGTTATTAAGACAATTGTGTTCCATCAGAAACTCAAAATACAGTTTTCTTATGTATGATCTTAATAAAGATTCACAAAGTTGTTTTAACAGAAGAGATTAAAGTGATTTGACTATAATAAAGTTACCCAATAACATGACGACCACCATCATGAACAGCTTGTGAAACCAAACCCATCAATCCTATGCTCCCACCTCCATAGACTAGATCAATATTCCTTGAAACCTACAAAACAAAATCAAGAAAAAACAGAGTTACACATGAAGCCTAGATTTGGTAAAACACAGTCGAAGCTTGAGTTCTACATGAAGCATAGATTCAAATCCATTTAACAAAACAGAAACATATCTCACTTGGCACGTTTCGTAGAAGAAAGAAAAATGCTCTGCATTTGCAAAAGTTACACATCTTGTGGACATGTTTATAAAAAAATTACACTTTTGCAGACCATAATGAAACAAAGAAGCACATCATCATCTTATCTCAAAACCCACAAGCAGAATCAAAGACAAAAATACTTTTGAAAGTCATGTATGTGTTACCAGTTCGTTGCCGAGATCAACAGCAGCATCTTGGTAACTACTCTTCTTGCCTTGGCTACTTCCACAGAAGACACAGATTCTTCTGAACTTTGACTTTTGCATCGTTTCACCTTTGATCTCCATTTGATTCTAAACTTTGGTCGGAAAGAGAAAAAGGTAAACAGTTTAAGGTTTCTTTGAGCACAAGAATCTAATTTCTTAAGACAGTTTTACGAGTTGTCAAACTAACCTAATTGATATCTGAAAACTCTTCTTTTTTCGTTGTTGTTGTAGTTTATCTTTTAACCACTAATGGGTTTGGCTCATGGATGGTTGTTATATAGTGCGTCTTCTCGTCATGCTCGTCATCGATTAATTTATATTTTAATAAATTACTTTACTTTTTATTTGGCATTTTCAAAAGTGCGACATTTATTAAGAAAAAATAATGATTAGTTAAGTTAGAAATAGAAAATGTATTCCTAAATATGGTTAAGGTATTTTTTGGAAAATAATTTTTCTTTTGGACTAAAACACTTCTAAGTTTCTTAACTTTTCTCTATAACTTAGTTATAAAATATTCTTACATATTTAAAAGAATTATGAAATCTTCGTTTGGAATTTTTTTGGGGAAAAAAACGAAAATATCGTATCTTTATATTCCTTTGGTATTTCGTATTTTGTTTATACTATTGATCAATTTTTTTTTTTTTTATTTGTTGTTTGTTGAGGTCTTCACACGTGAGAGATTTAAGCACGCGGGTTTTTCCCCAACCGCACATACAGCTCATCTTGGCACGCGTGACCAAGCTTCCTTGTGTTAATTTTTTTCCCTCCTCTTATTATTGTTTTTTTCTTTTGTTTCAAAACAGTAGCTACTAGCTACTACCAAAAACCTTCGTTGTGGTTGGAAAACAAACCTTTGGTTATGGACCTTATGGTTAGGCAAGCTCATGTACTGTTGACATGAAATACTTGAACTCACAAACCCCGACTATTTTTGAAGGAGAAACAAGAATCCGTTATTTAAAAAGGTTGTGACGGATGATTATTATTTAGTGCAAAGATCGTTAAGAGAAAATAATATTCGACGATTAGATAGAGATATCCTCATATTTCAAAACAAATAATAACGAACGTAAACTCGTGACAAATCCGTAGGACGTATGGTTACTTAGATTTTGGCACATAAGTTTTATACGTAGTAGGCTAGTTGTAGAAAACTCTTTAACAAGAGACATGCTCACTCTCGAGATTAGTACATTACCGATGCACATCAGCCGAAGTTCATTACCGAGGATCATGACGACTTTGTAATCTTCTAATTTTGAATGTTGAAGCTTAATTTTGATTGGATCCGCAGATGAGAGAAACATTCGCATGTAGACTGTTATGATTTAATGTTCCAAGAAACGATACAATTTTCGTGTAGGATCTCATACATACTAAACGAATTCTATTTAGTATACGACTTCATGAATAATTACGGCAATGTGATATAGAAATGCTATCGTAAACGTTATACATATAAGACGTATGCGTGGTGAAGATTCATTATAGATTTTTTTTTTAAAAAAAGATTCATTAAGTATTCATAATTGCTTTGATACACAATCCTACATTTCCATCAAAATTCTAAATGATAAGAATTAAAATGTTTATGAATCGTATATATTTTTTTTTTGATATATCCGATCGGCTGATCCGGTCAGTCCTGGGGGGAACGCACCGAAGTGCTACCATGTGGACTCGTCGCCAACACCTAGGTGTTGGACTACCACAATGCCTAACCCCAAGTATGGAATGTTTTCCGACTAATGCCCGAGGGTATCCAGTTAGCTTGATCCCGGATACCATGTGAATTGCTTGGGCCAAGGCCTAAACCCAAACTTCCCACACAAATGTGATTTTTGTTTCTAGGGTGGATCGAACCTGGGTTAGTTCCTTCCAACCTTTCCCTAATTCTCCCTTACCACTAGACCACAGCCGTGTGGGCATATGTAAACCGTAATATACATTTATAATCGTTTATAAATTGTTTATGTATCGTATATTCGTTTGTAAACCGTAATATACATTTATAATCAGAGCATGATGTTGTCGTGAAAATGTATATATAGTAGAAGCTAGCATTGGTAAAATAATAAACGCAAGTCACTCAACTAGTTGTTTTTTTATCGATCACATCACATGCTTATCAATTTCACCATCAATCAGTTTTAAGTTGTTTCTATAAATATGTCCAAATGAATAAGAACAAGACAGGAAAAATGTTATAGGTCGTGTATATTTACTTCTTTAATATGCAGTAATAATGTTATGCAGTAATATTCTTTTATGCATATTTATAAGAGTATAAAGCCATCTTGCAATTTTCTTGAAGAGAGTTCTCAATGAAACAAAATAACCATTTTAGATTTTTAAAATTGATGGATCAGTGATAAAGTTCCTTCACTTTTATTCCCTTTATCAAGAATAGGACAAATAATTCATTTTCGATAAAATTATTTAGAAAAAGAATGGACAGCTTATATCTGGACAGTGTAAGATGGGTACAAACGTTATTTACTGATACTCATGCAAACAAAAAAAAAACCAGGACAAGAAGAACCCACTAATATAAACTTAATGGAACCATGGAAATGTTATGGGTACACCAATAGATATATACATACATTTATTTATTTATATTTGTATATAGAATGAAGTTAATGAGATGATGATGTCTGAGATATGGAGCAATGTGCCAATTGATGATTGAAATAAGAAGCACAAAGTGAGTTATGGCTTTTATTACCAATGTAGTCCAATTCACCCTCCCTATGTAGACAACCTTCTTCTTGTTCTTTGCATAGGAAACATTTCTTCTATTTTTTATTCCCCTATACTCATTTTAACCTTTTTATAGTTTTACTAAAAAACACTTCTTAGCATTGCCCCATCTTCTTGTGTAACTAAGTTGTCTTTCTAATTCCACTTGGTGTTATCGCTCCACGTACGTTATATTGTGGTCTGAGACAAGGTAGAGTTTCGACAGATGATAATGTTTTAACGTTTTGAATAGTTTTGGTAGGCAAAATGTAATAAAGTCATTTGAAACGATTGTATATGTTCTAAACAAAATGTTCATAAACTAGAAATAAGCCAATTAACAAATATAAGCAAAGAAATTGCTGCCTCCAAATTATGGGAAGCAAAAAACCAACAAAAAATTTATTTTTGTCTTTGTTTTTAATTTACTTTTAACGCGATCGAAGATGAAAGATTGGTGCATGTTATCCATCATCAAAACTCTAAATTACTAACGTAAAAATGAATCATTATTTATAAAACATCTAGTCACATATTTTATTTGGTTTAAAAAGTATGGACTGATCACTTAATTTAGAATATCCTATTAGAAAGAACGAGATTCCATCGTTCCACATATCATCCTAAGCTATAGCATCGGAGAGCTTGTTTTCTAGTATTTTTTTTTTTTTTTTTAATTAAATAGAAAACTCACCTTCAACATAAAAGAAAAAACCTTTTAAAAGTTTTGGCTTTGTTAATCTTAAACAAAATTCTTTTCTTATGTGACACTTCAATACAAAACTTTTTTTTTTAAAGCGATAGGGAAAAAACTCATGAAAATACTAGTTTTATTCAAAGCCTATAAATATATATATAACCCTATTGGATTTGTTGGCTTGGAATGGCAGTAACCCCTACATTTTTATACTTAATTGTAAGCAGACAGTTTTAATATAAAATCATGTTTACTTGTTTATAATATATGTTCTAGCGTGTGAATATTTAACTAAGAACATAAGATAGTTGCAATCCCAAGATCTGAGTAGATGCTGCCCATTCCTTATATGTAGGGTTATAGAGATTATAACACATAAGTAAGTTTGTAAATTACTGTGTTTTATTATCTGCATGCTTGCATGCGCATTTTTTTTTCCGTCTCTAGTTTCCTTCCACATTCTTCTTGGGTTTTTCACATCCGACCCAATTTTTATTTTATTATAATAACCATGACGATGGCAGTGATATCACTATTTCATTAGATAATAACTTTCACTCTAATTAAATTGAAAGGTTATATGAAAATGGGTACATGAAGTTTCATAGTCGAATCTTTTTTGTAAGTGTTGTTAGGAAACAAAGAAAAACAGAACTTCGAAAAGTGGATATTTTGAAGAACAATTTCTTCTTTTAAGCAGAAAAGGTTAATATTTTTGTCTTTAACCGATTTTTATGATGTTAAAGTTCTAACGAAATTCTAATTACTTTTAAAAGTCACTTTGATTTTCGTTGTTGTTCCAAAGAAAGTAGTAGCTGGCATAGAAGTAGTTCATTTTGTCCCTTTTAAAAGAGACTATAAGTTTCATTATAAAGTATCCTGAATGTTCTTGGAATGGTCAACAATCGTTTAACATATTTGATTTCTTTAAAGGAAAAGAGTCAGTTAAATTTAGAAAAGTTCCGAAAGCTGAAACTTTAATTCAAAGCCATTTAATTTTTTTGTGTAACGTTGACCGTTTTTATGATTACTTTCAGTTGAAACTTTAAGTGTATAACGAAATTCGTTCATATTAAAGAAAAATGCTCAATATGATTTTGTATGCATGGTAACTTTGTCATAAAGCGGTAAATTATTTTACCGACAAATGGGCGTAAAGGTAATAGTATAATACAAGCTCATCAATGTATGTACTCCTACTTTTTTTTTTTTTTTTTTTTTTTTTTTTTTTTTTTTTTTTTTTTTTTGTATTTAGTATTACACGAAGCAGGAAAAGGTTCCACACTTTCTATCTGACAAAATATAATTTATTGATTAAACAGAGTATTCCCGACAAATATGAATGCTAATTTAATTTGATTAAATAGTAAGAAAGATGAAGAAAAAATATAGTAAGGAATATCATTTTTCATCTTTAGCTCTAGCTAGCTACATAATAATTAATAAAAATCTGAGTTTTTTTTTCTTATTAACTTTTGGGAACTACATCTGAAAATAGAAGAGGACAATAAATTTAGGTTACTGATGGAGAAATAGCTTTTTATTGTAGAAAAAATATTGAATCGAATTCTATATTGGATGCAAACGACAAGCACAATGAATGAATTATCTGATATTCTGAAAACAATGGTATGATATGAATTATAATTCTATGATGCTCAAGTTAGAAATAGACATTATAACTATTTAGAAAACGGAAAATGGGAAAAATGATTTTAGGCTTGTTATGTATCCGGTCGACTGTTATACAATCTGATGATCTATCATTAGTGAAAGTTGTTTAAGAAGAAATCGAAAAAA